ACAAACTGATAATATGCATGGGAAACCTCCTGAAAGAGTAACTACAACAGCACAAGATGCATAGATTGTTGCGGATCACATCCAGTTTCGCTTCAAGACAGCAACCTTCAGCGACTATTGGTACACATGGAAGAGCAGTCAGCAAAAGAACCTTCCTGAGGTGGCTCCAAGATCAGAGAATCAGAGCAATGCGCCCATTTCAAGGTCTTATTCTGACGCATCTTCATCAACAGAGGAGAGAGTAATGGGCTCGACAGCAACAATGCATGATTCGAGCCAAGTGGGCAAACATTTTGTTTACCGATGAGAGTCGTTTTAACTTGTACCACAACAATGGTAGAATGCCTGTTTAAATGGAGGTGTTTCAATCATCACTCATGGCGAAAAAAGCATTTAGTGAGTAAAGTATATGTTAAGGATCATTGTAAAGGGATCCTTTTTAGGGGAAACCTCATGATTCTTACAGTGTAGAATTATGTCTGAATGCAAGTGTTGTATAGCTTTGAAAATTGTACATCTTATCTCTATTTAGTGCTGTACACAAGGGGCAGGACGTGAAGTGGTTGCACACTTGGTTCAAGCGAGCGAATTGGTTGCAAACTTGACAAAATGGCTAACACGGCGTCATTTTTTGAAACGGGTGAACAAATTTTTGCCAGGCAAGTAGGTTTCTTTGTTATTTTGAAGTTCATTAGTATGTCTATTCCATAATGCAATATATATACCACACTCGGTTTAAGATTTCAGCATCCTAGATCCTGTTTTGACGAAGTTATTGAAGATATAAACTGATTCATGTAGATATTTTGAAATTGACATGTGACTGTTTCTGGTCGGTTTTTTCTCCTAATTTTTTTCGAATTTGTAAGTTTTGAACTGCAATTTAACAATAACAAAATATGTTTCTGCCAATGCAGTACAAATGGTTTAGTTCGCAAGTCCGAAGATAACGTTCAATACACAAAAATATCTTGTTCAAGCACATTTGGTTGCAAACTTATACTTCAAGCATTTTTTGGTTGCAACTTATTCTTATTCTATTGAAATCCATTAGTAAAACTTTGCAAAAGGATTGTAGTAGTTTATATTATTAACCTATTTTCAATGGCAATTATTGACATTTATGTTCTTTTACTTGTTTTTGTTATAAATGTTATTTATACTTTCTTCTTTTACAACAAGTATGCACTTTATGTTTCAAATTACATGGTTCTCAGTTCATTACTTTAATCATCAGTAAAAGCCTGCAAACAAAATAATAGCACATAGGTGAAAAATATTTATTGATACTTCAATTCTAAAATATGTCATCATAAGTAAAATGCAAATGAAAACTACATACAAAACAAACGTATGTGAGAGTACTGCTGTATGTAAGTGAATTATTTTCATCATAAACATAAGGACATGTGCACACATACGATGTTACTCGGCAAAATTTCCAAAGTTTATCAAAACCACAATAAATGTTATTTTGTTTGTTTCATATGTAAAGATCAGCAGTTGCTATTGACATAAAGTATGTAAATGTACTTATAAACCAGAAGTTAAAACGACATGCTTGTTTACAATATTTCGGATTTGATGTACATATCATATATATCAATTGGTATTCTAAAAATTATTTTGACTATTAGATTTATAATATAAACTGATATACGATTGGTAATTTACATTGACTGATATGTGACAAAACTACTTAAAGTCATTGTTCGAGTTAGGGAATTTGGAAGATGTTTCGATTGGTCAATAATAAGGAACAATTAAAGAAACATGTGAATAATGCCCTTGTGTCAATGTTAATATAGTTTTTATCCACTATATAATCAAATTTATTTCAAATCTCAAAAAAAGAACAATAATGAAAGCTGTTTGTTGCTATTTTTCTCTTCTTTTCCTTTACTGTTAATCATGCCAAGATAAAAAAGTCCTAAGACTATGTAAAAAGAAAAGAAGTATATCGAGGAGAAAAAATGATGAAGATAAACACAACTGAACTTCAATTTAGCATATTGTGTTTTATATATATGTGTATTTGAAAGACCCTGTGTTAGAATATATCTGCACGCATGCACAATTTGTATATACATGTATATTTCTTATTCGATGAACGGGTATAATTGCCTTAATATTGCTAATTATTTTTAAAAAAAAAGATAAGTTATTCCTCGCTAAAAATATGCATGCCACATTATTGACACAGAAGTTTGCAACCAAAAATGCTTGAAGTATAAGTCTGCAACCAAAATGTGCTTGAACAATATATTTTTGTGTATTGAATGTTATCTTCGGACTTGCGAACTAAACCATTTGTACAGTATTGACAAAAACATATTTTGTTATTGTTAAATGCAGTTCAAAACTTACAAATTCGAATAAATTAGGAGAAAAACCGACCAGAACAGTCACATGTCAAATTTCAAAATATCTACATGATCAGTTTATATCTTCAATAACTTCGTCAAAACAGGATCTAGGATGCTGAAACCTTTAACCGAGTGTGGCATATATATTGCATTATGGAATAGACATACTAATGAACTTCAAAATAACAAAGAAACCTACTTGCTTGGCAAAAATTCGTTCACCCCTTTCATAAAATGACCGCCGTGTTTGCCACCGAGCGTGGTGTTTGCCACCAAGACGCTCGCTTGAACCAAGTGTGCAACCACTTTACGTCCTGCCCCTTGTATACAACTAAATCCTGTTGAGGACTTCCACACTCTCAAATCTAGTTACTTAATTAGCCCATGAATTCAGTAGGCCATCACAAAGTACCCTGTGGACGCAAGTTGCACACCCACATGAAGTTTAATGAAACTTTATAGGAATAACTGATGATAGCAAATTTGTACTATATATTATACATTTTAATAATTGTATTACAGGATATTAAATGCTGTATAATTGATGAAAAACTATTTTAAACACTGCAGCAATATTATAAATACTTTAAATACAATCTATGAAAATATAAAATTCATTTTTAAAGAAGATATAACCACTTTTTAGTAATCTTATTACCTCCCTTTATTTTTAAGGAAAATATGAGCCGCGTCACGACAAAACCAACATAGTGGGTTTGCGACCAGCAAGGATCCAGAACAGCCTGCGCATCCGCGCAGTCTGATCAGGATCCATGCTGTTCGCTTACCAACTCTATTACAAGTGGAGAAACTGACAGCCAACAGCATGGATCCTGATCACACTGCGCGGATGCGCAGACTGGTCTGGATCCATGATGGTCGCAAACGCACTATGTTGGTTTTGTCGTGACGCGGCTCATATATGTATATTTTTATACATTTTATATCTTGTTACCTCCCTTAATTTACTACAGGAACCACTTGATTTTGTAAATCTTACTAAGATTCTTAGTACATTTATATCAACAAATTTACTTGACTCACGTCCGTTTTTCATGTTATATACAAAAGTAATTCAACACCAGGGTTGTCTTGAGATTTTTTTTCGGATGACAGAGACTTTGAAATTTATTGACAACTCACAAAATAAATCATGTTAAATCACGGTCATATTCAAAATAGGCTACTGTAGTAAAGTAGATGAAGAAAAGCTAAATTAGGAATTTTATTATCAATGTACATGCTATGCTCTTAGTACCATTTCTATTACTTTTCAATTTATTCTTGTAAAATAGTAATTTTCATGTGTTTCTGATAATGAAATTATATGGAATTTAAACTTATAACGATTATTTCTTTTGCCCAAGAATTCAATGGGCCACAAAAAGTACCCTGTAGATGAAGTTGCACATCTACAGAAAGTTTGCGAAACTTTATAGGATAAAATTGTTAAGGAAATTTTAGTTAATATAAAATACTTTTATAATTGTAAGACAGGATATCAAATGTGGTAAAAATGATGAAAAACCTATTTCAAACACATAATAAACATTGTAAATGCCTGAAATACAATCTTTATTGATAAAAAAATTCATTCTTAAAGAAAATATGATCTACTTTTATTTATTTTATTACCTCCCTTTAATGTTAAGGAAAATATATTTATTTTTTATTTTATTACCTCCCTTTAATGCACTACCGGAACTACTTGATCACAGTATATTTATATCAACAAATTTACTTGATTTTTGTCAGCTTTTACATGTAGATACATAAATAAACTAATTCAACCTATAACACTATAACTTACTACATATTTCCATGTCTAAATTTTGTATAAATAAGGTATATGAAGTTCCACAACACTATCTAATTTGTTGGTCATTCTTAAAAAACAGTTATCTTTTTCGAATTTGTCATTACCTTCCTATAATTCAATACATTTTTCTACTTATTAATTGATCATTTCACAATAGATTCTTTTCCTTGCCTTGCTACCACTTGATTTTCATTATCTTGCCACAGTCCCATCTAATGGAAACACAACTCAAATAAATTAGGCTGTACTGCAGTATATTTTTTATTACTAACTTATATGGCACACAAAATATTTAGTTTCTTGGCCTTTGAAATTTGGAAAGTTTCAAAAAGTATTTTATCTTGTATCTTGTGTGTCATCAATGAACAAGATATATGCAATAATATACAGGAACATTTTCATGTTATAATGTTATAATAGACCCGATTTTTATTTTATAATAGAATGGAACATTTTTATCTTTTTATAGACTGGAACATTTTTATTTTATAATAGACTGGAACATTTTCATTTGATAATAGACTGGAATATTTTTATTTCATAATAGACTGGAACATTTTCATTTGATAATAGACTCGTTTGAATATATTTTTTTATTATATAATAGACTGGAACATTTTCATTTGATAATAGACTGGAACCTTTTTATTATATTATAGACTGGAACATTTTTATTTTATAGGAAACTTACTATTGTCATAGTATACAAAAACTCTTTTGCACTGACTTTGTTATACGTCGGACCCACTGCCTGATAGTTTTATAAATGCAGTTAAAGTAAGAAATCTTTTTGATCTGTAATATAGACAAAGTACCTGATTTTATCAAGAGGTTGAAATTTGTACCATGCCTTCGGTCTTGCCCACAGTTCATACAGTAGCTAAAACAAATTGAAAATAATCATATTTAATATATAAATATATCTTATAAACCACGGCACAGGAGTGTAATAAAGCCGTAAAATGAAATCATTATTACACTACTGTAATAACAATTCTGTGACATCAATTGCATTTTTATACTAAACACAGTGCTAAAGCATGCTAATGTATGCATTACAACTACAGGTGCATCAATGAGAAATGACTGTCACCCTTTTTTTACTGTAAATCCTTCTTATTTTTGCAAATATTATATTTGTTTATATTCAATACAAAAATCATTGAACTTGTTGAATAAAATAATATTATTATGATTACCAGAGACTCGTATGATATAAATTTATCAATTTTGTACAATAAATTTAGTATTAACTCTTCATGAATCAAATGCACATGTAATTGTTAAAACTTAAAAAACAAAAAATTTAAAAGATAAAGTAAATACAATGTAGATATTTCGTTGGAAACACAAACACTTAAAATGATTTAGCTAAGAATTCCAATATAATATCTACGATCTAAAATAAACAGTTTTATTAACTACTGTACTTTAATACTTATCAACTGGTAATTATTCTATTTTAAAGAAGGAAGTACATACATGTCTGTCATTGCGTTTTCCTCGTGTCAGAATAGAATGTTCACTTGTATACTTCCCCTATAATATACAGAAACATTTAAATACAAGTTATCATAAAATCTGCCAGCAATGCAATAATGAACTTTATTGGCTGGATTTGAATCATACAAACTTAGTAATGCTCACATGGCAATATCTAACTTTCACTTGTGGAGAAAAACCCTTAAATGTCACCATGTGGGTAAGCCAAATGTAAGCTAGTTGGCAGTACCTTTTTTTCAAATGACAAAATTCATTGCCCATGGGGTTCAAACCCTCAGGCAGTAAGGGACAAATGACTAAAGTCAGCACTATGAAACAAAAGAGCAACATGGACTGGTGTACAAGTAATATGTACATGTACAAATTTCAGAAAAGAACACACTTTTGTTTACAAGAAAAAAAAATCAAACCATTTATATTGATGTTATCTGAACAAATAAATCAAAAGTTATGAAGATTTAAAAGTGTTATATATAAAATAAGAGAAAGTCATGAGAAAAATCACACAAAAAACTGGCACGCCACAGCCAGGACTCAAACCACAGGTCTCTAGATTGCCGGTTCAGTTTGCTAACCACTATATCAATGCTAAACACTTAAACCATCTATGTATTCAAATTAGACTTTGTTTCTGTCAAATAAATTGCCGGCTACATTTAAATAAAATAATGAAATTTTAACATAAATAGATAATTTATATATGGAAACTATGTAGTAAAACATACATCATGGAGAGGGTAGGCTGCACTGTAGGAACCATTGGCCAACAATTTCTTGATCCCTGAAACATGTAAATTAATTACAACATAATTATGTAAGATAAAAAATATTTGAGACAAAACCAACATAATGGGTTTGCGACCAGCATGGATCCAGACCAGCCTGCTCATCCGCGCAGTCTGATCAGGATCCATGCTGTTCACTTACAGACCCTATAAGAAGTAAAACAAGAGCTGTCCGTAAGACAGCGCGCTCGACTTTTTTATTGCTTGCCAATAAAAAAAGTTTTTGCAGTAAAAGGCAATACAAGAATCTCTGTATTTTTAAAGTGAACAATGGCCATGAGCATTAAGATATTTAGTGAAGAATTATTTTATTATGACATAATTTATGGTAAAGTGAACAAGTGGATAGGAATGAATTTTTTTAGATTTTTTAAGTTTTTTAGTGCTTGCCTATAATACAAAACATTGACAGTTAAGGGCCATAATTCAAATAAAATCTTTGACAGAATTACCTTCTCCTGGACATTTTTGGGAATCATGATTGTAAACAAGTATTCCAACTTTCAAATTAATATCTCAAACAGTTCAGTCAAAAAGTGGACTGGTACTAAAAACTTAACCAAGATTCTAAGTTGATAAAAGGCCTTAATTTTTAAAACAAATCCTTGACAGAGTTACCTTCTCTTGCGTACAGATGGGGGTAATGATGTGAAATATCATTAAAAGTTTCAAAGCAATATCTCAAAGGGTTAAGGCAATAAGTGGATTTTACCCATATTCAATGTATTTTTCTAAGTCAAAAAGGGGCATAATTCTGTCAAAAACCTTGACAGAGTTATGTCCTCTTGTCTGTTGATGAAGGTCGTGATGGTAAACAAGTATGGTCAGTTTCAAAGCAATACCTCCAATGGTTTTGAAATAAAGTGAGGTGGTACAAAAAACTTAACCAAGCTCAATACACTTTCTAAGTAAAAAAAGGGCCATAATTCTGTCAAAAACCTTGACAGAGTTATGTACTCTTGTCTGTAGATGGAGGTTATGATGGTGAACAAGTATGGTAAGTTTCAAAGCCATACTTGTAATACTTCTGAAATAAAGTGGGGTGGTACGAAAAACTTAACCAAGGTGTGACGCCGACGCCGACGCCGACGCCGGGGCGAGTAGGATAGCTCCCCTTTTCATAGAAAAGTCGAGCTAAAAACTGATAGCGAACAGCATGGATCCTGATCAGACTGCGTGGATGCGCAGGCTGGTCTGGATCCATGCTGGTCGCAAACCCATTATGTTGGTTTTGTCATGACACGGCTCATTTACTAGTTAAACAGAGTAAGTAAATGTACATACCAAATCTACATTGTGGATTAAACAGAGTAAATGTACATACCAAATCTACATTGTGGATTAAACAGAGTAATTGTACATACCAAATCTAGGTTTTGCAAGTTTTGTGGATTAAACAGAGTAATTGTACATACCAAAATCTACATTGTGGATTAAACAGAGTAAAATGTACATACCAAATCTACATTGTGGATTAAACATGTACAAACCAAATCTACATTGTGGATTATACAGAGTAAAATATACATACCAAATCTACATTGTGGATTAAACAGAGTAATTGTACATACCAAATCTACATTGTGGATTAAACAGAGTTATTGTACCTACCAAATCTACATTGTGGATTAAACAGAGTAATTGTACATACCAAATCTACATTGTGGATTAAACAGAGTAATTGTACATACCAAATCTACATTGTGGATTAAACAGAGTAATTGTACATACCAAATCTACATTGTGGATTAAACAGAGTAATTGTACATACCAAATCTACGTTTTGCAGGGTTCTGGGGATCAGCATCCTCATAGAAAGATCTTGATAAGATGGCATATACAATTCTGCTTCTCTGAGAGTTTGAAAAGAAGGAATCCTTGTCCTTAATGACAAACCTAGGTGATACAAAAAATATCGTCTGTAACTCAACATTCAATTATATATACTTTATCAAGTACCTCATATATTGGCTTTATTCAGAGATTCATCCTTTACACTTGTTCTGTATTGGTTTAAAATTTTCTATAACATCACCTAAGTAATGGTCAAAATAATTACAGGAATTTCTAAAAAAAATAAAATTAAAATACCATTTGCAGGCAATAAGTTTACAATGGAAGAAGGCTGCTAAATGCTTCAAGATTTACCATTTGAATACTTTGTATTATAAAATAGTTATAAGGAAAAAAAATAAATAAATAAAAACAGAAAAAAAACAAGAAAAGAAAATGGGATGGCAAATCTTTGTAACAACAAAAGAAATATATACATGCAATCTCCACAATCCAAAACAAATAAACATATAAATAAACAAAGCTATAAACTCCATTCATAAGCTTTCATTTCTAAAAGTACACAATTATTGAATATATTTCTCACAGTAAAGTATGTTTGGCATGATGAATTATAAAAACTTAAAAAGAATGCTCATCAATTTGAGTGAAATGCTGTCATTCAAACTGTATCTTTTTTTATTCTAAACTTAACTGGCCATGACAGAAAGTTTAAAACTGGAAATATGTAATATGCTTTAATTCATTATTATATCTCATAGATTCTTTTTTCTTAAGCATCAATTTCTACACCAACCTCACCAAAGCTCCTGACAAACAAAAACACCTGATTACCGATGGCCAGTCCAACAAATATGCTTCTGTATAAATAACCTCCAACAAAACAAGACATAGCCCTTAATCTGCTGAATATGTGTCCCGGATTTGCCCCGCTTTGAATTTGGGACAATCCATTTGAACTTTTATGGATTCCAATATCAAAATACAAACAATTGATCTTATCCAGTAGTATAGAGCCTGGTCAGACTGCATGGATGTGCAGCCCCATTTATTTCTATAATGGCGGAAAAAAAAATCGCTTTTGGTTCCAGCAGATTAAGGGATATAAAGTATACACAAAATACATAATTTCCTTTAAATATTTTTAATTACTTAATTTTCCTTAGCAAGTTTTGATTATAGTCAGTTTCTGAAGAGAAACCATTGGGGGCAAACTATAATTAATAGTATAGTAAAAATTCACTTATTATAAGGAAGATAATTTTAACACCGCAATGCAAACATCTGAAACCTTTTTCTTTTTTTTTTAATGTTAGCTATAAAGATATCATAATAAAAAGAAATGTCAAAAAAGTGGGATTGGTGAATGGTGTACAATGGGTTATTGTAAAACAAAAGCTTGGGTGTAAAAATTCAAAGCAATTTTGACCTAAAAGTGTTTGTCTTATAATCTTAGATATTACCTTATTCTATCAGTATAAAATGTGCTTAAGATTGAACGAAAAAAATATCCTTACATAATGTAATATGTTTATGTACAAATAAAGCAGGATATTGTGATCTGCTCCACCTAGAATATTTGACATCATAAACGTAGGAACATCTTTACTTAAACATTGATTGCCCATGCTCAGCCTACTGATGGAACATATGATATGCTACACCTAAATGTTCCTTACAGTATCCTTATACCAGCTATTTAAGTCTTGAATGGACATAATCAATTTTTTTTTTTCTTTTTTCTTTTTTTTTGTACCAGTGTATTATCAGTTTTAGGGAGAACACAATGACAATTTAAAGGTTGGTCAAGTAACATCATACAGCCTGAAGGTCAGATGTGTCATGGTTGACCTAGCTCTATTGGTTGAAACATATTTATTCAAGCTCGATTGCAAAACAAGTTCTTGCAACTTAATATATTAATCACTTTTGAGTCCACTTCCTGGAACCAACCAGTACTGGTGTCATATGAAGAAACATGGTCCTGACCCCGAGAGGCAGACACCTTAAACACTAGGCCACCTAGCTCTATTAATAGAGGTAAAAGACTTTGCAGATTTAAGTTCAGCATTTCAAGGATTTATACCTTTCACTATAAAGTTATCATGTGTGCCTTAAAATAATAATAAGGTAAAACTTTACCAATTTGACAAACATCTCACAAAATGAGTCAAATTCAGCAAAATGCTACTGTCACTTCAATATAAAATGCAGGACCCCAAATAATAAGCTGTCAGTTTTATAAATGAGTAAATAACAGCAATTAAATATAGAGGATATTTGTTTATTTGTGTGTAAGATGAAATTTTATTTCATCGAGTGGGCTTTAAAAACAGTATTCTCACGAGTGGCGTAGCCACGAGTGAGAATACTGTTTTTAAAGTTCACGAGATGAAATAAAATTACATCTTACACAACAAACAAACAAATTTTCTTTTTATTTTATGCTAAAAAACAAGTAAAAACGAAATTTCCATAATATTAACGTAAATATTAAAATCTGTTTTCCCCATTGAGAGCCCCATTTAGTCGGAATTTCTCATTAAAAACAAGAAGTCTTGAGCTGAAAAAATAAGTCCGACAATCAACGTTAAATGACAGTGATATTATTATTTATTTTGTTCAAAAAATATGAATTATTGCTTGTTTTAATAATAAAAACAAACAATTCTTGTAGGAGAAAATTCCAACCATCCATCCATATTTCTGTTACTTACTGCGAATTTATATTAGACATGGCTTTGTTAAATGTAAGCGGCAGCCATTTTTTAAAGTTGTGTATTTCACGGGAGGCAAATAATTGTGTTTGATTCAGAGGGATATCATTTGGATTTATTAGTCATACACCTTTTAAAAAGAAAGAAAACATATTTGAGGATTGAAACAGACATAAAATAAGTGTTGACAGATGTGAAAACATGAAAAAAGCAGCTAATATGAAAATGGAAAACTTGGAACTTGCTCGTAACGCTGGGTGGTTTACTTGTTCTACGAGCTGATAGCTGTCTATGCTTTTCAATTTTTCATAAAGCATACGGCAGTTATTGCTCCTAGGATACTTTAATATGCCCAAATGTCATCAAGAGCAGTTTGCATGTGGAAGGAATGTATTTTTCAGACTGTAAAAATGAAACAAAAAAATTAGAGACGAAATTTGGTGATTGGAATTTGAATGAATAGAAGTAAGTTTTCTCTCTTTATTACTTTTGACATTTAAGTTATTTATCTATTTCAGCTTTGCTATTTCTTTAAACAGCCTGACATTGTCAGAATTGTTAGCAAAAATAAAATTGAGGTACCACATGGGAAAAATCTTAAAAAAGTAGTCATTGAAAAGTGTGAAATTATATTTTGATAATTTTCACTGTGAAATTATCAAATATAATTTTCACGGATAAATCAGTAATCCACTGAAAAGCATAAAATAAACTGAAATATTCACAATTGATATGGGTAATATCAGTTTTTTGCAGGAAGCAGTGAATAAAACATGAATAAATCATAATATGTTAAGACATCAAATAAGGCCTACAACAGAACTGAACACATTCAGATCATGAACTTTTTTTCTACAGCCCGACCCTCCTAATTTTGTGTAATGGTCATGTCCCACTTTGAATTTCGAACAATTTATTAGTAATTAAAGGGATTTCAACATCAGAATAATACTGTTAGCTTGTAGCATTGAGCAATCAACATTTAACTGAAAACATAAACCATGTGATTCGTTGGTTCCTGATATAAGCGTGAAATTGGAAAAAGAAACATTTTTTAGTACCAAATACTCGAGTCTGATGTATGGCTCTTATGTAGCAATCTGAAAATGCCAATAAATTCATAATACAACTCTTATAAATTCATATATAAGTACACCATGATCAAATTCATATATAAGTACAGCATGATCAAAATTACAAACATGTACAACATGATCAAATTCATATACATGTACAGCCCGATCAAATTCATATACATGTACAGCCGGATCAAATTCATATACATGTACAGCCCGATCAAATTCATATACATGTACAGCTAGATCAAATTCATATACATGTACAGCCCGATCAAATTCATATACTTGTATAGCATGATCAAATTCATAACGAAAGATATGTACACAGTTTGCACTTCACAGCAAACATTAGAACAAACATCTCTTGCCACACACAAACAGAAACACAGAAACAAACAGAAAGGAAATGTTTAACAAAATTAACTACTGCACAAAAACTATACTGTCGAGTAATTCAATTCATGCTAGAAGGTAATTTATATCCCCAGAAAGTGTTATGAGAAAACTAGTTGTAGTCTAAGAAATTGAAATTTGGCAAAAATAATGTACATGTACATGGAATAACTTTTACTTACATACAGTCATGTACTTGATGACACATATTTTGACCTTGAACTTGCTAATCACATGACTGTCTTATATAGATTTTTAACAGATTCTGAAGTAAAAGCATGAACACTTTGTGTCTGGGATTATAAAAACACCTGCAGAATATCTAATTATAATTTTCATCACAACTAATTACATGGGAACAAACATATGATATGATAAACACATCTAGGCACACTTTCTGTTGTTACTACTATATTGAGCAAATAAAATAAAAGACTTGAACATTCTAGTTTAACCCTTTATATGCTAAACTTATTTGTCCTAATTTAAATTTTGAGCCTTCCATTATAAGTTAATTTATCAGGCTTCAAATTACTAAAATTAAACTACCAACAGTATAGAGCCTGGTCAGACTGCTCGGGTATTAAGTTTGATCCGGCTCTATACTGGGGGCAAAGGCGAATCCTAATCACCCATAGCATTAGACCACTGCGTAAAATTTCAAAGATGGCCTCATTTGAAACATTCTACGCACAGTAATTGGTCCATTTCTAATATTTTCAAACAACATTGTATTTAAAAGTCACTGTAAAGCATAATCCTAAATCTAAGTAAATCTACAATAACAGTTACTGTATAAGTGGTAAAGTTAGCGATGCCGAAAAATTGGCAAATTTCTTGTATTGACAAAGATAGCTAAAATTTCCCCTACCGTAAATATCAACCAGCCTGTCATTAAATTTTACCCTTGCATGATTCGCTAATATTTCCTCATGCGAAATGTCTGGCATTTTTAAATTCGCTAACTTTCCGACACGCTGAAATATCCACTTATACAGTTTAGTAAAACATTATGGAACTTAAAAGAAGGCTAGTGGAATGTAAAAGTTAATTCAGGAAAAAAACATATTATCCAGTCCCGTAATGTTAGAGGTGGAGTCACATTTTAATAAAGGAAATGTTGTGAAGGGATTTGTTGTTGTTGTTGTTTGAACATTACCACTTGTGTCCAGTTGCTCCGAAGAACCTGTTGAGAGGGTACAGAATCAAAAACAGAGAGTATAGATATTATATATATAAAGTAAGGAAATATGTCCGGTAAGGTGCATCTCAAAATTTGAGATAACAATTACATGAGCCGCGCCATGACAAAACCAACGTAATGCATTGGTGACCAGCATGGATCCAGACCAGCCTGTGCATCCGCGCAGTCTGATCAGGATCCACGCTGTTCGCTATTAGGATCTCTACTTGTTATAGGGTTTGTAAGCGAACAGCATGAATCATGATCAGACTGCGCAGATGCTCAGGCTGGTCTGGATCCATGCTGGTCGCGATTGCACTATGTTGGTTTTGTCACGACGCGGCTCAATTATATGAAGGGAAAGATATAAATACATGTATCATTGTTTCTTGTCATTTCATCTCAAGCCCTATACATAATGTTTTTTTTATTTTCCGGTGCCACTCACTTTTTTAGTTCTGTTTGAAGTAATGGCAGAGAACTCAATTAGCATAAAAGTTTTTGTATTAATGAAAATTTTATATATAATAAATGACAGAGGCATTAATGTAAATGGCGATAAGAAGAAAAGAGAAAAGAAAGTTAATTTATAGGACATAGAGGGTTTTTCTCTCTTCAAAACTGTTGATAAATAAGATATTACGATGTGTAATATGTAAAGGGTTCACTCTATGCCAAACATTTTCTTAAGTTAAACTTAACTAGACCTATCACTGAAGGAAATTAATACCCCCACCAGCAACTTTTTGAAAAAAAAAGTAGTCTGAAGAAAACTTTCAACACAAACTATCAACTGTGTACAAAGAAATATTTCAATTAATTGTAATCCCAACTGGGGTCTCCAAATAAGCTTGCTTTTCACAAAGTTTGATTACAATATCTCATTCCTAACTCTAGTTATTGTCCGGAAACCATTTTTCTATTTTTAGGAATGGTGACCTTGACCTTGACCCCAGGGGGTCCAAATGCAATACCAACCCAGGTCTTCATATAAGCTTGCTATACACCAAGTTTGATAACAATATCTCATTCCTAACTCTAGTTATTGTCCGGAAACCATTTTTCTATTTTTAGTAACGGTGACCTTGACCCCAGGGGGTCCAAAAACAATACCAACCCAGGTCTTCATATAAGCTTGCTATACACCAAGTTTGATTACAATATCTCATTCCTAACTCAAGTTATTGTCCGGAAACCATTTTTCTATTTTTAGTAATGGTGACCTTGACCTTGACCCCAGGGGGTCCAAATGCAATACCAACCCAGGTCTTCATATAAGCTTGCTATACACCAAGTTTGATAACAATATCTCATTCCTAACTCTAGTTATTGTCCGGAAACCATTTTTCTATTTTTAGTAACAGTGACCTTGACCTTGACCCCAGGGGGTCCAAATACAATACCAACCCAGGTCTTCATATAAGCTTGCTATACACCAAGTTTGATTACAATATCTCATTCCTAACTCAAGTTATTGTCCCGAAACCATTTTTCTATTTTTAGTAACCATGACCTTGATCTTGACCCCAGGGGGCCTAAATGCAATACCAACCCAGGTCTTCATATAAGCTTGCTATACGCAAAGTTTGATTACAATATCTCATTCCTAACTCTTGGTATTGTCCGGAAACCATTTTTCTATTTTTAGTAACGGTGACCTTGACCTTGACCCCAGGGGGTCCAAATGCAATACCAACCGGAGTTTCCACATAAGGTTGCTATATACCAAGTTTGATTACAATACCTCATTCCAAACTCTAGTTATCGTCCGGAAACCATGATGTGGACTGACCGACGGACCGACCGACAAGCTGACTCCTATATACCCCCCCTAAACTTCGTTTGTGGGGGTATAATTATTTATGGTGTAACTATATTCATGTATAATCATTTTTCTTCATAAATTAATGGTCCATAACTTGAATTGTGTATATTTTTACTTTCCTTAAAATCTAAGTATAGTTTTCTTAAAGTTGATTTTCTTGAAATATGTTAGGTCATTTGGAGGCATTCGGATTTTAAAATAATGTGGAATATGTCCCTAATATTTAATTTTCATTCACAAGACAGTAATACTGTATGTTGAAGGTAAAATTTCAATGCTTATTATTTGTTTTCTATATAAGCAAAACTGATAATTATGTTTTATATACATTTATACACATGTTTATTTATTATGATTTATTATGTTGATAAGACTGTGTAGGAAGTTTAAAAAAACAAAGTGGAAAACTATTCAAAAATAATGAAATCATTTTATGGTTTGTTTGTCTTTTGCATTACATTTAGCCTTGTTGCTATTTATTACCAAATCAAATATTACAAAATATTTACATGCATAAAAAGTTGAATTTTATTTCATATCTATCAATTGCACCCTATAAAAGCAGCACACCTTCAAAAGCTTGTCGTCAACTTTGATGAAAATTTAAAACTTGTTATTGTATGTAGTAAAATAGTTGTCACATGTATAAATAAAATAATTAAATCTTCCCTAAATTTAAAGGCACTTAATATTCATACACATTACCCTTAACAAGTCAATTAAAATATGCAGTTATACATGTAGCCATTACTTCTTTTCTTAAAATCTATTATCTCGAAGGGAGAAACTGTAATTGTTATTTATTACCAAAGTTTATGTTCATACTTCAAGTTGATGTTATTTAAAGCAGCATTCCTATATTACCTTCCTTTGAATATAATTGAGCTGCGTCACGACAAAACCAACATAGTGCGTTTGCGACCAGCATGGATCCAGACCAGCCTGCGCATCCGCGCAGTCTGATCAGGATCCATGCTGTTCGCATACAAGTAGAAAAACTGATAGCGAACAGCATGGATCCTGATCAGACTGCGCGGATGCGCAAACTGGTCTGGATCCATGCTGGTCGAAAACCCATTATGTTGGTTTTGTCATGACGCGGCTCAATTATATGAAGATATGGTCATTAATTGTGACTTAAATTGATGGTACATTGGTATAGATAATGTAAGTAATGCAGGTAAACTTTTGGTAGGAAAGGAGGTTTTACAATCTAGCAAAATACCGGAAGTAGTGGAAATACCGAAACATCTAATTCAGGTACTCAAGCACAGGATTAAGTTGAAAGAATAACAAATAAAAATTTAATAAACAAATCTTACTATAAATAAGATCAATTTTTAATAAACTGTTCTTGATAAAAAGCATAATTTTTTTTTTAAATATTTATTTTTTTTTAATATTTATATGAATAGAATATCAGAAAAATATAATCTTTAACATTAGCATGCTAATTTAATAACAGCATAAACAATTAATTCTAAAACTTTTTTGAATCCTTAAAAAAAAAATAACCCTTAAAAAGTTCCTGTAAGTTAGAACTAGCTTCCAATAGTTCATCTGGTATCAGTTGTAAACATATTTATAACTATATAGCTGGAGAAGTTGCTTTATTTATGGGAGGTGCAGGAATTTATATAAGGGCTCTATCTGTTGCATGTATTTCATCATAATAAAATCTGAAAAAAAGATAATAATTTATCAGACGATTTAGAATTGAAATGAGGGGGCGGTGACAGTGCCATGGTTACCGGTTTCGTACAGTAGTGTCACCATCAAATCTGAAAAAAGGTCAGCCAAGACTGTCAGAATCTGATATATTTTCTGAAAAAATTTAGTTCAAATAACTTCACAGTCATTCATATGAGTTATTATCACAAAATTAAATTCACACATGCAACATATTAACTAGCTTCAAAAATGCAGATCAGCCAAACTAAAACAATACTAATATAGCAGTTTTAATGAAATATTGTTAACATCCAATGAAAAAGCTCCTTACTGCCCTCTGCATCAGCCAATCAGGTAAGGTAACATAAACAGGATTTGGAAAAAAAGAAAAACATAAGTGTTATTACACACAGAAAAAAATGCACTGTAAAAACAACTAATGACAAATTAGAAAGCCACAAAAAATACTAATGATCATTTTTGTAATCATTTTTTTTCACATTCAACAATTTTATTCATATTATACTGCATAAAATTTTGCTACTTACGTGAAAAAGTATGAAAAATTTATTTCAAGGCAAAAGTTCAATTTAAACAAAAAAGAAAATAAACAAAAAAAATCCTATCTACTGGGTATATACCCCTGACAATGGAAGAACAACAATTCAAAAAGTTGACAATGCCTTAAGATCACCTTATTATTCAAAACACCATCAAAACTAATAACTATAGTAAAGTTTACATTCTGAACTTGTTTAAACTTTTGCAAAATCCCATATGTTCTTTTTTAAATTCATTTTTTTTCACATACATAGATTACATAATATTCAAATCTAATGAATGGTTAAATAGGAAACAGATTTCATTTGTTACACGGTTGTTGTTTTTTTTATCTGATTCAAGGAACAGTTATGCTGATATTGTTAATTTATGGAAGAACATCATCCATGATGCCTCTAAGCTGTGCATTATTTCAGGTACAAGCTTGGGTATAGTCACTCCGGGCCTCAGGCAAGCCAACTTCATACCTTCCTGGTTTAAAAAGAAACTTCAAAAACTTTACTGGAATTCAAACCATGAACTGTAATGGGCTTGTGATTCCAAATTGACAACTTACTCCTCTCAGCCAAGGATGAATCATGAATTATATTTTAGAGAAAAAAATTACATAAAATTGGATCCCATATAATGCTACCCTTCATAAAATTTCATGCTATTTTAAGCAACAGAAAGCTGAACATTCGGGTGAACTCGCACTCCCAAGATGCTTTGCAAAATCAATGAATAGTTTAATTTTCATTACTGACTTGAACAGTCCATTAATGATATTGGAAATTTTAACTGTCAACTATAACAACCTTATTTGTTAAGCATCTAATCAATATCCGCAACCATTTATAATTAATATTAACAAAACCCATGTGTTGTAAACAGATACTGTTTTCAGTATTATTATCATCAATTTATTGCCGTTCAATTCATATTATTCAATACATTTATATAGGACTTTTAAAAACTTCAGCATCGGAACAAATATTATGTTATTCTAAGCTAATTATTAACACTACTGTATACCGACACAGCCAATGGACGGTTCAATCCGACAAATTGTAATAATTACCAAGTTCGAAAAGTTTGCGAGAATAAATTTGCATTGCAAAACTTAATTTGATGTTTGTTCATGTTTAAATATTAATATGACCATCTAAAGAACAATGCGGATAAATAAAAACAATACATACTGCTCCATACGATTTCTGTTAAACGGTGCGGTGAAATAATTATCATCTTCCTCCATGAGGCTCTGATCAAGGTCAAATGGTGTCGGAATACAATCAAATATGCTGCTTGGCCCAAAGTTCATGTCATTCGGCTAAAATATAGAAATTATGTCACTGTTTTTTTCCTGAACAAAACAGGACTTGGGAAAAATCTTTGTTAAGATAAGTGTTTATGGGTCAGCATCCATAAATTTAGATTTGTCTGAAGACTGGGCTGGGGTGTTCAACAGATTTAATAGAATTATTGCTGACAATACTAACACTTACCTACTTAGTGGTTAAAATCATGTTTAATTTCTTTACACAATATGAGTATGATAAACAGGATAATATATAAATAATGCATAGGTTTGTGGGTAACAGTAAAAATATCATCCCAAAGAAAATATTTGTTACCCAAGGCATTAGATGAGGGTAAATGTATATTTATGAGGGATGATATCTTTGCTGTTACCAACAAACCTATGCGTTCTTTATTCTATTACCCCAAACAAGTACTTCATTGGGACACTATTTCTATTCGTTTTTATTTTTCATTTATTAACTGTGACATAGTACACTTGAATTTACAGTAAGAATAATACCCATTGGCCTATGGGAAATTAACATTACCAAAATAGTGAGGGGTAATTATATTTAATAACAAGTTGGTGCTGATTGAATATATCAAAATTAGAATAATATCATTCAGACCAAATATTATTTCAACCACTAAATCAAAGTTTAAAACTCAGTGCAGAAAACGTTTACTTTGATTATTAACATCTGACATGCATGTTGGTTTCCATTACACAATCACCAGCATCAATGACAGATATAAACAAGCAGTGACCAGTGTTTATGTCATATTGTAAAGAGCTGCCTTTGTAAAGAAGGCAGAGATGTCCTAGTGGTTAAGGGGTTAAGCTGTCTGCCTCTTAACCAAAAGATTGTAGGTTCGAACCCTACTTGGGGGTTGATATATTTTATACTAAACCATTCAAATGCCTGACATTATCATTCTTGCATTCACATCAAGCACAACTGAAGTCTATATAAGAACTTACTGCAAGGGGCATCTTCATGTTCATCATTTCCGCACCTTTAGCCAGGATATCCCAGGGGGCGTGAACTTTGACAAACGATACTTTCCCACTCTTTGATTCCTGAAAAAATCATAGAGGAATTCTTATAAACAGCAGATTTCTAAAAGCGCCTGAAATATAAAGTCACATTAGAAACCAAAATAGACGACAATGTTTCATTTAAGAAACAAAATATATTTTGCATATTATAAGAAAATTACATATCAATTGTCATTGAACTTTATGATACATGTTTCATATCAAATCACTTTGCTGATCTGGAACTTAGAAATTGTTCTCAGTTCTTTATCGCTTTATCAGAAAGCATGTAGTTCCTTATCTCTTTATCATGTTCCCAGTTCTTTATCTCTATATCATGTTCTCAGTTGTTTATCTCTTAATCATGTTCTCAAATCATGTTCTCAGTTCTTTATCTCTTTATCATGTTCTCAGTTTTTTATCTCTTTATCAGAAAGCACAGTTCTTTATCTCTTAATCAGAAAGCAATGCAATAGATAGTTATGTATAGAAAGACAAGTATACTTAGAAGTTTAACTACAAACAGATAAACAAAGGGACAGACAGATGGACAGACAGTATAATTATTAACTACTGTTTGAAAAAATATATAAATATACAGTAAATTTTATCATTCAATTTCATAGAGGCATATCACTGCAGAACTATTAATCAGAGATACATAAGAGGGTTTTTCTATGTGAGATTAGGTCATACTGCATTCAATTATCAAGATCAATCAATACATTGTGTGAATAAGGTCAAAATGTCAAATCATATTGAAAATTTAAAATGTGACATTACCAACACAACAAGTATTGCTGTAAAGGAAAGAAAAAAAGTACATTGCAAAATATCTACAGAAAAAAAAAACATATTAAAACAATATTTTATATCTTTATCATAAGGCAAAAACTAGAACTGTGTCCAAAGGACACGGATGCCCCCACTGACAACATATATATGGTATATAGTGAAAAATTCAACAAAGGGCCATAATTCTGTTAAATTTGGTCACAGCAAAAATTCCTTCCTTTACTACCATCTACACATGAAGGTTGCTCATCCCTGGAAGTTTAAGCAAAATCTGCCAACCAGTTTAAGAGGAGTTGCGTTCACAAAATTTCTACATAGTATATAGTGAAAAAATCAACAAAGGGCCATAATTCTGTTAAATTTGGTCGCAGCGAAAATTCCTTCCTATACTACCATCTACACATTAAGGTTGTTCATCCCTGGAAGTTTAAGCAAAATATGCCATCTGGTTTAAGAGGAGTTGCGTTCACAAAATTTCTACATAGTATATAGTGAAAAAATCAACAAAGGGCCATAATTCTGTTAAATTTGGTCACAGCAAAAATTCCTTCCTTTACTACCATCTACACATTAAGGTTGTTCATCCCTGGAAGTTTAAGCAGAATCTGCCATCTGGTTTAAGAGGAGTTGCGTTCACAAAATTTCTACATAGTATATAGTGAAAATATCAACAAAGGGCCATAATTCTGTTAAATTTGGTCGCAGCAAAAATTCCTTCCTTTACTACCATCTACACATTAAGGTTGTTCATCCCTGGAAGTTTAAGCAAAATCTGCCATCCGGTTTAAGAGGAGTTGCGTTCACAAGATTTCGGGACGTACAGACAGACGTACGGACGGACAGACGTACGGACGGACGGACAAGTGCAATTTCAAATAGTTTTATAACAAGACCTTTCTAAGGATAGCATCCTCCAATTTTCTTAATGCTGGATACAAATAAAAGGGGGCATAACTCTGCAAAAGTGCTTGGCAGACTCACCTAAACTTGAGTCAACAAATATTTCAAATTTTAACTGAACACCTTTAATAGTTTCTGAGAAAAAAAGGCAAAATTCTAAATCAAAAAGGGAAATAATTGAGCAATTTTTTTTTAAAGATTATCTGCCCCTTAGAAATGCATTTCAATTTTGTTTGTTTGTTTGTTTGTTTCATTTTACGCCTTTTCCCAACAGTATTTCAGTCCTATAGGCGGGTAGTTTCCTAACCATCATTCCTGGAGAGTTACACCAGTACTAAACTACCTCCCTCCGCGCTAAACTACCAAAGCATCTCCCGAGATCGAACCCACACCAGAGAGGTAACTGGATTAGAAGTCATCGACTCTAACCCCTCGACCACGGAGGCCGTCTTATTTCAATTTTGAAAAGTGGCACAAATAAAATACATTTCTTTATGGAAATAGACATAGTTTGGCAAACTAAATATTAAGTTGTATTTGTTTACTTTGTAACAGTTATTAGTACCCTGCCAAATTTATGTAATGAACACTTCCTGATTTGTATTTGGAACAGTCCATTTATATTGTGAGGGATTTTCAAACTGTAGTAAAGAATGTACAAATGAACAGGCTCGCTTTGTTCTTCACTAGTGACATTAAAAAAACATGATCTTTGATACTTTTAAAAGAATTATAAGGAAAGAAATATTTTAATTTCAGTGTAAAACATGCTTCAAGTGTGCAAAGTCAGGTACAATATATAATTACCTTCTGTCAATGGTCAAATATAAAAATATATATCAAATTTTAGAGGAGATTCAAACTCATAGCTTTGTATTTGAAACTCATACCTTTGTATTTATCTAATTGATATGTACACAGGAATGGTATTTAAAGAGTTTACAGATATTTTTAGGAATGTTATTACAAGAAATTATAGGTATTTCTCGGAATGGTATTATACAAATTACAGACATTTCTATGGGTGAAGTAACAAGAAATTACAGATACTTCTAGAAATGGTATTACAAGGAATTACAGTTATTATAACAAGAAATTACAGATATTTCTAGGAATAGTATAACAAGGAACTACAGATATTTCTAGACATGGTTTAAACAGAAATTACAGATATTTCTAGGGATGGTATAACAAAGAATAAAAGATATTTCTAGAGATGGTATAACAAAGAATTACAGATATTTCTAGGGATGGTATAACAAGGAATTACAGATATTTCTAGGGATGGTATAACAAAGAATTACAGATATTTCTAGGCATGGTATAACAAGGAATTACAGATATTTACAAGAAATTACAGATATTTCTAGGGATGGTATAACAAGAAATTACAGATATTTACAAGGAATTACAGATATTTCAAGGGACAGTATAACAAGAAATTACAGATATTTCTAGGGATGGTATAAAAAGAAATTACAGATATTTCTTGTAATGGTATAATAAGGAATAACAGATATTTCTGAGGATGGTATTAAAAGGAGTAACAAATATTTTTAAAATGGTATAACAAGGAATTTCAGATATTTCTAGGGATGGTATTACAATATTATTTTGATATAAAGGTTATACCAAAGCTTTTTCAAACTCTAGCTGAAGTCCTTCCCTTTCCAACTCTTTCTGGAAGTATTCTCGCTTGGCAACCCTGTTTTCTTTATCTGCGGTACCTGGCTCGAATGCCAACACATAGTCAATGCGCCGGACACCATCATCGAAATACATGGTTTCCTCTAGTTGTGGATCCTGTTTAGATAAAATAATTCCATGACACATTTTTTGATTGCATTATACACTTTGTTTCAAACATTATATACCTTAATGTGTAAACTATTATTTATTATGCAAATATTTGAATCTTGTTAAAAATTAGTAAATTATTGTATTATAATTTAGAAAAAAGTAAAAACAATAGATACAATAAACAGGTATATGGTACAAAAAATAAATGGATTAAAATATAAATCATAAATCTGTAACATTTAAAGCATACACATGTAACATTTGAAGCATGCACAACAATGGAATAAAGGATATAATTTCTGACAATCACTTTTTCAGGTCAAACAAATTTATTTTTTTAATTCAAACAAATTTATTGACGGCAAAAAATGATGGCATTTAAAATGATTAAACACTTCTTATTATCCATTTTCTCTATCCACTCACAAAATTTCTCCAAGTTCCAATGCTAATCTGTCTCGCCAATCAAATGCATTAATGTTGCTATGATCATCATAAGTTTATCTAACCTTTGAACTGCTGAATTTTTATAATGGACTTGCCCTTTTTAGAATTTGGAGGAACAGTCCATTTGAAAATTTTAAGATTTCAAAATTAAAATAATAAAATTGAGCTACCCAGCAGTATGAAGCCTATTAAGACAGCCAGGATGTGCAAGCTGACCTGGGACTATACTGGTCGCCAATTTTACGGTTCGGTAGCAAAGCTAATCACTCACTACAGTCAAGTCATATAATTGATGAGATATTGTTTTACATTAATCCTATACCTTAGAGACAGATCTGTCCTAAACTGCTGATGATATTCTATATTTCGTTGCTGGGAAACAAATTTTGCTAATTAAATGACATTTGTTCTTTTTCTATGAATTTATAACATCATTTTGTGATTGTTTAATATTTCACAGGGGAAAAATTTCAGATTGTAGGTTTGTCCACTTTTTATGCCGATATCAACACATTTTTTTTTATATCAGTAAACAACTTTCCTGGATAACTTACCAGTAATGTAACAGTTAATTATTACTAACTTCTTCGCAAGTGACAGACTACTAAATCCTAAATAAATTCTGAACCAGAGTGGTAAAAAAACAAATGACCATCAGACCCAATGTCCTGGAGAAATTTTGCCATGCCCAAGGAACATTTACCAGTAACCCCTGGATTTCAAATCTGACGTTCTCCCTATAAAGCTAAGCAGGTGGTCACATGATCTCGGAATAAGATGTGACAGACAAATAACTACAAGACTCAATATCGGTGATCAACTGTAACATATGGGAAACTTTGCATTGCCAAAGTTATTATTAGTTTAAAACATGACAGTATTTTAAGTCACTCTTTTAAAGACTAAAACATCTAACAATTTATCTTTATGAAAATGAACAGCATTTAAAATGTTTTTTTTACAACTTGTACTTTCCAAATGTCCAGCTTATAAGCCGAATTCTTAATTTCTCAAAACTTAATAACAATATATTTTTTTGTTTTCATCATTTAAAAACATCTACTGAGACAGGTGATTTGCTACGTAAAGCTAATCATGATATAATGACATAAAATGTAGTCAAATATGTACAGTTCTTACCCACACATATAACTATGATAAGAATATCCTAATATTAGTCAAATTTGTTCACTTATCATTTGTATTTTTATGTATAATTAAAATCAATTTATTTGTACGCAGAATCTATTTAAAAAAAGATAGCCATCCATTTTATAATTATATATATATATATAATTATATATTTTTTTTTTGCCAAATATAAAAATCGAGTGACCTAATATTCTTGGGATTTTATGCTCGTACATTACTGAACTATATTGATTTTGCCAACATTTCTGTCTAACTCAATAAAACCATAAAGCTCATTACCATACATGAACATGTTTTATATCACATTATCACAGACAACACTGATTTCTTTAAAACAGTTTCTGAAATTCTAATTTCTAAAAATTACATGTTTACATTTACAGAATTTTTTTCCATCTCTTTTTGGGATTTTCTTTTAGTCCTGAAATCAACTACTATAGAAGAACTTGAGTTGTAAGAACAGAGAACTGAGGTAAATTCCAATTCCTAGCTATTTTAAATGAGTCCATTATAATTGATTGGTCTACATTAAAATGATATAAAACAATTTTCAATTAATTCATTAAGACTTAATTAACCAGTTATTTTACCCAGTTGAATATAGATTGTGTAACATACAATATCCTGCCTTGAATTCCGTCTCTGATATCAATATCAAAATATCTAATTTTTGAATTTTTTTTTGGTTGGGTTTTACACCGCACCAGTTTAAGTAATATGGCGACTTTCCAGCTTAACTGGTGGAGAAAGACCTCAGGTGCCCTTCTGTGCATTATTTCTGGCACAAAATTAATGGGCATCTAAGTAGAACCATCAACATTCCTCAAGTATAGCTGGATAGCTTCTTCACATGAAAGATACCAAAGTCCCTGCCGCAATTCTTAGCTACAGCGGTAGGGGCAAATGTTTTGAAGTCAACAACCTTAACCAGTCAGCTCCTGTTCCCCTATTAAGCAGCCAGTATTATGATATACAGTCAGGTCAGAATGCATGAACGTGCAGGTTGGCCTGACTCTATATAATAGGCATTATAAACAAGTCCATTTTGTTGACATCATTTACGGCTGAAATATCATTGACATTTTAGCAATTTATTCTTGTCTATATCATACAATATTATTATTCTATCACAGATTACATACAAAAACAAATCTTTTCAAAATTTGATTTATTTGAATAATTTTACACCTAAGTACTTCATTTAACATTGTAACAAATACAAATTTATACAATTAAGCTGTTATGCATGCATGCTCTTAAATATTTATTTCAACTTTATGCATAAACTTTCAAACAATTCATTATAAGCACACAACAATCATACAACACAACATCCAATGCCCAAAATAATATATAGCTATTTCCCTGCTTTAAAAAACTGCAAATCAAGGCGCAAGATTTAAGTACAAGTGATTTTACATTAAATATCAAGTATGGATTTTGTATATTGGTAAGAATGATATAAGACTGTAAGATTGGTTGCTGGCTTGAAGTCATAGAGGAGTCATGAATGCTAATTGAGGTGTTGTCATTGATGCCTGTGTGGTGATCATTATAATTATACAGTCCAGTAGCAGGTACCAAAGTATGGTTATTATAGCACTTGGTGAAAAAGTAGTCAGAGAATTTTAGCAATAGTCAAGAATTTTTGGCAATAGTCAGGGATTTTTAGCAATAATCAGGGATTTTTGGCAACAGTCAGGGATTTTTAGCAATAGTCAGGAATATTTGGCAATAGTCAGGGATTTTTAGCAATATTCGGATATTTTTGGAAATAGTCAGGGACTTTTTAGCAATAGTCAGGGACTTTTCGCAAGTCAGGGATTTTTGGCAACAGTCAGGGATTTTTAGCAACAGTCAGGGATTTTTGGCAATAGTCAGGGATTTTTGGCAATAGTCCTATAGTCAGGGATTTTTGGCAATAGTCAGGGATTTTTAGCAATAGTCAGGGATTTTTGGAAATAGTGAATTTTGGCAACAGTCAGGGATTTTTGGCAATTAAGTCAGGGATTTTTGGCAATAGTCAGGGTTTTTTGGCAATAGTCAGGGATTTTTGGCAAATTTCATCAATTCATCAGTGTTTTTATCTTTTATTTATGTCACCTCTAAAATGTAAGTTCTTTATGCAAGAATATATCATACAACATCTGTGAAATAAAAGAAACTGAACCTCATAATCTGACCATATAGTAGATTTTAATTATCATGCAAATTAATATCTCCAAAATCATAAGCCCACAAGATTAAAAAAGAAAAAAAAAGAAAGGAAAACGCTGAATAATGAAATAAAATAAAAAAAAGAAACCTGATAATCTTATCATGCATGGATGAATGCTTACTTAAATGGCTTATCAGTTAATGTCTTATTTGACACTTACATCATTAAATAGCTTACACAGACTAGTCCATACTTCAATCTGGACAAAACCATTCATAATTTTTAAGGACAGTTTAGAAAGATGTGCAGACTGAATCAGCAAACAGTGCAGACCATGGTCAGACAGCATGGATCTTAGTCTGCACTGGTTGCATGTGTATATTCAGTTGCCACTTAGTCTAGTAACAAAGGTAAATGATAAAGAAAGTTTACGGTTTAAATACAATATCAAATATCTTTATATATACAAGTTTAGGTGTATCAACATTCAACCATGCAGAAACTAGCAATATACAAAATGTACAAAATAAAAATAATATACAAATTCTTTTAAACCCCTAGTCCAACTAATTGTACTGCGCGACGAGATATTGTGCTATTTTCGTGTCTGGGCAATATCTGGCCTCTACAGCGAGATTCTGCCCCAGAACGAAAATATCTCAGAATCAAGCTTTGGCACGTCAATATATTTTGACTATTAAACCCCATGATGATCCAACGAAATATCAAAGCAAAACAGTGAAGACTGACTGAAAATGATTCAAATCATATAGACCAATATATAATAATTATAAAATATACACAACAGTAAACATACCCATGACCCTGCTCGAACTCTGACCCCTTTATCAGGGTCATTAGGGTCAACTAATAATGCCTCACTTTCAAACTGCTGAATGCATTAAGTGAAGATAAAAGAAATGGCTGATTAGTAAACTGGACATGCAAAATATAAAATGCATATATCTTATATATATAGCACTGAACAAACCATGACAAAATGTTCCTCCTTTGATCAGGATCATGCAAAAGGTTTTCTGATTTAAGACAGAATAAAATAGGAAGTGATTGTTGGGCACAAAAACCTACGTATTTCATACATATAGTTGCTAATAATTCAATTTAACCTTAATGAATAAAGAAAATCTAAACTGAAATTGAATAAGTACAAAAAATTTTCACTTAATAAAGTTGTTTTAAAAATGCATAGTTTTCATATACATGTACACAGACTGAATCAAGCTTTAAGAAATGTCATTTTTACATTTAGATCATACTACATCTGACTGTAACATGCATGTAGACTTTCTGTCATTGCTTTTGGGGTCGTATACTACACATATGTACAGACTGGATAGTTGTCTGACTACTGATATATGTAAAGACTGGATTGTGGCAGAATACTCATATGTACAGCCTGGATTGTAGCAGTCTACACATATGTACAGAGTGGATTGTGGCAGACTACTCGTATGTACAGACTGGGTTGTGGCAGCCTACTCATATGTACAGACTGGATTGTGGCAGACTACACATATGTACAGACCAGAATTTGATCAGACTACACATATGTACAGACTTGATTGTGGTCAGACTACACATATGTACAGACTGGATTGTGATCAGACTACACATATGTGCAGACTGGATTGTGGTCAGACTACACATATGTACAGACTGGATTGTGATCAGACTACACATATGTACAGACTGGATTGTGATCAGACTACACATATGTGCAGACTGGATTGTGGTCAAACTACAAACTTTAATGTACATATATGATTATGTTTCTTGTATTTTTATGTTGATGTGAACACATTTGTTGTCATATCTCAGCACCAGACTTCCTGGATGACCAATTGCTATCAATTTTTCCGCAAGTGACCAACTTACTCATCTTGCATGGTAACTACACATATGTACAGACTTAAATGAGAATCAAGGGATTATGAGGGCTTATTAGTTAAGCAGTGATCTAAAATCAAGATGCCAGTCTGTTAAACTAGTGTTATTACTTAAAGTTATTGTATGTATGTGCTATGTGTTTTTGTGTTCACATGCTTAAGCTTGTATAGTTATCTAATTTCCTTCATTCAAACCATACTAGTATACATGTATACAGTTTGTGGATATATAATTTTATGTAATCCTAATCGTATATTCAATGTTATACAAAATTAATGTTAATTTCACATTTTTTTCAGGCTTTCAACTAACTTGTATAAAATACTTTTCTCATAATAAGATAGGAAATTACTTAAAACAATTTAACTAATTTTGCTTATTTCACATTTAAGGATACAATCCTGTAAGATAGAAATGGGTATGGAACAGGGAAATATGGGAAGAAAATAAGCAAGGAAGGTTGAAAGCCTGTCATTTTTAGATGTATATTATTGTCAGACAATGCTTCATCCCCATACTTAAGGTTTTTCTGGCATAATATAATATGAACATGTATATACATGTATATATATAATGTATATATACAATAGTTTATAGAAAAGAAACCTTGGATCGTGGTATAAGTGACAACTCCTCTTCAATATCCTGAAGTAAAACAGTTGCAAGATTTTTTATTTTAATAAATTCACTTATTTCAAACCATGCATAAGAAATATCTTGTTAACTAGCCCACATTGATGGTCAGTAACACAATATTTAACCATTACTATCCAAACTTTGTAGCCAGACTTATTCCAATTTGAATCTCTTTTTTTTTTGGTGGGGCTTTACGTCACACCAAAACAGTATAGGTAACATTGCGACGTTCCAGCTTTACCTGGTACAGGAAGGCCTCAGGTGCCCTTCCGTGGATTATTTCAGGCACAAAAGGGCACCTGAGTAAACCACAGACACTCTGTAGGCCAGCTTGATAGCTTCTTCACGTGAAAAAAAATCCAAAGTCCCTGTCTGGATTCGAAACCAGTGGTGAGGGACAAGTAGTTTGAAGTCCATGTTCTTAACCATTGGGCCACGGATGGCCCTTTCCGATTTGAATTTTCAAATATCTGTTGTGAGAGATTTTTTAACTAATACTGACACTTAATTTAAGCAGGCAGCACAGTATGAATAAAATCTACAGACATAATTATAACAAGTTGATAATAATCATGGGCATTTCTTATCATGGCAATTAAGTAGGTTAGAAAGGTCTTTTACTGCTTGTCTTTCATATTTAAGAAGTCTTCTTAATATTGATCAATCAAAGAAACTTTTTTGTAGAGAAATATAGCAAATTTCATAAACACTTGAGGGTGAATATTCATAATATACATGTATCTACACAAATATTTTGAAGCATATTCCTTACAATATGGTGAAATCACAACAGCCTTTAAAACTTGTAAAAGAGCAGGGCCAGCAAACATTGTATACCGACTGACCTAGTTGTAAGTCTATTGCGATCATCCTTAGCTCTAAAACTTTTAACCCTTAACCTACAAGAATCATATGCCTTTGCCACCAGTATAGAGCCAGGCCTGCTTGCACATCTGTGCTGTCTGACCAAGATCATTATACTGTTGGCTGACTTACTTTAAACTTCCAACTTTATTTACTAAAAATTGATAATAGAAAGTTCAAATAATGGGAGCTGGTCATGTCAGAAGTTGACAGCAAATTAAGGGTTGAAATGTATTGTTATCATGATCCATAGGATGTATTTAAATTTTAGATCACAAGACAAGCACCTGACATACTCTAACAGGCTGATGCAAAAAAAAAAAATGCAAAAAAATCTATAGAAGGCACATTCAATCAAAAATTCTTTTAAAAACACTTAAAAAAGCAGATCCCAGGTAGTATCATATCACTCATCTCCTCTTGTAGCAAAAACACATGCTTAATTGTATGACTGTTTAAATTACAATCACATTTGTGTAGTCATGGCTTATCATGGCCTTAATGATTGCTTATCATCCATTTGCTTGCAATATACATGTAACACTTGGGAGAAAAGCCCTCATACTATAATGACAAGTCACATGAGCAACAGACCATCATTCATGTCAGGAAAATACCATTAGTTTCACACTCTATATAGAATTTTTCTATTCATCAAACTTAAATCATGTCTTAAGGAAAAACAAGGTGTCTTGTTTTACATATGTTTCAAGGAAAAACAAGGTGTCTTGTTCTATATATGTATCAATCATTAACCCTCTGTCTTTGCCGAGCTACATAATACACAAGTTGTGTGACTGCCATTCATTTACTTGAAAAATACCCATATTCAAGACAGTTATTGCAATTTTTTTCATGCATTAACATCTGCAGAAGCAATACATGTACAATACATTTACAGCCCCAGTCCACAGGGCGAGGGTTTCAATAAGTCTGAGGGTTTCTGCAGATGTTAATGCACGAAATAATAATTAGATTTCTGATTGATTAAAAGTTGATAAATGTTTATCATAGATTTATATCCAGGTTTCCTGTTTATTGATTTACAAGGCACCAAAAGTTTGTGTGTTTTTTTTGTACTCTCATTTATAATCCTAAAATAAATTATAAACAAATTATAAACATATAATATATCCCCAGATAATCCCTCCCCTACCCAAAACAAACTTTGTTTAAAATTGATTTTAAAATGCACTGCTCTTCACTGAACATGATTGTATAAGTCAGGCTCAATTAAGGTATTAGTTATCAATTCAAATTCATAAGCATAAGCCTTACGATGTCTTTAGTGTATCACTGATAATTCAAAAAAGTTACCCACTACAAAAAAATTTAGAAAGAGTAAAATTATCTGTTAGTTAGTAGAGTAAAATTAGAATAGTACATAATAATTATGTATCAATAAATGTTAAAGGAACTTCACTGCTTTTTTTACATAACAGGACTGGAAAATTATTTTTTTCAAGATTTGTGTACCATTTGTCTGGACTAATGACTTCTGTGAATATTTTTAGATCACCTGCTAACTTGGATTTTCTAAAAATAATCATTTAAATTGTGCAAAAAACCCTAAAACATGAACACTTAAAACACAAATTGGGCTAAGAATCACATAAAAAAATTGATTTTCAATTTAATTCTGAGTGCTTTTTCTTTATATTCCTTTTCATAGGAATTTCAAATTTCATGGTTTAAGACTTTTGGACCTCAGTGGGGCTTCTTAAAGAGTATGCCATTTTGATTTGAGCATCAAGGTTTCTTTTGATCACTTACAACACCTTTTGTTCATTATTCACTATCAAAGAAAATCATCATGATAATAAGATTAAATGAGCCGCGTCACGACAAAACCAACATAATGGGTTTGCGACCAGCATGGATCCAGAGCAGCCTGCACATCCACACAGTCCGATCAGGATCCATGCTGTTCGTTTTCCAACCCTAATACAAGTAGAGAAACTGATAGCGAACAGCATGGATCCTGATCAGACTGCGCAGAAGCGCAGGCTGGTCTGGATCCATGCAGGTCGCAAACACACTATGTTGGTTTTGTCGTGACGTGGCTCAAATCATTCTTTTGTAACGAAGAAGCTGGACTGTATTTCAAGCAGTCAACTTTATAATTACCCCTTTTTTATTATCCAGTGGAACTGTCTCTGAGATCACCACCGTAGGTCCATTGTCTTCATTGTTCACAGCTGAAATAGATTTACAAAAAAATAAAGATATATTTCACAGCTTTTTCGGCAATTTTTATTGATAATTACCCTAATATATAATTATGTTTGATAAATTTTCAGTCTTTTTAATAGATTGTTTTTCATAAACTCACAACATCAAGTTGCAGTTGTAGAAAGTTTCCCCATACTTTATGTAAGTGTTGATAATAATTTTTCTTTCTTTTTTTTTTGGTATCACCCTAATAGTGTCATATACAATGTATGTTATATACTGCTAAAATATTGCTAGGAGGCATGAGAGATGTTGCATTTTTCTAGTGGCCCGTGGTCACATAAGAAAATCTCATTATTAGTGTGCCCAATGTTTAGAGCATTAAAAACTCATTATTATTATAATGAAGTTACAGAGAATCAATATCACCAATGACAAATGTTTGTGACAATTATCTTGTTCCTTATTTATACATTATGCCTTATAACCTTACAAAATATGCTTCTTTTACACAGTATCATTTTATCAAAATAATGTGGCCTGTACATAAACCTAATAAGATTTAAGCACAAATACTATTTGTTTATTACTTATTAATGATTGATTTTATTGGAGTTGATTTTCTCATAACATTTTTCATATACATGTATTTTCATATAATTAAACCTTAACCTGCTGAGTTTGTTAAAGGAACTCCACTGAGTCCAAAAGCCTAATTAAAAACATAAAATTTGAATTTCTTACATAAATCAGCTGGGGCACTTAAAACAGAAAGATGTGCAAAAGAGAAGTAAGAAATACACTCAGAAATAAATTGAAAATCATTATTTTGTGCACTTCTAAGACTGATTTCAGTGAAAAGCATTGCAATGCTTTTCAATTTTGGGTCAATAATTATTCTGGAAAAACGGAATGAGCAAACAATAATTTTGCACACATGGTATTGGTCTAGATCTACATCAAATGGGGAATTAATTTCGAAAAAATTATTTTCAGTTCCATCATGTCAAAAAACCACTGTGGAGTCCCTTTAAATAGATCTGTTTAGCTTTAACTATTAGTTAGTCCATTCAGAAAACAATAATGTACAGAGCTTGTTCAGTCTGCATGGAGGTTTCCAACAGGTTATGGGCTCAAGTAAATATACTTGAACATACAAAAAGTAAAACCATCACCCGTTAACAAATTTGAACCAACTGGAACCAAGGGACACACCCCTACTAAAAATTACATTATTCAAATTTGACAGGGTATGGTTTACAATAAACACAACATATAATAAATTTTACTTTTTGCTATATAATTATATAAGGTTAACATGGTTTCATGCCCTTATAAACATCCAGTCAGCCATTCAAGCAAATGTGTGAACAAAATCTACATGTAAAACACATAATCATCTTCTCTTACCAACAAATTAAAATTTATTCAACCTTACCTACTGAATTTAATATAATGGATTTGCCTGCTTTGAATTTGGAACAGTCCATTTGAAAATTAAGGGATTTCAATATCAAAATACAATAATTCAACTATCAATAATTTAGAACCACCAGTCCTGGTCTCACAAATGTATAGCCTGGCAAATGGCTCAATTCCTGTGGACAAGTCTTAAAACTCCGGTGCACGCAGGTTAAGGATATATAGAATACTGGTTCAAATGTTATAAAAAATTGTGTTTACATGATTTAACCAGCATGTGCTCTTTATTGATATCAATATTTCTCAACTTTAAAGCAATGAAACAAACATTAAATATAAAATGCTATGATATATACACCTTGGATATTGTGACGAAAAGATTGCAAAATGATAAAACATCATTTTCTTATTGTGAATAACAGAGACAATGTTATAATGTAAAGTTGTTTTTTTTGTTAAGCAATTTTGCTTTTTTTTTGTTTGTGAACAAATGAAAAGTTTTTTACAAGGGAATTTTTGGCCATCACCAAAAAAAAATTAAAAATTTCAATAGATAATGCTTCTAAATATTTTAACTCAAACTGCATGTCAGGAAGTAATAGTTTTTAACCATGTAACTAAAATATCAGCCAGCACATCTGTGCCATTTATTCAGTCAGTTCATGTTTTTCCTTAAAAATGATGAATGGTTTAGTGCAGATTGAAAGTTGAACAAGTCCATTTCAAGTACAGTTGTATTTAGAATGGTAAGGTTTAAAACAGCAGGGTATGGTTAAAACACACATTTGTATTTTCACTGACAACCATACAAGAGGACAGTATTCATTGTTGGGAATCATAACGTCCTGACCTTCTACTAATTTTACATGCCACAGGGTGAGAAAAATGTGCAGCCTGACCAGTGACCCTCGGATTACCGTTCTGCGTCTCTAAAGTCTGAGCTATCTGGCCGCTTTCACATCTTCTCCACTAGTGAGCAGTTCTGAATCTATATGCAGTCACAGTCCCCTGTTGGGCGCCAAATGCCACAGGTGAGAAATATGTGCAGCCTGTCAGAGACTCAAACCCGGGACCCTAGGAATACCCTTCCCCGGCTCTACTGACCGAGCTCTCTGGCCGTTTACACATCTTCTCCCCTAAATAGTGAACAGTTCTGAACTATGACAGACATATACATGTATATACATCATCAGGGTTTTTATAACCCCAAGACATCTGCTAATTGTATGTCACAAAGCAGGATGAAAATTTAGACAGAAAATGCATAGACATTATGACAAGCTGATGCATATTTAATAAACATCTTTAGATTCTATAATGACATTTTAATGTATATAATGTCTATTTTTATTCTTTCTTTTCTTTTTTGGCTTGCTTTGTTTTTAAGGCACACTAATCTTGTACAGGTCATATGGTCACTATCAAGATTTACTGGCACAGGGTGATCTCAGGCATCCCTGTGTGCAAGCAGCATTATTTTATGCAAGCACTGATGAGCAATTGCACTGACACTCATTAAGCTAGCAGGATAACAGTTACTCTCACATGGAATCATTGGTGGTCTGTGACCCAAGTCAAAACCTCCAGAAATAAGAGGTACATGTGTAAGTGACCAAATGAAGGCAACCATAATCTCTCCATTTTTTATGCTTATATTTTTTTTTGATAAATAAACAGTATCTGTCTTCAAAAGGAAGTTGCCCACTCACATACTAATTGATACAATTATTTATTACCATAATACTATGGTATAATTTGGATTTTTGTAGCAACTATTACTAATTTAGCCATTGTTATTAAGCTAATAGGTCTGCTCTAAAGACCAGCCACTGTAATTTTCTCCTTTTTATCATATGATATAACAATTATAACAAGAGCAATCAGTGATCACATGTGTCACCTCATGATAGCCATAACTCAGCCAAAAATTATTCAACCTAAAAACCTGTGTAATATGCACAAGAAAGTGAGCTTCCAATCAATCCTGTAAAGTTTCACTGAAATTTCATAAGTGGTATAAGAGGAGTTAAATCCGGAAATTTTAAAAAAATTAAGATCATTAAAGGGCCATAACTCTGACAATAATCATTGAACCAGAAAATGCTTATGATATGCACAACTAGACTTGTTACTGATCATTCCTGTAAAGTTTAGATGAAAATGAACCAGTAGTTTTTGAGGAGTTTTGTGACAGACAGATGTACAGATGTCGCCCCACTACTCTGTAGAAGCGACACAATAAATTACCTTGCATTTCAAAGCCAATTGGTTTAGTTGGAGCAGCTGTATCTTCAAATCCAATAGGGTTGGCATGAGAGGGTTGGGCCGGCTGCCCGATTGCTGGATACAGGTTACCGTCTTGAGGAGGAGGGACAGGTGCCTGGTATGGTGCTGGTGCTACTGTTGCTGTAAAATAAACAACAAAATTAAATACACTTACAAATAAAACTTGTAGGATGCTTATAATAAAAGTATTTTATTCAAATGTAGTTTTATATCGCAAGTTTATGAATTTTGATACAATATAGATACAGGTTGACATTATATTATGTCCCTGAAAACAATCAATTGAAAACTTTAGATAAAATTAATAACTTCAATATTGACTCAAATCATGAAAACAATTTTCACATGTTTGTATAATACAATTATAGTCATTCTAGTCAAAAGTGAGTACATTTTGTAGTTTTGTAGAATATAAATACAAATTATATCTCACAGTGAAATATAAACCAGTTGGAATATAATTTGAGAAGACCATGATTTGCTTTATGTACCTGAATAATCATATTAAAAATTTCAAGAATTTCATATTTTGGGTAGCATTATTTCTAAAAGAAATTATGAAATTTGGTCAGATTATTTACAAGTTAAAATAAAAAGTAATGTGAAAACAGACAACAACTAAATTATAGAGCAAGAAAAGAATCTGACAACATCTGGTTAAAGTTCAACAAGGAAGCAAGGTATAAGGTACAGATCTGCAAGGTGTAATTATCTGCAATATAAATATTATTATAATGCACCAGCCATTCATCAACCAGTAAAGGTCAATGGAGGACATTTGAGACATATACCTCTCACCTGAATACCAGTTAACTTGTGCAAGATAAACTTCCCCAAAGCTTTACATTTCAAAATGTTTGTTCATTTAATTAAAAGGGTTTCACTACCAGTATATAAATACTTAAGGAAATTGATTAACAGTCCAGAATTTGGATCAGCAGCATGGATTTGCAGACTGACCTTACTTTAAACTGGTGCCATAGGTGAGTCATTAACACATTTGGCATTCAGAAAATTAACCCTTAACCTGCTGAATTTGTGTAATGGACTTGCCCTGTTAATATGGAACAGTCCATTCAAAGTTTAAAGAGATTTCAAATTCTTAGTATAAAAACACAAAAGTTGAGCTACCAGCAGTATACAGCCTGGTCAGACTGCAGGCATGTGCAGGCTGGCCTAAGGCTCAATACTGGTATCATAGGCTTATATCACTTTTAGTCCCAGTAGGTAATGGGTAAAAGCACATACCATTAACATATTGACATATAAGGTTATTAATATCTTACATACAACTTTCAGACAGTAATTGATGTGTCCCTAGCTAATAACTATTGACAGATTAACATAAATGTCATAATACTATATATATTAGCTAATGTAACCCAGGAATATGAGGGTCTATCATAAATAATGTAATATTTAGAGTAATATTAAACCTAAACCTTGTCCAAGCTTACAAAAGTCGAGCTATATACATGTAATATCAAAGTCGGTATTTAGTTAATTTGTAATGAGAGAAACTTTAAAAGCTATGCATCGGTCAATTTTTAAACTGTCTTCCTTCCAAAACAGGTAGGGCCGGGGTTTGTTTTGCAGGGCCAAATTTCTGCCCCCACTGCAGGGTCAATTTTGGTGTCAAAATGGCTGGGGATAATTGCAAATAAGTCCACCTGACTCTATCCAGAGAGGAGGTTCGTTACCAGGGATTAGTAAAACCAAAAGCCTCTATTTCCAGAGGTGGGGTTTAAATTGGGAATGGTTACAATTCATGTACTGACTGGTGCATAAAAAATTATAAAAGAAAGCTAAAAAATCTCTAAATTTATTTTGTGTAAGATGATTAAGTTATATTGTTAAAAGTTGCATTTGAATGCATAAACAGAGCTAATAATCACTTTTAAAGAAACTAACTTGCAATAAATATATGGTAAAATTATAAATGTATTATACATTTGTTCACAAGAGACAGTACTTCTAGCTGCATGCCTCCAGGTGAGCCAAAATATTTCAAGAAAATTAACCTTGAGAAAAATGTACTTATATTTTTTAAAAAGTACAAATATTCGCAATAGAGCTACTATATATTATGACTGATTTTGCACTTTTCATCACCATATTTTTAGTGCATGACTTATCTACATGTAGTTATACTTATAGTACTGTTTTCGTATATCCTGAATTTTCACAGATTTGCAATGTTTGCAATGAGTATAATACTTTCTTTGTTCACTTGACAATTTAATATTTTACTTTTTTATACATTTCAAACATTTTCATGAAAATTAACATGAACCTGGAGGCATGCTGCTATAATATTGGTAGATATAAAAAGTCGTTTTTATCATTTTTCAAAACTCCCTCATCTAAATATTGTATCAAGAATAATGAAATATGAGAATGATAACTCAACCAATAATAATGGTATTAATTATTCAACAGCTAATGTTGAGCAAGAGATTTCTATGGTTTATCTAAAAACAAACATTTCTCACAGGGGTAAAACAGTTTATGTTATCATAGAATCATCATCAGACAGAGAGATCTAAGACTAGGGGGAAGAATGTTGGAACTCAGCTTCTTTACTGAGTAAGATTTATAACTGGCACATAAAATACATTTCTAATCATTTGTAGATGAACAGTTGTAGTTGTTTTTTGGGGTCCCCCCCCCCCCTTAAAAATATTCATGTAACTGTCAGAAAGAGATTAAATAACATAGTATATCCTATATCAAAAAGACATATTATATAAGCATGTTAACGTATCAACCTATACTAAGACTTAATTTGCAATTTTGCATATAATATAAATAAACACCTCCAACTTGTACTGTGAATTCAGAACAGTTCAGAAGTTCAAAGGATATATATTGATATAATAATACTCAAACAAATCAGCCAAGCATAAATGTTAATTCTAGCCTGATTGAATGTTGGAATCATAGAAAAGTCATATGGATTTATAATGCTGCATTTCAAAGGTTTAAACATAAACTTTAATTGCATGGGTATAATATTAAATTCTAAGGTTACTCTGAATTTCAAAATGTAATTGTAAATGGATGTGGGGAAGTGTGAGGGTGATTGTTGGAAAGAAATTTATTTTCAGAGACTGTCAGATGGAAAGATCTAAAGAAATAAAACCCATATTCTTTGATTAAATTGGACCAATCATTATTACTTATTATTTTTATAATTACAATAAGAATTGAAATTATTTTGTTAAAACTTAAAATCCAACAGTTTATAACATGATTTGTAATGGGTATTCATACATGTATACACAAACCCCCCAAATCATATCTTAAGCACAAATACATGTATCAAGCTTACATACCGTATGTGTCAATTATAAATACATTAAAGCTATGTCATTCTGTGAATTAGCAAAATTGTAAGTACTGTGATATCCGTATTTCATTGAAGCTTACAGAATGTGCCAGTTATGAATACATGTATATATATAAAGCTAATAATTCTGTCTCACTGTGATTTCAATGTTTATATACATGTAAATAACTAATTTTAAAAGATATTTCTCACCATGTGCCGTTGGGTTTAACACCATGTTTTACTGGACACAACACATTTATAACTCCACTGATATTTAACTCTTTTTTTATCCAAAATAGTTCAATATTTCACAAAAAGTTTTCTCTAAACTACATTTATATGTTCGAAAATATCTTTAACATCTTTGCTTTAAGATAAATAATCACTTGACAATATCAAAATATGCTAAATGCAAATAAACATCCCTCCCTCGCCTACACTGTATGGAATCATTTCACGCAATTGCCCATTTCATCCTAAGGAGATTATCGATCTGATTTTTGATTGAAATTAAATGCAAAGTAAATTTTTATTTTGAAAGTTAGATAAGAATAATCTTCAAATAGTTATCTAGTTATTTTATTTTGCTCTCCCTTTGCCTGAAAAGAGGATTTTTCACACCAGATAACACACCTATATTTTTACTTTTTTTATACATTATATTCATAAGTGAACTGGATATTTTGCAATATTTTTTATACATTTATAGTGCACAATCTTTAACTAAATGCTAAATGACTATAAAACTTAAATTAATAGTTATTCTGATAAAAGCCCCTTTGAATATATATGAACTTGATATTTTTACTGTTTTTGGTTGGGTTTTACGGCGCACCAACAGAGTACAGGTCATACGGTGACTTTTCAGCTATACTGGTGGAGTAAGACCTCAGGTGTCCTTCCTTACATCATATTTCATGCACAAACAGACACCGAGTAGAACCAACATTCCTTAAGTGAACTTGATATAATTTACAAATAGTATACTTCAAAGTCTTGATAATGACCCTGAAGCAACAACAACAACAACAAACAGACCAGCTATGCCGATAGTATGAAATAATGAAGTCAGTGAGGGTAGCATATACATATATACTAACAGACCAGAATATTAATCTGCTTAATTTAGATAATGGATTTGCCCTGCATTGAATTTGAAAGAGTCCATTTAAAGTTTTAGGGATTTCAATAACCAAAACCAAACAAAATAGCTAACAAAAGTACTGTATAGAACTTAGAGAACTGCATTGATGCGCAGGCAGGCCTGGCTTTATACCAGCAGGCTAAGGGCTTAACTTTTGGCTGTGAAATACTGTTGAAAAAAGAGTTTGATTATAGTAATCTGAACTATTATATAAACAACAAACGGTTTGTGAGTAACAGTGTAAGTATCCTCCTGAGGAAAATATGTTTAAGCCGAGGGTAACAGTATTACTAGGCATGATATTTTTGCTGTTTACTCACAAACCTATTTGTTTAAAATATTTATTTTAATACCCTGTACAAATACTTCATTGGGACACTGTTTCTATAAGTTTTTATTTTTCAGACTTTTACTGTGAAAAAGTACTAGTATAAAATTTTTAGTCACATGTATGATGATACACTTGAATTAACAGTAAGAATAACTCCCATTTGCCTATGGGAGATTACTGAAGGCAGTTCAATAAAGTGTAATAAATGAGTACAGCAAGGCCAGAGGTGAAAATTGAGGTCAATATGAAACCATTTCAATCAAAAAGTTGGTTCATTTTTTTACCTTTACAGATCGTCTTATAATTAATTCAAGACATGGTAACTATAAAGTCTTATTTGACCGCCTACAACTTGTCAAAGGCTATTTTTGATCTTGTTTGTCATACACTATAACCAGAAGGACAAGGTTTTACAATTATATTTGTACATACTTGTGTAGGCAAACATTCATCACCAAAATGTTAAACAAACAGTAAGGTTTTTCTGATATTTGAAGTTTGTTTAAATTAAGTTAAACTGAATTGACTACAAATGTGCCAAAATAATTTAAATGGGTTTGCCCAGCTATATATTTGGAACAGGTTAATGTGTTTATATTTAAAACAGCCCAATGCGTTTATATCTAAAACAGCCCAATGTGTTTATATTTGGAACAGCCCAATGTGCTTATAAATTATTATTATGTGTTTATATTTGAAACAGTTTGATGTTAATTTGAGGGATTCAGCATTGATAACTAAAATTTAGAAGTTGACAAGTCTAGACAGATTGCAATAAGTGCAGGCTGACAATTTGTTTTAAACTTGAGGCATAGGCTTTGTCACTTAGCTAACAGCTATCAAAAAATAAAGAATAATATATTATTAATGACACGTAATTATATTCAGTATAAACCTAATTTTAAAATTATAAATGCGCTACTCAGGTGAGTTTTAGAGTGAGCAAACCTGATTGAACTGTTCTAAATGTATGACTGATCTGTTTTCAATGTCATTACTTATAGTGAACTTTTAGGGTCAATATAATAAATTATGTATGTGTATTACTACATATTATCTTAATATAAGATAATGGAGATTTAATCTAACTTGCTTAACTGTTCAAGTTATTTATAAAGATATTCATGATAAAAAATATCAAGATGTGTTTGTGAAAAACAATGCTCACATTATTAAACAGTAACCACCTCTCAAATAGCCACTTTGGAAAAATTGACATAGAAGGTCAAGGTCATACATGTGTAAGGGTCTGGTATCAAGGTCATATACATTTGTATTTTATTTGTATGACCTAGCATGATAAAGGCTCTAGCTTTAATAGGGACCAGCATTTTAACTATAATCTGCTAATTGGTGATTAGCCTTTGCCACCAGTATAGAACAAGGCTAGCCTAGACTTCCCTTGAGTCTGCCCAGGCTCTCTACTGTTAGCTTTAAGGTCTCATCTTGATATATACCCATAATTGATAATGGACAGTCTTAAAAATGGAAGTTGGACAAGTCCATTTAAGAAATTAAGTGTGTAAAAGCGTTAAAACCGACAGGGCGTTAGAACTACATGCTATTTGATATCAAGTTTGAACATTTGCAAAATGTATGCAGGTTTCAGTCTATCAAAATATTTGACAATCACTGATTCTGCTTTGACCCAGTTTCAAATTTAGGTCACTGCAACCAAGATAGATACTTTAACAATAGCAACAAGACTATATTACGTTTAGCCAAATAAGATTGCACTGATAATTACCTGAAGGCAAAAAATGCATGATGTATTGTCCAAAAGACCCTATAGAAAGGTCACTTGTGTCATAACAATACAATATAACTTCCTATATCTTACAGACAACAGATTACGAGGACAATAAAATCCCTCTGATAACAACATTGTTATCTTAATAAATGTCACAATAATATCAGAAAAGAATCACTAAGATAATTATGTAAGTCACATTAGAAAACAATATAGATTTTTGTTTTATCATCTTGTATAAATATGTCTATCGAATACACCTTGTCAATCAATAGTCCTAGCTAACAACAATACTGTATAAATCTTGTTTCCGACAGATTGTTGATTTCATTGTCACCTTGGTTACCGTTCCATTTAAAAATAGATATGATATTACTTCCTGTTGTCATGTGATATGATCAACGCCTATTGTGATTTAGTTCACAGAATTAATCAGAAAGGTGTTACCGATCTTTAATAAGACACTGAATGCATGTTAAGAAATAACTTGAAACAAAATCTTACATGAACTTAACCATGTTATCAATTATTTATGATAAAGTCAAACATGTCTGTTCTAAGTGTACAATAAAATCATTACCTTTCACAGACATGAATCTTAAGATGTATACATTAAATTATTGTTAAGATTATCTGAAAGAGGCCAATAATTCTTTTGAATCATTTTTGGAAATTGAAAGAAGATCTGCAGAGTTATTTTTATATATTCTATCAACAGAAAGGGGTTACATTATATTTGCATGAAGCTAAGCTACTTCTTTAAAGTATGAACGAGAGTATACGAGTACCTGTCACAGACAAATGATAAGCCTACCTTACTCATGCCTAGGGATGAAGGTGAAGGTCATAAAATGATGATGAAAAGCAATAGTGAACAAATAGAGTGGTACAATAAAGGCTTAACCAAGATGTGACATGATGTCACTGTCATCAGCATCTATGCCTTTACAGTACACTAGTTCTTCCCTATTCATAAAATTGGATATCGTAGTTTTTTAAAGTCAAGCTTAAAGACCTAATCTAGATATAAAAGGGAATTTAATGGCTTGTAGGTGGTTTCCCTTGAATTTTTAAACTGCATTCAAATCAGAAAGAGATTTTTAAAAATATTTGATGTAAAATGATGTTTTTTTATCAATGAAAAAAAATCTAAATGAAGCCAAATGATTAATTTATCAGTCTTGATAAGAAATTCCTCTTGGTCAAATATATTCACATTGTTTCCAGGTAAAATCTTAAAATGTAAACAGAAAGCCAGGAAAAAACAATATTTACTAATCTGTAATCTGTGATCAAGCCAGATGAACTAAGTTTCTATCAGCTGTTACTTAGAGATGCTGGTTACATACCTGCTCAACTACAAGAAGCCTTAGTGTAGTGACCCCAATCTAACTGTAGCATAAACACTGATCAACTTTGTACATTAAACAATTGTGCTGGTACCTTTGGTGGATTTATGTTATAATTTACACCAGATGAACTATGTTTCAAGCTTATTAGATGCTGGTTAATTTCAACTCAAAAGCTTATTGTAAATCTAATGTGCATAAACACTGATATTTACTAAACATATTTTTACTTTGATTTATAGTTATAATTTACATCATGTGATATGTCTTTATTCAGATTTCAATATATATTTCTATGATATCATTTGTTCATTTCTGTGATCTTATGTGTGTTTCTGTGATTTGATATATTTGTATTTCTGTGATATCAATTGTGTATTTATATATTGTTGTTTATGTTTTTCTATTATATCAATTCATGTATATACTTCTATGATAGCATTATTATGCATATATCCTTTGGTATTTTTATGATATTATGTGTTTTTCAGTATTACATGTGCATGTACATGTATAAAACTGAACAGACCAACAGTGTGGAAAAAATATTAACTGCCATATAAATATTGTAGCTTTTTTTCATATATATGTATTTTATTCTAACCACATTTCTCATATTTAATTCTTATTACATGTACCGAAGCTCCACATAATTTTCTGAAAAAGTTAAGAATTACAATCTTTCATGAGAAATAAAATAGAGCATGCATTATACATACATGTACATAGTATATTAATACACGTACATGTATATACATATAAGAAGTTCTGGTTCTTAATAGTTCATGTAAAAGAAACTCAAGTGACAAGTTCGGTAATTGAAACGTTTTATACAGAATTTAATACTTTTAATAGCCTGATGCTTTTGTTTCAGTTCTTATTTCTATCTTTCAAAGATCATAATTATTGGCCGTTTAATACAAAAAGTTTCATGATGTACTGTGAATTCACATGATTTCTTGCGCATGAAATTTCATGTTTTTTCCCTCCAAAAAATGTTGCTTTAATTCATGGATTGTCTGTATTTGTCAAAAAAGTATTTAATGCAAATAATGTAAAGTCAACAGTTTAACTATTTCTAAAGCAGACAAAATAAAATTTTGTTGGATCTTAAATTCATGGACTGACTTTAATAGCACCGAAAACCACCAAAATAAGAGCCACACAAATAATGATGATTTTTTACTTTTGTCACATGCCGAGTTTCCATACAAAAACTAAAATGAACCTTTTTTGTCCTTGCTACTTCAGTTAGTAACCTAACAAGTGCTATGACAACATTGTTAACTGATAAGCCGAACAGGGTGGGTGCTTTACTATGTAATAATTGCACTTGACTTACTATCAGCTATAGGTTTGTACGATATTTGAGTAACATGCTTTCCTCCTCCTGCTACAGCTAGAAAAATGAAGAAATCAGTTTATCAAATGATGATTTATTGTTAACAAACAGAAAACACCATGTAACATATGGCAATTAGCTGAAAGCCTGAAACAATACAAATAAATGTACAAAATGCATGCTTTAGTTAAATACACATTGTCATGAATAATTTTCTAAAGCAAATTTGTGGTAAATGATTGTTAGATGTAATTAATGAACAAAAGAGGACATTTCAATATGTCATAGGAATCAAGGCATCACTGTTCAACAGATCTTACAAGTGTAGCTGGTCAACAAATGATGGTGCCAGTGTATATGCATTGTACATGTAATAGTTAGACTAGCTATTGTCTGTGTCTAAAATTACTATCATAATCTGGTAAAAAAAAATATAGAATCTTCTACAATAAATAACAAATTATTTTAAAATATAAATAATTACTTGTACATGTAATACTATATTTTTCTATAACCTATAAATCATGGTTGTGATAGCTTTGCTATTTGCTTGCTTTCTGTAACTTACAACCTCTAGTTCAATTTTGCTTAAATCCTGATTATTTTCCTGATTTTGATTTTCTATTATCTAATAAATATCCGAGAAATAATATTTACTTTAATTTAAATATTATTACTCTTAACTACACTATACACATGAAACTATTATGTTCATACATTTTCTTATTGACCATTCTTTAATATCAGCATCCATGACTGTGTGGACAATTCAATATTACAAGGCAATATTAATTTAATCTTATTTTTTATTATTCTACAGTTAAGTAGTCTACTATGATGTAGATTAAATTCAATTTCATATCTTAATCTTTTTATATACTGGTCGGAGAGATAACTCCGACGCATAGATAACCCCGACACTTGATAAATATAATTGTTTTAGCTTTGTTTTTCAACAAATAAGCACATGATCACCTAACAGTATAGGAACAGGACAGAATGTGATGATTTGTTATAATTTGGAATCTTTTTTTAATGTTTTTCAAATAACCTAAACATCTGTAAGCAAAAACTGCTTCAAAACGTTCTTTTTACTAAATTACAGTAAGGTAGTTAGAAATGTATTGACCACAGGCCACTGACTTGGGAAAGATTTTTGAAAAATTGTTTAAATATTTACAAAAAAATAGATAAACTATATAAGATGTAAAAATAAATTATTGCTGCTGATTTTCCAGCAATTTTGTACTTAAAAATTTAAGTGTCTTTTTATCTACTGTTGTGGGGTAAAGAGACCATGTTTTGTATACCTCATTCAAGACCTTAAAGAAGTACCAGATTCCATTTCATACATATTTTTGTAGTGTTATGTAAAGTCTTTGAACTGAACTTTGTTTAGGTGGTTCAATATTTAAAATATACTGGAAGGTAATTAAAATATTGCAAAAAATATGTGATTTAGTGTCGGAGTTATCTCTCCAACCAGTATTGCACTAAGTTACAGCAGGAAATCATTAAATTATTGATTAATACTTAAGGCAATGATAAACTTAAGTCACTATACAAGTCACAGGTTGGCCTAATTAAATCTCAAATCCTCACAACAAGTTTTGATATTTTTCAAAAGATTTTCTTGCTCTTGCAATTAGCCTTTATTTTCATATGAAACTGGTTTTCTCTTAAATTATCTTACAGTGGGTAACTCTAATGCTATTACTTGGTACATAAGTTATAACTTTCCTTTTTATGGATTGGTCAGCTTGAAATGGATCCCACCAATCATGGCAATGTTTAAGAACCAGGGTGTGAGGATTTACCAAAATGATATTTAGTTTATTTACATGCACACACCCAGTTTCTTTTTTTAAATCTTATCTGTCAGTGAAATTACACCTGTGTAAATTATGTTTACCTGCATCATTTGTAAGTTCAAATCCAATTGCCGTATGATCCATTCTGATAACGATACTATCCAACAAAAATTCAATCTAATTTCCACCTTTTTTTCTAAGGAGTCTGCTTATGTCAGGTCAAGCGTGAAAAAATGCGTTTTCGTGAATTTAAAGCCCCGCCCAGAGATGGCAGAGAATATTCAAATATGCATTTAAATAAATCATCAAATAGTTCATATCATGTCTGAAGACATGATGCAGAATGCTATGGCAGTAAACAACCAAATATTTGAGAAATAGTTTTAACAGTCCTGTTTTAGCTTTCTAGACACTCGCAAATCCAAGATAACTTTTGTCAACAGTATTTCGCAACTTTTCGGCAAATTCCGTAACAGGTAAAAGGGAAGATATTCCGAATCTGGTTTTTCCACCACGTGACTCTCATGTGACAGTTTGTTATGATCGGACAAAATGGCGAATGCTATTGTTGCTTCCTGAAATTTTAATTTTAATATATGGCAATTGCAATTATTTAAAATCGAAATAAGTTCTGATTGTAAAAATATGAAGTCCATTTTAAATTATTTACTGTTTTTCTTTTTGACTGGACAATGCGTCACTGACTTCCCATTTAGAAATGTTTCTTTGCCTATTGAGGAAAGGTTGGATGATTTGTTAGGACGGCTTACTGTGGCAGAAATTCTAGATCAAATGTCCCATGGCGGTGGGGGTGGGGACGGCTCACCAGTACCAGCAATTCCAGAACTCGGTATAGGCACCTATTCATGGGGCACAGAATGTATTCATGGTGATCAGTCTGGAAATGCTACATCTTTTCCCCTCTCCATTGGACTGGCAGCCACATTCAAGTAAGAAATAATGCATGTGTTATTTGTAACTCAACCCATCACCGATCACTTACTAAGGGGAGGGATGGCATGTGTGATTATGTAGTTTGACTATCAACCAAAGGTTTATGACTTCGAGCTCTACTTATGTTAAAGGATAGTCTAAACTACATGTATGTCAGAAAATAGCTTATATAGCTAATGTTACATAATGTTTTTTGTAACCGACTATAAATAAAGATTATCTTATCTTTTGGCATCATTATAAAGGTTGATTCAAGAAAGCAGACACAATGCTCGGGTTTTAAAAAGCTGTAAGCTTTCATGGAAACAGAGCTAAATTTTGTGAGTTAATCATATCCTCAAGTGTCAAAACAAAACCTTATCATTCAACAAGTTTGGGGACAGATGGAAGGTTACAACTTAGTTTAACTGCTTCCCTCACACTGCCCGAAAAATGGTGACTGGTATTACTAAAATCTTGTTCACAATATATATATGTATGACAGTTGCAGAGTTTTGTCATGAGTTTTTCTTATAAATATTGACCTGGCTTGCATAATGCTTATACTACATGTCTGCTACTAGCCAAAGTTATTGCAGTATTTTTATTTTAGAACTGTACAGCTACATGTGTACTGTGTCTATAAAGGCCTTATATAGACTACCAGTGTAAGAATTTTTAATGTACAGTAACTATAATGTACTAGTTAATATTCTATTATTTATAACTTTTATAGTGGAAACCTAAAGGAAGTTTCTATGTTGTATAATTCTTTTTTATATGATGTCACCATAAAGGATCGTGATATCAACAAAAGTATTTCATTTTTTAAGTATTTTAAATTGAAATGCATAAGATTAAAATTTTATTATTATTAAAGATACAATTTGGAAAGCAAGCATAATATACATGTGGTACAAACTGAAATATATGGCACAAAATTAATGACATTTTAATGCAGACCTGTTATGGATTAATATGGTATTTTCACTTTCAACTTAAAGGTTTTATTTTGGTTCTGCAGTATGACTGACCATCGTGGGGTTTTTGAGATGAAAGATTTTGATTAGTGATCCAACTCATTTCAAATAAAAATCTCATTTTTTATCTAACCATCAGTTTAATTTTCTTCAGCCCTGAGTTGATGAAGGAAGTTGCAAGTGCCATATCAACTGAAGTGAGAGCCAAGAACAATGATTTTGTCCGAAGAGGGATCTTTTCCGGTCATACTGGACTCAACTGTTTCAGTCCCGTCATTAATATAATGAGACACCCACTTTGGGGCAGAAATCAGGTTTGATAACTTAATATAATCATGATCTTTGCTTTTATGTTTTAAAGGTATTAATTATAAACTTCATAAGTCTTACTGGTGGATGAAGACCTCAGGTGAATTCGTGTAATGGAATTGCCCGACATTGTAACTTTATAACAAATCCATTCAAACAAATCCATTCAAAGTGAAAGGGATTTCAATATCAAATATTCAAAAATTGAGTAATCAATAGTATACAAACTGCATAGATTGAAGGCTGGCCCGACTTCATACTGGTAGCAAAGGTTTATTACTTTAGGTTCCAGCAGGTTAAGGGTTAATATCTTTAGGAGAGTTACTTGATGTGCTTTGTTTGCAACTGCATGAAACAATTTGATATTGTAAATATTTGCAGTGCTTGAAAGCATGGAACATGGATCTGATTTTCAATAACTCATAGCTTAATTAACTGGTGTATGGATTAAACTTTTACTGTAGAAACTTCCATTTTAAAATTGAAATTGTCAGATATTATGAATATTTCCAATAATAAGTTGAAAAAGTGAATGTTTTATTATTGTTGTAAAAGTTCTGCAATTTTCTTAAGGTTACAACACTGAAGTTTTACAATTAATATGAATTTAAGAAGCATGGGTTGTTGCAAACAAAGTGCAAAAATAAAACAACTTGTCCCAAATGCATATCAGTTTGATAGTTTATGGTTACTTGAAAGTTGGAAGAAACATTTGTATACACTAGGTTGTATAAAAAAATTCTGTTTTGTTTAGGAGACTTATGGTGAAGATCCTTTCTTGACGGGGGTACTTGCGGCGGAGTTTGTTAAAGGATTGATTGGGAACCACTCTCGTTACTATCGTGCTAATGCAGTGTGTAAACATTTTGATGCATATGGCGGACCAGAAGATCTTCCACAATCTAGACTTAGCTTCAATGCTAAGGTAGGTATATCTGTAAATTTCCAATTTTAGCAACAGAAAGAAGATAATGACTATTTTGATAATTGTACCTAGTTGGGAGATTTTGTTGGATTAGGATGGTTACAAATAATGATCTGTCCTGAATTTGACCCAGACTAGCAAAGTTCATGGGTGGGGTGGGTTAAAGTAAGAAAGTAAAATAACAAGTTAAAAATAAAATAACACTTATTCATTATCCCTCATGTACAGACTTAATCAAACCGAGTCTGCAATTCTTATGTAATTTTGTTGTTATTAATGCTTCCGAGGGATCACTTTGTTTCCAGTTTTTTATTTAATGAGGCTTACACATTTGGTTTTCTGAATTGTGGGCTTCAGAGTAAACAAGTATATTACAGAGATTTTTATTTTTCAGGTACCAGAACAGGATTTATACATGACCTATCTTCCACAGTTTAAGCAATGTGTTCAGAGTGGTGCACTAGGTGTAATGTGTAGTTACAACAGGTAAAAGAACTTAGAAATGACATGATGTTACACTGAACTCATCAGATACTAGTAGTTATTGGTTGGCAAAAATTGATTTTAAATGTATATAATTTCCTTATTGATGTATAAAAAGTATCACCATTTTGGTATGGGGTTCTCCCATTAATATTTACTGGAGAAAGAAGCATGTATACCTTAAAATCAGAACAAAAACTTTGTCAGGAATTGTATTAAGGTTGCAGTGTACAAATAAAAATAATTGACAAAGTAATTAGCTATTGCTGCTGCCCCTGTTATGTTTTATACTATAAAAATATATCAATAAAAAAGTTAAGCCTATTTTGATACTAATAACACCTATGAACATGTATTTACAAGGGCCCAAAATTTTCAGTCTCCTTAGTTTTAGGTTGTCAACATATCTCCAACTAAGCACTTGCATATAATGCATGTTGAAACTTGATTAAGAATATTTCTTTTATTTTATTCACAGTGTTAATGGTATTCCTGCTTGTGCAAACAAAATGTTGTTGACAGATATACTAAGAAAGAAGTGGAATTTTCCTGGATTTGTCATCAGTGATTCAGGTGTGTATATCAAATGTGTAATGATTAAAGAAACATATACCCATCCAAGAAAATGGAGAGTGAGCATTGATTGAAACATTCTCAGAAACATTTATTGGTATTTTCTTATGGTATTGATTTATATATCCTCAGGAACATTGATCGATATATCCTCAGGAACATTGATATATATTCAGGAACATTGATTGATTTATTCTCAGACACATTGACTGATATATCCTCCAGAACATTGATTGTTATATCTTCAGAGAAATTGTTATATTCCCAGGAACATTGATAAATATATCCTCATGAACATTGATTGATTTATCCTTCAAAACATTGATTGATATATCCTCATGAACATTGATTGATTTATCCTCAGGAACATTGATTGATATATCCTCCAGAACATTGATTGATATATCCTCTAAGACATTGATTGATTTATCCTCAGGAACACTGATTGATATATATTCAGGAACATTGATTGATATATCCTCAGAGACATTGATATATTCCCAGGAACATTGATTGATGTATCCTCAGGAACATTGATTGATATATCCTCCAGAACATTGATTGATATATCCTCTAAGACATTGATTGATTTATCCCCAGAAACATTGATTGATATATATTCAGGAACATTGATTGATATATCCTCAGAGACATTGATATATTCCCAGGAACATTGATTGATATTTCTCAGGAACATTGATTGATATATCCTCCAGAACATTGATTGATTTATCCTTATAAATAGTGATTGATTTAGCTGAAGAACATTGATTGATATATCCTCCAGAACATTGATTGATATATCCTCTAAGACATTGATTGATTTATCCTCAGGAACATTGATTGATATATATTCAGGAACATTGATTGATATATGCTCTGAGACATTAACATATCTTCAGGAACATTGATTGATATTTCCTCATGAACTTTGATTGATTTATCCTCAGGAACATTGATTGATATTTTCTCATGAACATTGATTGATATATCTTCAGAGACATTGATATATTTCTTGATCATGATTTGATAGATTCTCCATTTATATTTAATTATATATTGATTGATTTGCTGTATAAATGTTACAATAAATTACTAGAAGTAAGTGTTTAACCCAAACAGATATGTGAAACAAGTATAGTAGAACGTTTAAGAAACTTTTTATTTAGAGACTTTGCAATTAAGACAATATTCAATGTTTACATGTTTAATGAAGAGTGTTAAATGGAGTTTGCATTTTTTATGGTTTTTAAATGTATTCATGTTACTTTAAAACAGGAGCTGTAGAATTTCTGATTGTCAACCATCGATATATTGAGAATATTGAGGACGCAGCAGTGGCTTGCGTGAAAGCCGGACTCAATCTTGAACTACATCCTGGTAGTTATGCTAGAGGGGCGTTTGATTGGTTGAAGTATGCTATAGCTGATGGAAAACTTTCCAAGGTTAGAATTTATTTCTCACTGATCTCTTCTTATATATGTATATCAAAATTTAAGTTAAAGATGTCAAAAGACCATTTGATTTAAAATTTTAGATATGCAAAATAATGATTGTAAGTAGAAGTCAGAGTTATCCACAAGCATGTAATAAGATATTGAAAATTTTGTTTATAGTTTCTTTCTACTTTAAATGTTTTCATTATTTAGATATCTTTATCCTATTTTAATTCCTAGTTTAACTCCTATATCCCTTCATATCTGTGTTCATGCTTTTGTTGCTTAATTTGACATTTATGTATATAAACAGTGGCGAATTCAGGCCCCGGCGTCAGGACTACGGCCCCTTAGCTCAGCCAAAGATACATTTATGAGCTGGGCTGGAATATATATATGTTATTTTCTTCCATTATTGGCCATAGTGTACTCTCATATTAAAACATTTTATCACACACCCGTGCCGATTTTGTGTCTCCGTAAATATGGTATTGCACGGCCGTGCATATATTTTGACGTGACGTCATTAGCGTTACACAAACATAATGTAAAGACTCTCTAAATGTTAGCGTTACACTATAGGCGCGTCAATGAAATATGACTCTTATTTCACCTTAAACGGTGTTTATTTTTGGTATGTGATAAATAGAATATTAAATTTGTGTAAGTTCATTACTGAATTTATTGCACTCGTTGAATAAAATAATATTATGCTCGCCAGAGGCTCGCATAATATAATTTTATTCAACTCGTGCAATAAATTCAGTATTGAACTTACACTCATTCAATATCCTCTATGAATTGCTGCCTTCCAGTTGTTAATCTCCTGCCATCCAGTTATATATTCAAATCAAACGGGATTAACCTTTGCCACAAGTATAAAGCCAGTCCAGCCTGCACATCCATGCAGTCTGATCTGGCCCTATGCTGTTGGCTGACCATATTTAAAGTTTCATAAACTGATAATGGACAGGTCCAAAAATGTAAGCTGGGCAAGGCCATTACATAAAGTCAGGAGGTGAAGGGTTAAATGCAAAATTGTTCTTTTTTTCAGGATCTGATATTAGAAAGAGTGAGGCCATTATTCTTAACAAGAATGAAACTTGGAGAATTTGACCCTCCACATCTGAATCCTTACAATGACCTTGACCTCTCTGTTATACAGAGTGTCCCCCACAGACAATTATCTACCCTGTCAGCTATGCAGTCATTTGTACTTCTCAAGAATGATGGAATTTTACCTATCAAGAAAATATATCAAAAAGTTGCGGTAAGTTTAAACTTTAGGACTAAAATGAGCTGGCACATTTAACTTTAGATTCTACCCGTGCAACCAGTGTAGACCAAAATTTCAGCAAGTTATTTCAAAAAGCTATTAAATCATAAATATATTATGTCCATATCAAATTTATTAATACTAAAAATATGCCCATTAAAAAGAACTTGTTTTAGAAATATTGATTTGGGTTAAACATAGCTGTTTCATCAAATTTGGTTGTTGGTATTAAAAATGAGAAGTATTATTTTTTTGAAATACATTTATAACATGATTTTAATATATTTTGTTAGATTGTATCAATGGACGCCTTTGTGGCTTAATGGTTACAGTCACTGACTTCAAATCACTGCCCCTGATGGCTGTGGCTTTAAATCTATTCCCAGACTTTGGATTCTTTCATGCAAGGAAAGTCAGTGGTTCTACTTAGGTGCCTTCTTGTGCCCACAGGGATATCTGTCCTTATTTTATTAAATCTATATATTGTCACCTTAGTGCAATAAGGTTTCTAAATTTTATAGCAGTAAATCAGTTATTGCACTAAGGTGACAATATATATATATATATTATAAACATTACACCACTTTCATTGTTTTGTTTTAATATATTTGTATGTATAATAAAGATGCTGAAGATTGCCGCAAGGCCAAAAGCTATGGCAAATTTAAATTAGCGTATTTGATTATATACAGCAAGTATATAAGATTTTATAAATATAAACAATAGTGGGAAAAGTAAAGAAAATGAGTACTGAATCCTCTGTGCTTGTGTCTAAAATAATGCATAAAGGGGAACCTCAGGTCTTTTGTTTTCTTCATTTATATAGATTGTTGGGCCGTTTGCTGATAATCCAGTACAACAAATGGGAGATTATGGTCCCGATGTAGATCTCAAATACACTAGTACTGTAAGCTCCGGTCTCCTTGGTCTTGGTGATAAACTGGTAAATGTGTCGGGGTGTAAGGATACCTGGTGTGTAGATTATGACTCGAAAGCTGTTATCACTGCTGTACAGGATGCAGATTTAGTGGTGTTATGCCTTGGAACTGGTGAGATTTTTCTAGAAATTAGATTTTACAATTTTGTATACCTCTTTTTATAATAGGCACTTTGCCCATGTAGTAAGTACACTCTACTGGAAAAAAGTGATTAACAGCTTTCAGGATGTCAGTCAAATGATTTCAATTAGAATGATGACATGACAAATGTTTAGCTTCATAGTTGAATGAAATTCTTTATACAATTGTTTTTTTTATCTAATTTTAGTTTATTTATCAAACATTTAAATGTTCTTTATTTTACATCATTCTGTATGATATAGTTTTGGGTATATTTCATAACTTTTAGCAAGACTTTTATGCTTTATTTACAATAATAGAGTTTAGGTTAATCTAAAAAATCCCTCCATTTTTACAATTAAATTGTGTAGTATAAAAGAAAAAAAACAACATAATGGTTAATGGTATTTTTCATTGGAAACAAGTAATATATCGTGATAAATCATGTTATTTTACTAATTTACAAGGTCCTGCAGTAGAGAGGGAGAATTTTGACAGGAGGAATATGTTGTTACCAGGACATCAACCACAACTAATGAAAGATGTCACGTTGTATGGTATGTTTTCCTTCTTCCTTTACCTGCTGAATTTGTATATTGGATTTACCCTGCTTTGAATTTGGAACAGTCCATTTAAAGTGTATGGGTCAAAACAAGCAAATTATGATTGGCTTGTGTGAAGAAAGATATTTTCAAAATACAGAGAAGATTGAAAATTTTCCATTGACAATAGAAGAATAAATTCAAATGAAAATACATGTGTAATTTTTACAGTGACAAAATATTTTTGTTTTAAATATTTTTGTTTTAATGTGTAAATTACTATATATAATTTTTTGGGTTTCAGCCCGAGGAAGAATTATTTTATTGTTATTTAGCGCTGGTCCTCTAGACATTAGGTCAGCTCAGCAACCAGTAATATCTGCTATTATACAGTGCTTCTTCCCGGCTCAAGCAACAGGTGTGGCCCTGTATCATGTTCTAACTTTTAGTCAGCCGGAAGCCAATCCAGCTGGTAGACTTCCATTCACATGGTATACTTCTGATCATCAGGTATTCATTGTATTTCATTATCTAAAGGAACTCCACTGAGGTCCAAAAAGTATAAATACATAAAATTTGATATTCTTACATATATTAGCTGGGGCACTTAAAACAGAAAAGATATTTAAATGAAAACCAAGAAATAATCTCAGAAATGAATTGAAAATCATATTAAACTGCTGCACAACAATGCAATTAATGTCTATTTTTAGAAACAATGACCTTGAACTTTATTTCAGGTACCTTCAATGACCGACTACAGTATGAAAAACCGCACATATAGATACTTTAATGATGATCCTCTTTATCCATTTGGCTATGGTTTATCGTACACACAGTTTATGTACAGTGACCTTGAACTTTCACCTACAAAGGTGAAGCCTGGAGAAAATGTGACTGTGAGATTTGTTCTGACAAATGTTGGGGATGAAGCTGGTGAAGAAGTAAGTTTTTTTTTTTTTTTGCATATCAGACTGGTGTTTTTATAAGTTTTACTCATGATGGCAATTTCAAGTACATGTAACATGTAGCTTGCGTTAAAATGATATTATCATCACCTGTTACAGAATTAAATGCTTGCCTAGGATGCAACATTTAACTGTTATGAATTAACTTGTAAATTCATACTCAGCTTTAAGTAAATAGTAACCAAAGAAATGACATGTATTTTTATGAAAAATTAATTTTTTGAGGTAATCTGTTTACCAGGGCCTTTTAGTCTTACATAGAGTCTGAATACTTTTATTGACTACGGCATAATTTTATTACAGGTAACTCAGGTGTATATATCATGGCTGAATGCTACAGTGGTAACTCCCAGATATCAGTTGGTACATTTCAATCGTACAATGTTCTACAAAGGTTGGACAGTGAATGCAAGAATTGATATATTAAGTGAACAAATGGCAGTGTATGTACCAGAAAAAGGTTTTGTCATTGAGCCAGGTATGTGAAGAATATTGGTATATGTAAAATGTTATTCATGTACATCAAATATAAATAGTAGTAACTTGGTTAGTAATTGATCCAATACAGGATGTAAGGTTCTGAGGAAAACCATATTGGGAGTGCCAATATGGTTTTTCTAGAGAACCGTATATACCATATCGGGTGAGGTACTGCCACTCATGAAATATTAATCTTCATACCACTTGATGAAAATAAATCCTGTATTTATAGAAAAAAACTTGAATATCATCTATATATAAGATGATACACATGAAATAAAATACTAGTAACTGAGTTAATTACTTATCCAATACGGGATATAAGGTTCAGTGGAAAACCATATCGAGAGAGCCAATATGGTTTTTCACGGAACCATATATCCCAAATTGGATGTGTTACTGGTACTATTATATCATGTTGACTGCAGTTACCATCATCTTTCAGTAAGGATATACAAGTACTAAGATTTTTGCGGCCATTTTAAATGTTCATCTTGCCGAGTTTTTTAAATGATTTGCATTATTGTGATATATGACATATGTATATATGATATATTTCAGGTGATATACGTGTCTATGTTGGAGGACAGTTACCAAACCAGAAAACCAAAGTGCCATCTAATGTAATACAAGGAATATTCACCATTGTATGATCTTTAAATAAAACTTCAATCTTTTACTAATTTGAAGCTAGTCTTAGATCAGTGCTTTTACACCCCTTCATTTCATACATTAAATACGTACTCTGTAATTACACAGAGAAAAGAAATTCATTGAGGCATTTGATTATAATTATTTTGATTCCATTAAAATTAATGTCAAACATTGATTTTCCTTAAGCACATATGTTTTCAGTGTTTTCATGTTATATATACACTGCTCAAACCAAGAGTAGATATGCAAAGTCATCTGTATCATCAAAAAACATAAATAGATGATGATTGTGTAAAAACTTATGTATGGTAATTTCTTTTTTCCTATTTATCAGAGTTAAATGGCGTGTCTGTGAAAAATTAGTTCCATTCCAAATAATATAATGATTTTGATTTTAGTTTAAGTACATTTGCTTTAACTTTGATATGTCTTTGCCAGTGTACCCCCATGAATGAATGTTATTGTCATGTGTATACATGCTTTAAAACTTTGTCATCTGTACCCCCATGTATGAATGTTATTGTCATGTGTAACCATGTTTCACACTTTGTCATCTGTACCCTTGTGAATGAATGTTATTGTAATGTGTATATATGCTACAAACTTCAAATACAAACTTGCATGTTATTGTCATGTGTTCCACAAGTGTATATTAAAATATTATTTTCATTTTTTGGCATACTATGTGCTTAATATGTACAATTAAATAAATGTATACATCTTTGATAATAAGCACTTTTGAAAATGTCAAGTTTTACCATTGATCGATTCATAGCTAATTTAACACATTATTTTTGTGGTAGTTTCTTTTTGTAAACATTTTTTTTATCTCTGTAATTTTATATATTTTTATACAATTATAAAAAAAAAAACATGGCAATGCCATGAAACCAGGTTTTCAATTATCACCATTGTAGATAAATATGTTGTAGTTGAAATACAAATACAAGCAACAAACAATTTAATTATGTGCAATGTTAATCATGAATAATGTAGGAGGAATTGCACACAGAAGTGTTCACTATATAATCTGTAAAAGGGAAAAAAACAAAGGGCCATAATAAGGTAAAAAATTATCCAATCACAAAACCCTGACACTATACGCCAGGGCACTTGATGACAAAGCTTCTGTGAAAGTTTGGTCAAAATCCATTGAGAAATGTAGGAGTTGAGCACAGTAGAAATTGTTCATTATATATTCTGTATAAGAAAAAAAAAACAAGAGCCATAATTAGGTCAAATATTATCCAATCACAAAACCCCGACAATATGCGCCAGGGCACTTTATGACAAAAGTTCTGTGAAAGTTTGGTCAAAATCTGTTGAGAAATGTAGGAGGAGTTGAGTACAGAAGAAATTGTTTACGCCCGCCCATCCCTCAATCTAATAACCATTTTTTTCCTTTGACATACCTCAATCTTAAATAACCAGTTTTTTCCTTCGGAAAACCTGGTTAAAAATATACATGTATAGAGGTACTAGTCTGATCATTTTTGCTGTTCGCATGTTAGATGGGAGACTTTTTAATTTGATGTGAATTACAACACCAGTATTTTTTTTTAATATTAAAGAGTTAATGCACCTTGTCCGAGGGTTTCTGTAAATGTAAATGCATGAAAAAAGGTGCATAACTGCTATTCTTGCATAAAAGTATATGGCATTGCCTAAATCAGTAATTCTGCAGTGGGTTATCTGTATTTCTTATAAAGAAACCATAAGTGCTCAATGTGTCGTTCTTTCTATGTGCTAAAGTGACGTCATTTGATAGTTATGTTTTAATAAAAAAAGTACCAGGCCTGTCATTAAACTGTTTTTACACTGCACACAAGGCAAGCGTATGGAAAAAAAAAAACAATGACAGCGCACGGTCACGAGAATCTGTCCGTTAATGCATTTTATTCTGCCTGTGAAGTTATTAACACAAATAAGATTTAACATATACCTGTACCTTACTTTAAAGAAATTTTTCCAATGCATTTTGTGCATAATAAGGTTAGAATGCCTTGTAATGAATTAATCAGTTAAATGTTATCAAATAATTATGTTGTATATTGCTTAAATAACTTGTTCATGGTGCTAATTGGTTAATTTTGTGTATATAGATCTGTTCAGAAATTTTATATATTCCCACTATAAAAATTTGATATATATTATTTTATAAAGAAATGTTAAATCAAATTTTTGTTTGTTGTTTTTTTGGTGATTTGAACAATACATATGGTGTCCTGCCAAGGACTTTAAGTATGTCCATAGAAGAAAACGATCCTGTTAGTTTAGGAAATATTGGTGGTTCTATTCATGCCCTCCACCCCCATAAAATATGGTAAACAACATTGTTGGATGGTCCTCATCAATTTTGTTAAATAGTTGACTTGTCCACTGTTAGTGACCTTAATACCAAAAAACAGAAACAGGATTTCACTAAATTGCGTCCTTTTATCATCCTACCAATGTATTGACTGAATAAGTAAAAAAGAATCTTATGTAGTTTAAACATATTTATTTTAGTTCAATTGCTAAACAAGTTCTCACAACTTATATTAATCACTTTTGAGTACACTTCCTTGAGCCAACCAGTAATGGTGTCATATGAAGAAACATGGTTGTAGAAATAGGGCTCAAACCCATGATGCCTGGATTCAGAGGCAGACACCTTTACAACTAGGGTACCGCTCTCCTGTAATCTTATTTCCATTATTAAATGACTTCGACAAACAAAATTACATGTTAATATTAACTAGAACTCCGCGAGTCGGATGTGTCGCCTTGTGAACAATGTAGTTTAGGGGAAATGGCCAGGACAAAAATGAAATATGAAAAATAACAAAGGGCAATAACTAAAAAAATAATAAGTGCAGAGCAGCAGTTTCTGTACACTGCACTTCTTATCAATAAGATCTATCATTCTATGATGTTTCAAGTCCATAGCTTTCATACTTGAGGAAAAATGACCAGGACAAAAATAAAGTAAGAAAAGCAACAAAGGGCAATAACTCAAAAATAAGAAATGCTGAGTATCAGTTCTTATACACTGCACTTCTTTTTAATGAGATCTATCATCCTATGAAGTTTCAAGTCCATAATTTTTATACTTTCAGAGAAATGGCCTGGACAAAAATTAAGTATGAAAATAAACAAAGGGCAATAACTCAAAAAAATAAGAAATGCAGAGTACCAGTTCTTGTGCAACTGCACTTCTTCTTAATGAGACCTATCATCCTATGAAGTTTCAAGTCCATGGCTTTTATACATTAGGAGAAAATGGCCCGGACAAAAATAAAGTATGAAAATTAACAAAGGGCAATAACTCAAAAATTAGGAAGTGCAGAGTACTGGTTCTTGTGCACTGCAATTCTTCTTAATGAGATCTATCATCCTATGAAGTTTTCAAGTCCATAGCTTTTTTAGTTGAAGAGAAATGGCCCGGACAAAATTAAAGTATGAAAATTAACAAAGGGCAATAACTCAAAAAATAAGAACTGCAGAGTACCGGTCCTTGTGCACTGCACTTTGGGTTATTGAAAGAAGCATGCATACAAGTTTGAAGTCAATCAGACTTATAGTGACTGAGTTATGCTCCGGACAAGCTTTAGCGGACGCCGACGCCGACACCGACAACGACAACGACGCCGACACAGACGCCGCCGCCGCCGACACCGCCGACAAAAGTAACCCCTATATGTCACCTTTTCAAGGCGACACAAAAAGTACTTTTGTAGCCAATCTAAAATTAATGAGACAGGACTTAGAGGGAGATAATGAATATTTAAATAGGATTTCACAGTTTCTTTTGGAAGACAATAATACAAACTATAAAAGCTTTTATTTTTTTATTTCTTCACATGGGTATCTTCATGATAAATGATTACAAAGTGAACATCACACATCACAGACTTAGCCTGCTTGCAGCAACTGAATCTACCCATACAACCAGTGCAGCACTATGCAATTCACTCTGTTTTTGTTTTGTTTTGATTGGATTTAACGTCACATCGACACAGTATAGGTCATATCGCGATGTTCCAGCTTTACTGGTGGAGGAAGACCTCAGATGCCCCTCCGTGTATTATTTCAGGCACAAACGGGCACCTGAGTAGAACCACCGACATTCCAATTCACCCTGTACAATGAAACCTGTGAACAAAGACAACCCAAGGGAGAGACAAAACATGGTCTTAATACACAAGCGGTCTTTATTTTGGGGGTTATTTTATTCGGTTTTATCAATGAAAGGTTATCAAAAAAAGTGGTTTATATTTGCAGTGTTATCTGTATTCAGAACTGCCTTTTAACACTGGTTTGACTGTATTTGTTTTAAAATTTTCTCTAAAAATGTTGGTTTTTGTTCAGACTGGCAGATGGGTAAGGGTTAATATCAGCAATAAACAGATATAGCTAAGTTCAACAAAGTTGTCAGACACCAGAATGTTGTGTATACAATAATACAACTAACACTCTCAATTTTAAATTGTAAAGCAAACAGTGTGATGTTTTACACCTACATGTACTATTTTACCCTTTGTGAAATGGATTAGCCTTGATTTAAATTTGGGACAGAGGGTATGACTCTTGATGCAGCATGTTAAGGATCAAATAGACTGGTTAGATATGTTGTCATGGAATGGTTAACTTTTAATACATAAAAATACACGAGTATGACTAAAAAAGGTGTTGAAGCACCACACTAAATAGTGCATTCCCGTATATACCGTATTTGAACAATTGAATGCTAATATTTTGCCATTTCACCCAATGGAATGAATTTTAAAACGTCTTTTCTCTTCACATCTATTTATATACCAGTACGATAAAAAAAGAAAAATGTAAGAATCGGCAAAAAAAAGCAATATTTTTCTACTTTGTGATCATGATTTCTGCTAGCGTACTGCTCAACACTGTAGTGAGTAAAATCCATAAACATCTGAAGCAAAAGGTAGAAATGTTTGAAAAATATTTCTACACTAGTTAACAAAATTTCTTCCTTTTTTTTTAAGGAATAATGATAGAACTAGAAAATTATCCAATGTTTGTACATATGTACCTCGTACCTGTATATAATTAATATTTACCCTGTCAAATCTGTTTAACGGACTAGTACTGCCTTTATGCAAACACTTGCCCAGCAAACACCCGACGTTGACCCAACGTTGGATCAACGTTGAATTTTGGTCGTGACGTCGGTGACCTTCATACAACGTCAAATCGACGTTGAATCCCCGACGTCTAACAGACGTTTCATTTTGACGTCGGCTCGACGTCGGGTTTTGGTCGGTAATCTGACAATAGGTGAATTTAATTTATGAAACCAATATATATATAAATGAAAGCATAAACAGCGAGGATTTTAAGTTTAAGTTTAGAAAGGGAACATTATATATTTATTTTTCTCCATCAAAACAACAAGTATCACGTGGGTGGCTAACGTACGATATTCGATAGGTGGCGCTCTGTAAACGGATAGTCGCAGATCAGTATGAAATATATTTGCTCTATTTTCGTTTAAAATAATATCTTATCTCCTCGAATTAGTCTAAAAGAAGTGTTTATTATAATTTAGAATGAAGCTGTTATCATTTTTGAGGGCTTCATTTTATAGTGGTTTATAATTTAGTAAATTCGAATTGGCGACTTATCGGATTTGAAATTCAATTGTATTGGCGGACAAAAAAACGACGGGTTGACAGACAAAGTTGTATATTCCAAACAAAAGAAAAAGGTAGGCAAACATTATATATTGTTTTTCAATGCTTATTTACCGCATGTTTGATTGGATTCGATGGTTATTTGATCATTGAAATGTTTGACTGGTAAAACTTAATGTAACGTGATTTCGCGAGATAAATATTTTTGTTTCCACGTAAGAACACTTTATCATTTGCTATAGAACAGTCTGTATAATCGGATCATTTTTCCCACACTATATCGCCATGCACAATCAATGGTAGGAAATATCTTAGCAATTGAAATCAATAAAAAGTTAAATGCAGTACGTAATACTCTTATTATTTAAATGCTGGTAAATAAAATTTCCTCTTATTTCTTATCAACATGAATTTCCCTTATGTGAGGGGCCAGTCATTTACACATGTATCAGATGCAGTTTGATTTGATACCTGTGTAGTTGTTAAACTACTCGTTGTTAATTGAAGTACTTTACCCATACTGTTAGCATACCATGTGTTTCTTATATTATGATAATGATTCATGGCATTTGATACATGTAAATGATACGACTTTGGTAAGATATATCTGAAAGCACATTGTATTTGACTAGTTATCTTTTTATTAATGTAATCAAACAACATATTATCAATCAGAAAACACATTATCATAGTTATAAATCAATAAAAGTAATAGTTTGTTAATTAGCCTGCTTAGGCCAAAAAAAAAAATTGTTTGTTTAGGGTAACCTTCCCAAAATTGCTAGGTAGGGTAGGTAGGGATTTTTTTTTATTTTATTTTTTTTTTTTTCAAAATCTGTCGGAAGTTCAGCGTGTTTTCTTGCACATGGCAGTCTTTCCTACACTACTGACATTGCCTGACTTTGTATTATCATATTTTATCATATAAACAATAATTCTGATTAAAATCTGCATAGCCTTAAAGGTTGGCATATTGTCAGATAATGGTCAGAAAAGGTTGGATTATGGTCAGAAAAAGGTTGGATTATGTCCAAATAATGGTCAGAAAAGGTTGGATTATGGTCAGATAATAGTCAGAAAAAGGTTGGATTATGGTCAGAAAAGGTTGGATAAAGGTCATTTTTATGACGTTGTATAGACGTCGGTTTCTGACGTCTAAAAAACTTTCAAATCCAACCTTCTGCCAACGTTTACCCAACGTCAGGGTCTAACGTCAGTACAACGTTGGTACAACGTCTTTTGTTTACTGGGTGGTGATAGTTGTCCAGCTTGCGGGATTTCAATATCAATATGTTAACTCCTTCCCTGATAACTTCATTTGTTTCTACCCATCTGACTAAAGAATTTAAAATCTCTTTCTTCAAAAAACGCATAATTAATTTCACTATTGAATAAAATAATGAAGATAGAAAAAAAATATATAAATAAAATTTGATTGGTGTCAACACATTCCTTAAAAATACATTAGGATTCAAAATCATCAAAAATCTGTACACATAAAAGATATGCAAAATAACTTGACAAAAGACAATAGATTTAGCAATTTGCTTCTTTTTTCTCAATAACAATAAAGGAAGTGAAAATATTTAAAAAAAAAAAAAAAAAAAAAAACAGAAAAAAAGCTTAAAAAAACCAGATATTTAACACAGTACATGTTAATATCAGACTGTTGGACTCTGATTTTAGTTTTTAAAAAAAAGCATGCCTCTTTATCAGTATATTTCCAATGTTAAGCATACCTTCACATATAATCATTAATTTTCATATCCAAAAGATTTAGCACAAATGGACCTAATACATATTTAATAAAGTAATGTTATTCCAACTGAATAAAGTATAATCTAAATATTGCATGTCATTACAAGATGACAGAAGTAAATGTATACAAAATAAATTATCATTTCACAAACAAGAATCACACAGTTATGACATCATCACAATTTTTGTTCTGCTACAAATATAACTATATTTATAACACTGCACTTTTTTAAATTCCATTTTCATTGGAAATTATAATTTTTTCATTTTCAACTCATGCAAAAAATGAAATTAACAGTGGCGTCGACTGATTTACAAAAAACCCCCATGCAGTCCAAGATAAGCCAGCATTCCATGCGTCTGATAAAAGGTTGCACTGTTTTTTTTTTGGCAGTATTTGAAATTTTTCCTAAAGGGGGTCCACTGGGTTTAAAAAACCTAAAAAAATAAAGTAGAAAATTTTTTACATAACAGTTGGGGCCTTTAAACAGAAAATATCAAAAGATAAATTTAAAAAAATATATAGGAAAAATTAAAATTGTATTTTTGCCAAAATTTATAGCCAAAATTTTAGTGAAAAAGGGGACAATTTTTTTCAGTCATTTTTTGCAAATTTTTTTGGAAAAATGGAGTATGCAAATAATTGGATATATTGCACAAAATTATTGTTCTACCTTCATTAAACAGAACATAAATCTCGAAAAATTATTTCTGGTCCAGTCACCTAAGAAAATCTCAGTGGAGTCCCTTTAAACTAGATGAATGGTTTTGTACAAATTGAAAGACTGACAATTCAATTAAGATATTTAGTATTGTAAGGTTAAATCATATAGTATAAATAAATTTTAGCCAAAGTGAGCAAATATGCAGTATTACAAATTCTTTGTAAAGACTTTTAACATGTTATATGACCATATATAAACAATTGTTTGTTATATAATCTGGCAGCTCTGGTTATATAAGCTGTCAGCTATTTATAACAAACAATATAACCTGTCAAAGTAACAACTAATAATATATCTAATAATATTTCTGTCATCATATTTTCTCCGCTGTAAAATTTATTTTTGGGTTTTCAATGTCTGATTTAGACTGAATCAAACGTAACTCCATCTGAGCTGGTGTCGGCGTGTTCCCTTTTCCAGCAACCTCTGAAATGTAGTAGTAAATATTTTTAATTAAAATTTATTCTTGTTAAACATTACAATGAAATTCTTTCATATAATTTAATTTTTGAATATGAAATAGAAGATATTGAATGAGTGTAAGTTCAATACTTAATTTATTAAACAAGTTGAATTAAATTATATTATCAAGTTACATGCAAAGACATGAGAAACACCATGTTAACTTTTTATCCTGCAAAACTGATAAGCCTTTGCCACCAGTTTAGAGCCCGGCAAGCTGTGCAGTCTGACCAGGTTCTATACTGAAGGAAGCTGAACATTTCTGTCACAATATTAAAATCCCTTGAATTATAAATGGACCGTTCCAAATTTAAAAGAGGGCAAATTCATTCAACTAAATTCAGCTGGTAAAGGATAGTCCAAATATTTTTCTAAAAGTCATAATTAATATGGCTACCAATTAACACTAATAATACTAGAGTACCAACCCTGTGCTGCATCTAATGTCCTAGTTATTACTGTTTGTACGGTTGAAACTGTTTTCTCTAAAGCAGTCTGAAATATAATTTTCTAATGAAATATAGATTCTTGTTATACTGAATTACAAACTGATCTGTATATGTTTTAATAGCTGTGGTATTTATAGGTTTTTTGTTTGTTTGTTTGTTTCATTTTATGCCTTTTCCCAACAGTATTTCAGTCATATAGGCGGGTAGTTTCCTAACCATCGTTCCTGGAGAGTTACACCAATACTAGACTACCTTCCTCCACGCTAAACTACCAAAGCATCTCCCAGGGATCGAACCCACGCCAGAGAAGTAATGCATTAGAAGTCATTGACTCTAACCCCTCGACCATGGAGGCAGTTAAGTATTTATAGGAGCAAATATCTTAAAGTAAGCATGCTTTGTAGCACTATTAATTAACTTATTTCTGACATGCATGAATTTTTGCCATCTAATAATTATAGGTTATCCCCAAATGAATCTTGGCAGATATATAGTACAAGAAGTTATAAATTGTTTTGAAGGAACAGTCGACATTTATTCCTTACTGCCATCAGGTAATCCTTATGCATAGTTTAGATAATCAGCCATGTTACTATTCACAAAATTAATAACTCAGCAAAGATAGATATTAGAATTAAGTGGTAAAGGTGTCTGTCTCTCAGCCCAGGAATCATGGGTTTGACCACTTATCGAACTCAAAGGTAATAGTGTTAACATCTGGTGTTGATACATACCTTGAGATCATTATCTTTATGCATCCAGACCATTAAACAGGAAGCAAATAGGTCACCAGTACCCACAAATATAGCATCTTTATGTGGCATCTCAATCTTATAACACTCTTTGTTCCCATCTGAAATAACAATGCCATTTAAATACTTATTCTGGTCATCTTATACTTGCTGGTGTACATAATGTACAAAAGTTTAAACATACAATAATAACACATAACACAGATAGAGACATAGGGAAATATCAATACAAAATAAAACAAGAGAATATCTTACTTTTAACTGAACTGGCTAGTGCCACAAGAATGCCATTTGAGCCTAGACTAGTACTGCTCAACACCACTGTTTTTGGACCCATGTCATGTAAACACTGCATAGCTTGTAATGCCTCGCTGATTGTAGTAATTTTTATACCTGTTAATAACCTGTAAAACAAACACACACCCACACTTTGATAAAAACATCATCTCAATAAATGTTGTGCTTTTACTCTTAAACCATACCCTGCAGGAACCAAAAGGGATTAGCCTTCACCACATGCTTAGAGCCAGGCCAACGTGCACATCCATGCCGTCTTACCAGGACCATTATACTATTGGTAACTAAGTTTTTGTATTTTAATATTGAAATCCCATAATTTTCAAATAGACTGTCCCCAATTCAAAGCAGACCCAATCCATTCAGAAATTCGGCATATTTCAGATTAATCTTTCCCTCACCCTTACTAGTTGAAAACCATCCTCTTACTGTCCTTATAATGTTAATTTTCTCACATACCTATTACTAACAAAATATTATAACAAAATATTATATACTGGTAAATATTTTTCTTCTAAATAATTAATAACAATAATAACAGATGTTTGTTAAGAGACTGGCCTGAGGCTCTTGAGAAGCTAATAGATACATTAAAATCAAAGTTAATGTAGGAACAACAATCTTACTCAGCTTCAAACTGGTTTGGTGTAACAATGTCAGCTTTAGGTACTATAACATCTCTGTATACAGGCATCAACTCCTCTGGTACATACTGCCAACATAAATAATATATACAATGCAGGTATGACATCTCTACAAATAGCTACAAATTTAACCATGATTCAACTGACTGAGTGTCATATGACCACTTACTGTCAAACCTGTGTTAAAAGCCACCTCTGAATAAAAGAGCCGGTTGAACCGGGTGATGCTCCCCGAATAGGTTTTGGACACAGGAAGGTATACCTCTTGTTGTGTCAGAGTTATGTCACAGACAAAGTTCAAAGTGTAAAAACAACCCAAATATTGTGCACGACACAAGCACGACACATTGTCTAAATATGGTGATCATTTTTGTGAAATAGTTGTAAAATCCGATTTCAAATAACAAAGTTATGCGCCTGACATTATTTTGCTGCAAGGTCATGCTGTGACCTTGACCTTCAACGTAGTGACCTAAATGTTGCATGCGACACGTCGATTCAATATGGTGATCATCTCTGTGAAATAGTTGTTAAATCCGACTTCCAGTAACAAAGTTATGGGCCGGACACGATTTTGCTGCAAGGTCATACTGTGACCTTGACCTTCATGTTGCGCGCGACACAATGTCTCATTGTGGTGATCATTTCTGTGAAATAGTTGTAAAATCCGACTTCAAGTAATGAAGTTATGTGCCGGACACAATTTTGCTTCAAGGTCATGCTGTGACCTTGACCTTCAAGGTAGCAAGCCAAATGTTGCGCATGACACGCCATTTTAATATGGTCATCATTTCTGTGAAATAGTTTAAAAATCTGACTTCAAATAAGGAAGTTATGGGCCGGACACGATTTTGCTGCAAGGTCATGCTGTGACCTTGACCTTCAAGGTAGCGACTTAAATGTTGTGCATGACACATCATCTTAATATGATGATCATTTCTGTGAAATACTTTTTAAATCTAACTTCAAATAGGGAAGTTATGGGCCGGACACGATTTTGCTGCAAGGTCATGCTGTGACCTTGACCTTCAAGGAAGCGACCCACATGTTGCACGCGACACATTGTCTCAATATGGTGATCATTTCTGTGGAATATTTTTTAAATCCGACTTCAAATAACAAAGTTATGGACCGGACACGATTTTGCTGCAAGGTCATGCTGTGACCTTGACCTTCAAGGTAGCGACCCAAATGTTGCGCGCGACATGTCGTCTCAATATGGTGATCATTTCTGTGAAATATTTTTAAAATCCGACTTCAAATAACAAAGTTATAGACCGGACACGATTTTGCTGCAAGGTCATGTTGTGACCTTGACCTTCAAGGCAGCGACCCAAATGTTGCGCGCGACATGTCGTCTCAATATGGTGATCATTTCTGTGAAATATTTTTAAAATCCAACTTCAAATAATGAAGTTATGGACCGGACACGATTTTGCTGCAAGGTCATGCTGTGACCTTGACCTTCAAGGTAGCGACCCAAATGTTGCGCGCGACACGTCGTCTCAATATGGTGATCATTTCTGTGAAATAATTTTAAAATCCGACTTCAAATAACAAAGTTATGGGCCGGACACGAATTCGGGACGTACGTACGGACTGACGGACGGACGGACAGACGGACGGACGGACAGACAACCCGACGACTATTTGCTCCCCCGAAATTTTTCGGGGAGCATAAAAAATAACCCTGCAAATAAAGACCATTTTTTGATAACCATTTACTGATAAAACCTAATAAAATAACCCCTAAATAAAGACCCTGTCTATTAAGACCATGTTTTGAGTTGCCTTGTTCACAGGTTTGACTGTATGAGATTGCAAGCCCATGGCCGAACAATCATAATCATAATCAACCCGCTGAACAAATGTCATAAGTGATGTCATCAAAGACTGAAAATTGTATTTTTAGTATGGAAGACTTGATTTTGTGAATATCAAAGTCATTGAAAATACTACATTTATCAACATGTGTATAAAAGACATTAATACATACATCATTACATGTATCATTAATGGATCAGACAACGATAATTGGCCCTTAATGAATAATGAATTAAGAAAACTGATAATCACTATGTTGACTCTACTCTGCCGTGTGTTAACCTCTTAATATACAGTTATCAACTCCTGAAGTACATACTGTCAACATAAAATATGATATATGACATAATGACATCAAACATGGAATGGATTTTTTTTTTAAACATTTATATAATTTTTAGGTATTTCTTGGCTAGGCTACATGCACTTATAAGAAAAATCTCTCTTAAAAGTTGTGTATGTAAACTGAAGTCTATTAGCTTTAATAAGGTTTCTTTTATAGACATATTTCCTCTGTCTATATTCAAATAACTTGTTAATTTTTCTAAGGATATTAAAGCTGCATGCAACTGAGGGAACAAATCTTCAAAAAAAATAGTCAGAATATAACTACATAAAGATTTTAAAATGTATACTTACTCACAATCTATTTAATGACTGCATGCTTTATTTAGTATATTAATGAATGGGGTTTTTGTGTTTTGTCTTTTTTTAGTAACCATTTTTTATTCATTTTTTCTACTTTAATGTAACTCATAGGAAAGGGCTAAATTTGCATATTCTGACACCTTATAGATTTTTTGTGTGAATTTAAAGTACCTATGGCTATGATAAATCACTTATTTGGTTGTTTTTTCACTATTCCTATTTAAAACACTCCTTAGATATTAATAAAATTTAGCATATAAAATCTGGAAGCATGCTTTTCAACAGCAAGGACAACTTTATCATATTGACATGCAATTGTTATCCCATACAGGAACAATTCTGTTTATCATTGAATTATAAAACAATACACAAACCAAATTATCATCAGAAACATTGCCAGTATCTGTATTCAATCTCATAAAATTCTATAATAAAAATATCAATTCTTCTTATCACTAATACATTCATAAAATGGTTCAGTTCAGAAATATTTTGTCAGTAAATAAAAAGAAAACAGTAATAATGACTCAGTGTCATAGGGGGTGAAAAATGTGCAGACCAGAACTTGAACCTGTGACCTTCGGGATACAGTTCCGCAGCTCTATTGACCCGAGCTATCCGGCTGCTTACACATCTTCTCCCCTAAATAGTGAACAATTCTGAATCGTGACATAAAGAATTAGTCTCATTACCTTCATATGATTAACAAATCACAATGTCATATTTGCACTTGACATTTCCAGTAAATTTGCATAATGGTGCCCATGAGCTGTAACACATACCTTCTGCTCAACTACATGTTTCATGGCAAGTTAATAGTAAAACAGTTGCTGAAAATTCCATACAATGACCTATAATTATAATATGTGAGAACATGTGTGAAGCTGAATACTCCAGTGGTTGCATGCAAAATCTTAATTGTGAGTCCACAAATGGATATAATTAAGTAAAAATTCATACTTAATTTACATGTCTTTGACATGACTTAAAGCCATGAGCTTATGTTCCCAGTAAATCTTTCTAATATTCATTAGTCTAAGAAAGGAATTTGCAGTAAAATCTTAACCAACTGTTATGAAAATGCCAAAGCCAAGAAACAAATATTTTCTCACTTCTCATGTTATAGTCACCTCATGCTAAAATCTTAGACTTTCTACCTGCAACAGTGAAAGTAGTAAACCTCCATGTTTAATAGCAGGCAGGTAGGTCTCTAAGTAGAACCACAAACTTTGAACATGCACACTAGACAGCTTCTGCACATTGAGGAATTAAAAATTCCTGGCAGGTTTCATATCCAAAACCAGTTAGGGTCAGTGGTTCAAGTGCTACCTTAATCACTGGGTGACAAAGGGACCCAAAAGTAAAGAAGGAAATACAAACATTGACTCACCAGTTTACCATTGTCTCCCATAACAGGATCACAAACTAAAATAGAATCAAAATCAAACATTCTATAAGCATTTATGCTATCATTATTATTACTGTCACAACAAAAATGGTTACTAAAGAGGTATGTTAAAATTGTTTGTTTATTTTTCTAGTATTTACACCAATTTTGACACATTTCTAGTCATCTATTGGCTGTCAGACCACTGGATTACTAACCAGTGATTGCAAATTTCTCTAAAAGGGATCAAACTATCAAACATCCCACATGATTTCTGAATTAATAGTCAAAGAGAAACAAATGACCATTACACACAACAATGTCCAAGATCAGTTGCCACAGAGAAATTTTGCCTTGGCCGTGGGACTGAACCCGAGATCCCCTGAAATTTTTATTGTACAATTCATATAACTCATAAAATCTTTAATATAGAGTTTGTCATTTCATATCATGATTATAGAACCATGCATATTAAAACATGTGAAACTGTACAAATTCATTGTCACACTTCATGTCTTTCAATGCTGAACATTGCTTTAAGCATCAAAGTGTCAAATTAATAAAATTAATGCAGATTTCTTATTCATTAACATAATCTTACCATATGTGATTCCTGGATTACTATCCCTGATATCTTGAATTATCTCCCCTACTTTCAACAAAAATGACTCTGATCCTATATAACCTGAGAAAAAAATATAAATCATTTGAGCCATGCCATGACAAAACCAACATAATGGGTTTGCGACCAGCATGGATCCAGACCAGCCTGCGCATCCGCGCAGTCTGATCAGGATCCATGCTGTTCGCTTGCAAACCCTATTACAAGTAGAGAAACTGATAGCGAACAGCATGGATGCTGATCAGACTGCGCGGATGCGCAGGCTGGTCTGGATCCATGCTGGTCGCAAACCCACTATGTTGGTTTTGTCATGACGCGGCTCATTTATGATATATTTAAATACAAGCTAGTTACAAATTTTAAGATAACCTTGGAAATAATGTGTTTGAAAAATAAATGTATTTCCAGAATTTTTTTATTACAAATACCCAGTATAGCATTCTAGAAATGCCTAATTACAAGTGACTGCAAAGGACAACTACATGCTTAGTAGTAGTACATGTACTAATTACTGAAATGGTAAGGTTGTAATTTTTGGGATTTTAATGCATATCTGTTAACTCAAATTGTCAAGCCTTCTAGCTTAGTATAAAATGTTGTACTATTGTCTGAATGGTTGATGATCAGTTATCACCATTACACCATTGAATATACATAAGTTTAATTCTAAGTACAAAAGCATATGTTTACATGTCAAAGCATTCTATCAAACTGGTATCAAAGAGACAAGTCTACACTGAATTAAACTCATGTGACTAGAGAGCGTATTATATTACACATCACAAGCAGGACTACAGCCCTCAAACTTGTGCAATGCATTACCTGTCTTTTAATAACCTTTTGGTTAACAATAACATGTCTCCTGCCATTCTTATGTTCATCAATTATCATTATCATGACAATCTGCTTGTTGAAAGCAAGAGTTGATGATAATTATACATGCAATAAAACTGTCAAAAACTTATCATAAAAGCTATAAGAGAAAACAAAATAAGACTTGAAGAAGAAAAATCAGTTGACAGTACTACCTGTAAGTAAATGTGAGAACTGTCCATGTATATTATTCTGTTTGAGACCATCATACAAGCATTCTATATCTGCAGCATTCAATACTTGACCCTTGAAACATTTGTATCCTGAAATAAATCAGCATTCAGCATACAATACCATACAAAATATTTATTGTTTTTCATGTAAAATATTTATTGTTTTCATGTACAATATTTATTGTGTTTCATGTAAAATATTTATTGTTTTATAATGTTTACAGTCTGTAAACAAACTTAAACAAGAACAAGAAGCAAAAAAAAAACAATGAAAAAATCAGAATTATTTAACATCATAAATTTTTTTATAAACAACAGACATATAGATAAGTGTGTCTGTGATGAGGAACGTTTAAAAAAATTTTTAATCATACCACTGACTGCTTTTTAAACTTTGACAGATGTCATAGATAAGGAAACATGAAGGTTAACATAGTGACAGTCTGTTTCAAACCCACATTATCCCTGTGTTGTAAGGCAGAAATCATTAAATGTTTCCCGTCAAGATATAAAGACCTTCATAATAAGCGATTCTTTTCTACCAGTTAAAATCAAGAAATTAATATCGCTTATCATATAAATAAATATCTCAGAATTTCTAAAAACCACATTTACTTACTATGTTACCATTAAGCCAACAAGATAGACCTTCAGGGGAGGACCCTAGATAATGTTGGTATAACTTTTGGTCCAACCCTTTTGTATGTACATTATATTCATGCTTAAGATATTGATGTTAGATTGTGTAAATTAATCATGTACAAAATATGCAATAAAATATTATTAAACTTATTAAACTTAAACATAATAAAGGGTTGATAACAAAACGCTGTCTAGAAAATCTAAAGTATCACAATTCAATTCCTTTTTTTTCTCTTCTGTTTTTTATTCTTCTTTTTTAATAGTTATAAGTGACACTGAGATTGTGAAGGTCATAATTATGTCTCTATGACTACTTTCCAGTTTGAACTTTCATTAGTTTGATGATGGAGACAGACCTCAGGTGACTATCCATGCTTTGTTTCAGGTACAAGCTGGCATCTCAGAAGAACCACTGGCCTTCCATAAGGTAGGTTAGTGGTTCATTTCACTGATGAATCAAAAGTCCCTGTCATTATCCAAACCCACAGTTCTAAGTGAGTCCTCTGGGTAATTGATTCAGTAAGCGGCTTTAAAACCACTATGACATGCAGGGCTTAGTTCATTTCTATGTCACTACTTTAAGGAACCGTTACAATTACCTGTGTGATTTGATAACTGGACAGAATTTACTGGGCAGACGTCAAAACCATGTATCTGTAATAAACGAATTTGATAAGAATTAAACATTATCATAAATACATGAGATGTAACACTCTTTAAAAATGGATTCAATAAAGTACACTGCATTCTTCATTTTTCATGCACAACATGCATGTGAATATTAGGTCATCAAGTGCATTGAGTTACAGTAAAATATCTTTACATCCAACGTGATATCATTTGTATATGTAACTATATTAACCATAAAATAGATCTAACATGATACTATATTTTTTATCGCATGATTATTTATTGTCACACGCCTAAAGCAGGAGAGTGTTTTGATACTCATACTGTAATCTTGAGAGTGAATGCATGCATGACCAAGAATTAAACATATAATACCTGTAAAGCAAACGATGCACACTTGTTCCCAACATAACCTGATACAACTGTACTTTGGATAGATAAAACTTGATTCTGCTGCAGGGCTGTCATGATGTATTTGATGGGATAAATTAATGTTGAAAATGTCAACACTAAACAAGGTCGTCCAAAGTTGAAACGGTGATTACATAAATTGTTACTTGACAATTTTTGTTCAGGTGATAAACCACTAAAATATTACAGGTTTCACACTGTCAATTTCTTTCCTTCTGTTAAAACCATTTTCATGTTTGGATGCAAGGAAAATGTTAAAGGACAAATTTATTAAGTGCGATATATAATTCAAATTCTTTTATACCGTAGATTGACAAATTTTTGTGTGTGCGATTTTTAGCCTGATATAACTTTTCCGTTAATATGGCCATTTTGTATAATGGTAGATAGATTCTTTTATTTCTCCAAATTTTGAAGGGCAAATTTTAGATTAAGCAGTGAATATATGATCTGAAAGTCTGCACACAAGTTATTAGTCTGGATCTTCACCATTTTTTGTCTCTGTCTTCTTCATTGCTTTTGCTGATGCTTTGTTTTTTATGACACCTTTGTTTTTTTTTTCTGTAATTGCGATATTATCGACAAAACAACCAGATTATTTCCACAATGCTTGCATTCTTACTCAAGTTCAAATTTTGGCAAAAGCATATTGTCAGAGACATAGATAACAAAGATAGGCTACTTCCTAGCCAGTTAAAATATCACGCGTGCCTACTAAACTTAAAACTTGTAGCAAGTAAAACTTATTAACCAGATATCAAAATCAGTAAAATAATACATTTTCTGAAAGCTTATGCATTTGTCTATGGCTGCAGGTAAAAATATTTACAGTTCCCATTTAAATAAATGTTGTATCATTTTTTAAAGAGAACAACTTAATATTTTTTGTTACAAAACTATTCATATGACAAAAAACTGGCTCAGTGGGTATGTTCTGCCATGTTTTTCTAAGTGAAAGGCATGGAAAGTTACCAATATTTTAACATGCAGCCATAGATGAAAGATTTACCTTTCAAATGGTACATAATATTAAAGGATCAAATGTACATCCATTAAGTTTTATTTGCTACAAAATGCCTAATTTTCCACTTTTTTATAGGCATGAGTGATATTTCAATGGAGTATATAGGAGCTGCTTATCTCTGTTATCTATGTCTCTGATATTGTTATTTAGGAGCTTATTTAAAATAGATAGTTGCAGATTAATTATACCAATATTGGAATTTTGCCAGTGGCAATCCCTTTTTTTAAATAAATTTTGAAATATTCTGTTTTTATAGTTGACAGACAGTTATTCTAGTTGGGAAGCCAGACTGTTATTCCAGCTGAGAAAACAGACTTTATTAACATTTTATCAACTACTATTAACAGCTAAAATTATCAGATTACAGTCATTCATCATTTGGTTTGTTTTTCTAGTTCACTCTTACATTGAAACAAAACAGTTGTTAAACTAGTTATCTGCTGGCTGCGGCGAATTCTCCTTATATGACAAGTGCAGATTACGATAAGTCACCACAAACTGTGGGGATTCTGATTTATGGGGCGGGACTTTTAAAAGGTTCTTTATCCTTTTTGTAAATTAAAATTTTAAAACTTTTCCCCCCTTTAAAAAAAAAGTAGTTTTGACAAAAAAATTTATTGTGGAAAAAGAAAAAAAATTTTAAAAATTGGGAACCCGTTTAAATGTTTAAAACAACCGTTGGGTGTCCCGAAGATGGACAAAACTGGAAAAGGGGGACAAATTTTTATTTTAAAATATTTTAATTTTAAATGTTAAGGGGTTTTAAAATCTGAAATAAAGGGCAACAATTTTAAAATTGAAAAAATTTTTTAAAATGCAAATTTTTTTTTAAAGTACATAATGGGATAGGTACAAAACATTTAAAAAAAAATGGTTTTAAAATTAAACCAAAAAATTATTGGGTGGCTTTTTATTTTTTTTAAAATGTAACTTTTTTAAAAAATCTGAGAGAATGAGTTGCAGATTAATTATACCAATATTGGAATTTTGCCAGTGGCAATCCCTTTTTTTAAATAAATTTTGAAATATTCTGTTTTTATAGTTGACAGACAGTTATTCTAGTTGGGAAGCCAGACTGTTATTCCAGCTGAGAAAACAGACTTTATTAACATTTTATCAACTACTATTAACAGCTAAAATTATCAGATTACAGTCATTCATCATTTGGTTTGTTTTTCTAGTTCACTCTTACATTGAAACAAAACAGTTGTTAAACTAGTTATCTGCTGGCTGCGGCGAATTCTCCTTATATGACAAGTGCAGATTACGATAAGTCACCACATCTGTGCATTCTGATCATGGGCCGCACTGTATGCTATTCATTCTGTATAGATTTTAAAACTTTCCCTTCAAAAAAAGTGAATAAGTTTTGACAAAAAATCATTGACCCCGCCCCCCCCCCCCCCCGCCCCCCCCCCCCCCCCACCGCCCCACCGACAGAACCAAATTTAACATTGGTAGAACCAAGTTTAAAAAGTGTTAAATCTAACCCCGATAAGGGTGTCCGAAAAGATGGAAAAGCTGAAAAAGGCCCGGGCCCAAGGGTTCATTTTAAAGATAATTCATAATGTGGTAAGGTGGTTAAGTCCTGAAAATATCGACACAATAAAATCTAACTTTTTAAAATGCATTTTATTTAAAGTACATAATGTATAGGTACAATCATGAAAAACATTTGTAATTTAAACATATTGAATGGGGATTTGATTTATTACATGGGTAATTTTGTAATCATCTGAAGAGAAATGGAAGTGTGTAAAAACTCTTTTTACCGGGTTTTATTCTTTAAAACAAATTGAGTAAATTTATCATTTACAATCAAAACAGTGTCAATACAGAGTAAATTCAAAACAACAACTTACATAGTTTAATATATAGATAAAGAAAACAAAACAATGAGAGTGAACACTAATCATTATCTCTTAACAGTAAACAGGTAATCAAGAGACAATACAACTCTTAGAATCGAGTTAAATGAAGATAATTATGTGATCAAAAATCAAAGTTATCTAAATGTTTAATCGAAGGATACTTAGAATAATGAAAAAGTGATGGCATCATCAAATTCAAGAACAGTCAGGCAAAAATAATCTCTGTTTCTGGTCACAAGCCCAGAAAAGAGGGTAGGTAAGAAGAAAATTCTTTTGATAATTTTATATTTTGCTATCTGAAACAGAGCTTCTTTTTGCCTACTGGTATTTATTTTACAGATCAGAGAGTGTGAAAACATGAGCTGAATGTTTTTTTTATCATAAGAAACTGTACACCCCCAGTCTACATTACTAAACAGACTTTAATTAAAAGTCTCTGATTACTTTGAAATAACTATACTTCCGTATTGAGCAGGAATAAAGTATTTAATTTCTCTTGTACAGCTTTATATGGATAAGTATATAATAAAAATATCTAAACCTGTCAAATAGTAATTCTTAATGTCACATCTGAAGAGAGTTTCAACAAGTATCTGTCAACTTTTCCTACAAATACAGACAATATATATTTTGTACATACATGTAATATGTGTATAACAAGAGAGGGAATGCAGCAAAAAAACTCCATTTTTAAAAATCTTTAATTAGGTTTTTGGATTTTTTCTGCAAATATTTGGTTAAAACACCAGTAATTTTAAGAGCCCTTCACAAAGGGAAGGTTTCACCTCTTTTTTGTAACAAAGCAACATTATTTAAAACCTGAGGGGAAAAAGGGGAAAGGGGTTTTTAATGTTTTAAAACTTGTTGCCCAACCCATTTCATTTTGATATATATATTTTTTGTTTTGTTTTTTTTGTAAAATAAATTAAATGAATAAAATTTTTAAAAAAAAATACCAAACGAAGTTTTTGAAATTTCTAAATTTTTTACCCCCGATTTTTTAATGAAAATGGTTTTTTTCCAAAAATTCCTTATTGTTTGTCGCCCCCAAAAAAAATTTGCAGATTAGCTGAAGAATGTTTTTTTGAAAAAATCAAACTTGATCTACTCACTCCTTTGTGCCCTGGCAGCTATTGAAAAATTAAATATATCTTTTTACAAAAAATTTTCAAAAGATTTCTAGCTTCAAAAACAATTTACAACATCATTCAATTTTTTTTATAACCATGTGACTTAAAACTTTGATTATTTTCCTTACAATATCATAGCCTTAATATCAATTAAAGAATACAAATTTAATCTTAAAACCTTGTGAACAACTGTTATATAATTCCACTCCCTGATCAGCTGGCAATGGTTGAGAACGCATAGATCAGTATCTTAAGGCTATAAAAGTTCATAAACGATATAGGGAATCTTCACATTCAGATAAAATTCTGTTGAATCCAAATATTTGATATTCTCATTGCTGAAAAAACTTTGTTAATTTGTCACGAAATAATACTAGATGATACAATAACTATGTTTCCTTCGCATGTAATTGTGATGAAATATTTTTGATGTTCTTTTTACATCTGTCTTAACTTTGCTAATCGCTGTGAGAGTTCATCCTGAAAAAAAAGAAAATAAATAAATACCACATCATAAATATATATATACATATACATTATTCATTTATCGAAAAGAACATTGCAGGAAAGTTTGTTTGTTTGTTTGATTGGGTTTTATGTCATACCCACACAGTATTGGAGGAATGAAACTATATACATGATTATAAATTTATAAATAAAAGCAACAATAGGTGTAGATCATGGAATTCTAGCAGCCATATTCATTTGTCTATGTCACCCGTGCAAAGCCAGAAGGCCTTTCCTAAGGTGCTTTAAGCACCGCCCTCCCATTGTGCTTTATCTCCAAATCAATCTTACTAAACATATTTGGAGAAGTAGGAGTTCAAACATGCTGCTTAAAAAACCATGTGTTATCTATGGGCGACTGTGCCTGTCATACCTCCTTGAAAATGAAAAATTACAACCTTCTTATAGGGAAAATTCTTACCCAAATTGAGAGAAAAGGAATTTATGTGCAAAAAACCATTTATGTATCAAGTTTTATTTATAAACATGACAATGTTAAAGTTACCAACCTGTTCCCCTGATGCCGATGCTGTTGATTGACCAACTGTTGACTGTTGTGCTGATGGTAAGTCGAGGTTCAACTCCAGCCTATAAAAATTGTAACATAAAATATCTATTATGACCTGGTCTCAAAAATGATATTGCACATGAACAAGATAATTGTATTCATAATAATGCAATAGGAAAAAAAATTCTTCAACTGTGCATAATTCATAAATAAGATGATCAATGAACTAAATTGTAAAAGAGTGATTGTTATTAACTTATAAATCTAATATATTCAACAACAATATTTACAAGGGAGTTAACACTAAAATAAATGTGATTGAAAATGAATGACTAATTAAAATTAGCATCCAGATTAATTCTAATGCTCAATGATTTTTATGGACTGACTGAGATAAGACTAATTTTCAGATCTTACATCTTACCAAAAAACAACAGCAGTATATTTATTATTAGATTTTGATGGAAAAGCCATTTTAATGAGATTGAACAAACTATAAATTACTACAAAATGCAATCTAATTCTATGAAACAAATAATTTTCTCCACAAATGTGATTCATTAAACTTACCCAGCTTCATCTGCAACCTCTTGCATGAGGCTATCTACCTGTCCTTGCGGGGTAGTTAATGTTGACGAATTACACATAGTGTTCTCCATAACTTGTGACTGTACATCCAGATTCTCAAATTGTTGTTCAAAACGATCCATCAATTGTGATACCTTAATATAAATATATTTTTATATATGAACATTGAAACAAAATTCATCTAACATGCTAAATGCAGTTAAAGGTGTTAATTTTATACTCTTAAGAGAATGATACAGCATACTATGGCATGATGAACAAAGTCATAGTTCCTTTATGGGATGAACCTTCTACTCTTTTTTGACTATCACTTTGTTGAACTGACAAATAGACAAATGCTTGATAGTCAGTTATCACAATAGTTAACACTGAGCACTTAATGCTTTGTACATCTAAAAAACCATCACAAATTAAGGTAATACATAGCATTAAGAATTTTTAGTGACTAGAGATAATCACAAACAAAAAGATTAATGAATGTTTATATATTTAAATCATATTAAAGCAACTAATCTTTGTTTGCACACAAGATCCCAAAATGATTGGTTACTAGTACATAATTTACCTTTTCTAAATTCATTGACTTCATGGCCGACTCCATGGATTTCACAACCCCTGCCATTGACCCCGTTACCTGAAAACAATCAAAACAATTTTAACCCAGATCACCAACTCTCCACTTAAAGCTTGTCAATGATTTCTTGCTGCTAGTGAGCTAAAACAAAATTTAAATTCTTGGCTCTTGTAAACTTAAACAAAATAGAGATCACCTACTGTATGTGTAACACTCTACATGGTAATCTAAAGAGTCTATACAAACTAATGAAACTATTATAATAATACAATGATTTTTGAACAGTTATTTGTATTTTATTTAAATATATTTAAGAACAGTATTCTGTATGTCTGCCTTACAAGTACATCTTGTACAATTCCACTCTAAACTTTTCCAAAACAAGCAAATTATTATGACAAAATTAGTATATAGGCCTGTTAAGTCTCAAATCTGCTTTCACTTTTATTTTTCAAAAGCTTTTTATTATTTATATCCAAAAAGTTACTCATTGGCTAATGGCCTACACTCAAGTCCTCTTTTGCCTCTTTTGTATCTTGGCAATAAGTATAGTACATGTAAATAAGTATTTGTATGGAAGTCAAAACACCACTTTGTTTACAACTTTACATTATGCTCCCTTTATTACATATAATTTCACATTCAATGCTTATTATTTTATTTAGATGATAAGCATTTCACATCTCTGCCAAAATAATAAAGCACATGTTTCACCTTTCTGTAGAATGAAATATTTATTCATTTCTGAGGCATAATGTGCAGTTACAGTTACTAGTCAATCTCTGCATCTTACACAACAGACAATGTTAAACATTTACCTTTTGAGTTGTAAGAGCTGTTTGTACTCTTGCTGATACTGCATCAATCCTTGCACTCATTCTGCGGTAATTTAATGCCTGGTTCTTTTGTCTTATAGCATTTTCTGCATGAATCTTGGCTCCCTCCATGTTCCCCTTCTGAATTGCCTGGAAAATAATATGGTGGATGTCAAATGATTTGTTTATAGATTGATCATGCCATTTGTTTTAAATGTAATATAACCAATAATGTTGACCAAGAAATGTTATGAAACTCACAAAAGCTTAATATTAGTTATAGTAATACTGTAGCTTCTATCTTCATCTAAGTACAGTAATGGGCTTAAATAAAACTCCTATTACATTTAAAAGGAAATAACCTGTTACTGCACAAAGGTGAAAACATGAAAAGATAACTCATGAATGTGAGATTCTGTGTATGTTTTCATTTGCAGTATACATAAACTTTGCATTTTGATTGCTAAAAAATATCACATTAATATCTCCTAAAAGGAAATGTTCAAAATAATCAGACTGAAAATTCACTGTTTTTCACCTCTGCAGTAAAGTTTTTGAAATATTCTAATTTAGAAACAGTCTTGTTGTACAGTATTGTATTTTCATATAAGTACATATGTTGGCAAATTGGCAAACACTTTCAGGGTTTTCCTTTTTTATGAGGCAAATGATGTGCCAACCAAAACAACCGATTTGGCCAAGGGTCAAGGGGGATATTTTAATCTACAGACTGAAAATAAAAACAATTTTAACAGCATTTCAGCCAATGATATGGATCTCCATGTCTGTTAATAATGAAAACCCTGCTCTTTAGTCTATACTGGTGGCTTAGATTTGCCATACAAGTTTCATTGCTATTTCTATAAGGATGAAGTGCTTACCTTTTTCAGTTTCCCTTTTTCTTCTCTTTCTGACTTTTCAGATTTCTTAGCATTTCGCTCCAAATCTTTTGCAGCAAACTTGAGGTTAAACATATGCTCTTTGTCTAAGTTAAGGCTTTTAAAGTACTGTCATTGTTAACATATCATATCAAGTAGCGTTAGTGTTTACTACAGGTTTATATCCATAAAAAAAAAAAAAAAATAAATAATAATAAAACCTGAAAATATACCCTGCCTTTTCTGATTTAAAAATGAAAAAAAAAATCTACCGCACAAAAACTTCAAACTACTGGTCAAGGACCATCAACCAGACAACATATTTCCATACAGAATGATATTTTACAGCTAGACACCTGGAAATTTGACACTGCACTGCAAGGTTGTTCTTTAAACTTTAGAGCTACATGTAGTTTCTTGTCCATACAGTTACAGGGGGTATCAAAATTTCCTAAATTGTCCTCACTATAGTACCATGTGTCCAAGAGATATGTATGAGTAAAATTTAATCCAGATAATGGCTTGGGTGGTTTTATTTTTTATTTTGAACCCAATACTTTAATACAATGTAATTACGTATACAGTGAATATTCCAGCAGCATATGGTGAAAATTTGAGTGTTCTAATGTTGTGAAAGTCCCAAAGAGGTCAGGTATTGCACTCTTTACATCAGAATTTTCAACATTCACAGTCATGTAATAGATATATAACAATCTATCTATTTTCCATTAATGTCAACCCCCTCGCCTCGGACTTAGAGAGATAGACATGAACTATTAACATTTCGGAAATTAAAAATCTATTAAATTAATTGATTATAGAAGTTGATAAAAAATCAAATGATTGATTGTCAAACAATTGAACAAAGTATAAACAAATAATTCAAATATTTATGGGGCCGGTTGTCCAGATTTGGTGGTCTCCAACCATTGCTGTTCTGTTAATGGTTTCTTCAAGAGATTCATTAAATCCAGATAAGAAGATCTATATACCTTTCAAATTAAATTCTCGTGTTTTATATCAACGAAATAACATAGCAGCTCAATTGACTTACCAAAAATTACATCATTCCCTTCCATGGTATAAAAATAAATCTGAAAAATAATAACTGATCTACAAATTTGATTTTGACAGAAAACAAAAAATGAAAAAGGAAAGTTTTCATAGTCAGCAAGAAAACTCTTCTGCTACTTATTTATCACCCAATTAAATGTTTAGTAGTAAAAAGAAAAGGATACTTTCCATATTTCCACCGCCTGAAAACATGATTGCTGTTCAGAAACTCTTGATTTAATGCAATAAAAATGAATAATAATTTTGTTATTATGACTCTTCCTCAAATGACAGTCAGTCTGGTTCCCAAATAAATAGATCACTGGTTCCCTGAGCGAAAAACGATTGCGAAATTATCGGCTCTTTCCGCCATGGATCCCGTTCCTATCTAATTCAGTTCAAGATGATTTTCACGTAGGGCACCAGTCTATGAAAACGGCAATCCTCGGATCTTTTCAACCTTTCCCGTCAAACTCCGGTGAATCGCATCGTGTAATGAAAATGGATAGATCACAAGAAAACACAACACTTTTTGTGCGAAATATCCCTTATCACTTCACAAAGAATGAACTCGAAGACAAGTTTTCAGAGTACGGCCCAATCAAGCAATGTTTCATTGTTAATGATAAAGGTAATCTAAATAATCATACATTTTCGCGATGTCAACAAATTGAACATTTTTTTTGTTATATGACATGCTGGATTACATTAAAAATTGCACAAGTCGAAACAGTATCACAGCAAAAACGTCAAAATAAGTTAATTCGACGATAATACAAACCAGTCTATAATTGTGTTTTTGTTTTTTCAGTTTGGTGCTGAAATACTCAAATAGGGCCCTAGCCCAACAAATTGTGCGCTTTAGGGCTTTTTTTTATATATACGATGGTCGCCCTTCGCGCACAACCCACTTACGATTCAAAACAATGCGGAAAGTTTTCCTTCTTTGTGTATGTGCCAGCGACCAGAATCTCGTCGCTAACTTTGACGGCTTCAAATATTTATTTAAACTCAACATTTCTTGAAAAAAATTACATACCTGCAAAGCTTATTCAAAATAGAATTAATTTAAAGAAAATTGATCAGAAAGTTATATGTTTTTAATGCACAACGGTTACAAATTCCTACTCATATCAACGTTTTTTGTTTTACACCGCTAAAACTCTACCTAACGGTAGTGTATTGATAAATCTCACTAGCTTGCAGTATGTACTGCGGGAATTCCGTTGTACACATGAAAACGGGTTTTGTGGTTGTTTCGTCTGCAAATGTTTTATTTAGTCCTTTAGTGAATAAATTAACTAGGGTATCCAGGCAATAACTCAAACGTTTAGTATAGATTAATACACACGTCCTGGGCATTGATACTGTCATTTTGCAATTGCTATCTATATGTATATTATATTAAAACTGACGAGAATGTATACATATTTCTTAGAAAGTTTGTTAGTTACTGTATGTCACTTCGTAAAAAGTACCAACATAATGAATGGGGCTACTAGAAAAAAAAGACAAAAAGAACAACAACAACAACAAAACAACCCTAAAAATAAAAGATCTCCGGGAAAGATACACGTTTTCCTTTTATCATTATTATTTTAACAGAGCTCCAGATAGCGTGCGTATAAGCGTAAAATACGCATAGAAAATCTAAAATACGCATCACTTTTAAAATTGGTGCGTCACAGTTACGCACAACAAAATGAAAATACGCTCCTATGTCAAAATTTATGCGTGAAAGAATAGAAGTGTAAACATTTGATATGTAAAAAGAAAATGTTTTGAGCATAAAAATACAATATATTTCCATTTTATTGCATTGAAAACTAAAAATTCTGTTGTCAACAACGCATGTTAAAAACGAAAGTAGCAGGAAATACAGAAGAGAGGTTAACTCCCGTAGATCAACTTGTGAAATTATTGATGAAATTTGTGCAAGATAATCATCGTAGGAGTTAACACAGTATTATGTTTGTTTAGGCATCTATTGACATGCCTATGCCTCAATATAAACAAAAATATATTTTAATTTCTTCAACTTTTGTTGTTGGAACAAAATAACATGTTTTTCACCTGCAGTTTTGTACTCAATATTTTCGTACCCAGTCTACAGTTACGGACAATTTTCTCTCAGACCAATACTTTTTTTTAAGGAAAGATAAAAAAAAAATCTTGTTAATGTTTCTTTAATTCTAATTTCAACTATAATTGTTCAAACTGGAGTACATGATAAGGTACATGCCGACAGAAATAAAGAAAGAAAAATATTGACTCCTAGAAAATAAAATAATTTTAGGGCTTCCACTAGTGGAAGTTTGGAGACATTTACTCCTTCATTTTGGCCTGTGACTTCCAAAAATCGATACTTTTCCTTCTGTACCTATATAATGTGACTTCCAATATCAGAGATTTTGAAGTCTTTGACTTCCAGATTTTGAAAATGGAAGCCCTGATAATTTTGCTGTGTATCCTAAACTTGAGTTCCAGTATACTCTGGAAGTCTGACTTTACATGTCATGTTTTGTATTGTTTCACATTAAATCAGTATTTAATTTGTAAAGGTTTTTCTAAAAAAAAAAGAAAATAAACAAACAAACAAACAAAACAATAAGTTTAATTTGTTTATAAAAAATGCAAAATGCTTTTTTGACAGATTTTACCCCTTAAGTTTTTCAGAATTTGCATTTTACCCCTCACTCTAAATTTTGAGGGGTAAAAACCCCTTGGCCAAAAAAATTATCTGGAGCTCTGTTTTAATTAAAATTATTATTATTATCATTATTAATACGAAGATTTCAAACCACTGTTGAAACTTGATAAATAACTATATATTTCACAAAGTGAATCAACCTCCAATGTTTCGTTTATCAAGGAGTTTGCTGTTTAATATCTATTTCTTTTCTTACACAATCTACAAATCATTACAGGGAAATGAAAATAATAATAAACATTTTAAAATTAGAATATCATTTCTTAATATCAAGAAAACGTGATTAAGAAATACATTTTTTCCAGTAACGCGATCGGTATTTTCATCCACTCTTTCACGCGATAACGTAGGAATATCCCCTCAATCATTTACGACTGATCATTTTCCGCATATATGTAAGAAAACCAAAGTATAAGTTCTATGAATTGTGTTATAAATAGCGGAGTTTTTTTCAGTTTTTTTTTTGTAAACGAAGATTATGCGGAGAAATTTTACATTTTCTTTGCTTATCTTTCAAGAGCTCTAACATACGATTTTCGGCGATTTTTTTTTATTTATAATTTTCCATTTCATTTTTTCAATAAATTAGACTGGAAGAAAGATATTATAAACATCAATCACTTCACAGGCAAATATCACCTAAAAAAGTATAAAGATTTTCGTAAATTCTGTTGATAATTTAAAGCATGACTGAAGCCATGCCGTAAACAATTTACGCGCTGATCGAATAACTACAACCACCGATACGATAGGATCCTCGACTGTAAGTCATGTTGTATACATGTGCTTTTAATATTTACAAAAAAAACTAGTTAATTATTCTTTAAATTTCTCTTTCATTTAATGTATCCAAGATTTGAATTTCATAACTTTTATCACAGATGGACTTAGTCTAGATATTAATTACGACTGCAAGACAGACCGATTTTATAATCTGATCAACTTACGATACGTTGCGCTAGAACAAAGCAAGCTTTATTCATTTCTGTACGTCTTTCACCGCGTGAAATAATTATTTCCCTGCTCTGGACAAAATTTGACCGCTGTAGACAAAAGGATCTGCATGACTTTCTGTCATTAAACTATTGACTACTTCAATTCTAGTTGTACAGGAAGGAAAGGGGGAAAAGGGCACTTTGATGGCGCTTGTTTTTCATTTGTTTTTTTCTATTCAATATGATTACAACATCTCTTGAATTAAATCACAACTGGGTTAACGAATACTAGGTACTTTGGACCATGCTTTAATTTTCTTTTACAAAATTTTTAATATTTAAATATTTCTGTCGGGACAGGTACGTATATTAAAGGTCGGGATAAAAAAAGAGAGCGCGTAGTTAACTTAAGTCGTTCTATTATAGTTAGGCACATTCATAGAATCTGCCTGTTATTTATTTGTTTCTTTAAAGATATTTTTATTTTGATAATACTGATCATTTATGTGGACTGTTATTATAAATGTTTTGATGTCAATTAATTCTTGTGCTGAAATTTTGTCGGAGGGATCTTCCGGGTTTTCGCAGTAAAAACTATGTGATTTTTTCGGCGACAAGCGTACGAGAATATAATTTTGAAGGATATATTCATCACCAGTGGTTTCTAAATCTAAATGAATTCAAAATATTTACTAACACCTTTAAAAATGTTTACGATATATATAGCGCTTTTGTATGTGTTTACCGCATGCAGCCTCCTCGGGTGTACTAATATGTTTAAATGAAAACAAACGTTTTCATTGGTTATCACGTTCGCTGTTTACATTTCAGCGACAGGTACCATTTTAAAGTTTTTTCGGTAATTTAAGTTATTTTTTTGTCATTTTATGATTCTTTTAAAGACAATGTATGGTTTATAACAACAAATATACATGCCAGTGTGAAAATTTTCATGTTGCAGTGAAAAAATTGAAATTTTGCTCGGCTCGATTTCCGACACAGTTTTGATCGTAACTGGTTGAGACGTAAAGACAGACATCTATGAAATATCAGATTATAAAATCGGTCTGTCTTGCCGTAGAAAAATTGAGACTAATAGGGCCCCATCCACAAAGCCAAACAAAATCTTATCTGTTGCGTAATGAAAATTCACAAGTGTTAAATTATACAGGGAATTCAAAGGCCGGGCATTAGCATGCCCAGCTGTAGACTACACATATTATATCAAGCAAAACAATTAAAATTAATAAAAAATATATACAGTAGATTTCTATACCCGTCAGTGAAATTTACAGGCCTGTAGGGCTAACCAAAAGTTCTAGTCGTATGCGAGTCACCTACGGTTAGCCAGGACACACTGTATAGTCAAGCCTTATGGCACTTTTTAAAATTATATGAAAGTCTAAAATGCATATGCTATTTATGTCTTTAAACTAGGATTTTACTTTTTTGGCCGTTAATCGTTATGTTTATTTATTCCATGTGCTTAATTAAAAAAAAATTAATTTAATCATTCATCTTTCATACAAATATGAAACAACAAATCATAAAGATAATATTAATTAAACAATGATGTTCTAACCTAAACTATCTATTATTAAAACATAAATATACTTTTGCATAAACATATACAATGTACTTTGTATCATGCATCATGTAACTTTGACACTTATCAAGATGACAACGCTTCCATTTCATTTGTTTTCTTTTTTTGGGACAAAATGGCGGAGCATCTTTATCAAAGTAAACATACAAGGACAATGCGGGTTCTTGGTTAAAATACAAATGTACTCTTTTAAACTTAAATTTTCGACTTTCATATAATTTTGAAAAGTGCTGTAAGGCTAGACAATACAGTGTGTCCTGGCTAGCGAATGGCTAGAACTTTTAGGCGGGCCCGGCTAGCTTCTTCCTTTCTAGTTGGGCAATATTTTATGTAACTCAGTGATATAATAGGCCGATTATTCAGATAACCGTTCAATTGCAACTTTTCAGCTAGGAAAAAATAGTAGAAGTTATCCGTTTGAAAACTGGTGTGGTGCATGAAACACAGAATGACACCTTCAAAATGAAAAAAAATGTATAGGAATAGTTATCCCAATTCATAAAGTAATCACAATTTCAACCAAAGTAATAATGTTTTTTTTTTTCAGTTTCAGGAAAAAGCAGAGGATTTGGATATGTCAAGTTCACTTTATTGTAAGTGTTGATTTTTCATGTTAAAATTACATCTGCATATTGATTATTCTGCTCATATACTATTGTCCCATAAAGGCAAAGGGTGATATATTGTGTTGTCATACCTATTTGTAAACTGAAGTTCATTTGAAATTAGATTAGGGTTATAGTTGAAATAGTGACTGTAGAAGTGATGATTCAGCTTAATGAGTTAATGAAACTTGGTTCAGTTATTAATAAATTAGTGTTATAGTCAACTTACTAATAGAAAAACACCTTGTATTCATAAAGGGAGGATGCAAAGAAAGCAAAGGAGGGTAATATAAACATCGAGGGTAGGAAAGTCTCTGTAGATTATGCAGATAAATCCAAGAAGATAAAGAGACCGCCAAGAAAAATTAAGGAGATAAAAGAAGAAGAAGACATTGAAGAATCGGGTGATACCAGTTTTGACATAGATGACATCAAGAAAGAGGAAGGTGTGGAGGAGAAAGTTGGTAAGATATATTTAATATTTTCATTTTGTCTAATGATACATATGTAGTGTTAACAGTATACATGTTATTATGAAAGTACATTTAGCAATTGTATGAGGGGCATAATATTTTGCGCAAAATGGGCATAACATTTATCACAAACTTGTTATATATGTGGCATTTTATGAATACATGTACATGTACTTGCCTTTAAGGGCATGTAAGGCATTAAGTATGTACCAGTATTTTAAGGGCATTAAGCTCGTACTTCAGAGGCATACAGGGAATTTAGCATATTCAAGTATTTTAAGGACATTAAGCTCATACTTGAGAGGCATACAGGGCATTTAGCACATACATTGTTCCTGTTCAGTAAATGGGGTATTTCACACTTACACACCTCCTCTATAATATTGTTTGTGACAGGTCTATATTTTTTCGGATAGACCTGTTTAAACAAAAGAAAGTCCGTTATGAGGTCTATCTTTTGCATGTGCACATGATTGTTTGTGACAGGTCTATATTTTTTCGGATAGACCTGTTTAAACAAAAGAAAGTCCGTTATGAGGTCTATCTTTTGCACGTGCACATGAAAAAATAGACCTGCTTATGCGCAGACAAAGAAAACATGAAATGCAATCAAAAATTGAAAATGAAAATATAATGTAATTGATTGTCATAATATTCCTGTCTTACAAAATCTGGATACATTATTTTAAACAAGATAATGTTCCCCTGAAAACCTTCGAATCCAGGGCTTAGTTTCAAAGAATGCTACACTACAACGTTAAAGATATAATCCAAAACTTGCTTATAATGACATGCATATACAAGTACTTAAAGTGGAATGGTCTACATTGAGCACATCTCCCATTAGTTATTAAAATAGCGATAGAAACGATTTGGATATTATTAAAAGAAATCTTGAAAAAGAAATGTTAATGTAAAGTTATAAGTGATTTAGTATAACGATTTATATGATGAGCGATCATATTTTATTCTATAAGACTTTATAATCAGATCATGTATCTCACACTTGCCAACAATATACATATGTAAGTATTTCCTGGTCTGCTGGGTATCCGGACGTTTGCCCCTCAGACAGTTGTTCCCTTGGAAGTTTTCTCCTTTTTGCAGTAGCGGACATTTGCCCCTTCATATCTTTGGAAGGGTTGGACGTTTGCCTACCTATAAATGAGCTGTGTTAAAAAATAATCTTTGTGCATTACATCAAATGTTTCAGATCAGCCATTGCTCAAGCAATTACTTTGAGGGTGTGTAAGTTGGATATCGGCCTCGTACATGTACATCGATCTTTCTGTTAAGGAAAGACCTGGTCACGAATTTCATGAAACACCTCGAGCGTTACGCGCTCTCGGTGTCACATGAAATTCTTGAGCAGGTCTTTCCTAAACAGAAAGACCTCGTACTCGGTCGATATCCTAAACATACTACTAAAGAAACATGCAGCATTTTAGGGGCAACCTTTAGCACATTCTTAATGGGCATACTTAGTCATTTAGCATATAATTTAGTGACAGACAGGGCATTAAACACAACCTCAAGGTGTATAATGGAGTTTTCAGCACATAGGTATGGCACATTGATTTTTAGCTATTGGTCCAGTTTACATAGATGAGATGATTTAACTGTAAAGGTCCTAAAGAAAATGAGTCACATGCTTGAAACTCAGGAGGATATGATTAAAGTATTTTATTTAATATATTATTTTACTTTTTACTTTTTAGGGGATGAGACAAAGAAGGGTGGTCAGTCAATGAAATACCATAATGCAAAGATAGTTGCCCTGCGAGGACTTCCTGCTGGTATATCTGATGAAGAGTTGAATCATTGTATAAACAAGATGTAGGTGTTGTTTTTAATGAACCTGTAATAAATATCATTAGTCATTATGGCTGTATAACAGACAAAGGACATATAATTCTATGATCCACATCGTGATGTGAAAATAAAATTATCAGAATTTTACATGACAAAAAAATACTTACAGTTTCATTTTAGAACCCATTTGCAGAACAAATTGAATTACTTTTCAGAAAAAGTTGGAAATGAACTTGAGTGGCCAATGACAGTGTGATGCTTTGTAGCATTGATATAATTTTTTAATGGACTTTTTCTTTTTCTAGTATGATCGCTGCATCATAGATGTTGTCGCCATGCAAAACTTTAATTAGCCCATTATTGAAATATTTTATATTTTATCAACATGAAATTTGGAATACTTGCTTATCTTGATACAGTGCAGTTGTAAGACAAGGGGCATAATTCTGAAAGCTATATATTAATAGTTATGTCCCTTTTTATTTTAGAATTTTTGTCAAAAGTGGTTATTTTAACAGAGGAGCGTTAACCCGCATTGGGTTTAACAGTTCCGTCCTAATATTTCTCCAGTCATTTTCTGTCAGGTCACCTTTACATTGCATGCTATCATCTTGGGTTGAATTTTAAAGATGCATCTCAGAAATGATAATATATATTATACTGATGTGTATGGGTGTATCGTGAATATCTCTCATCAGAAATTGAATTATCATTGACATGCACTTTGCACTAAATCAGTGACAACTCAAGGTACGTCCTTGGCAAAGTGGTTAAGGTCATTGACTTCAAACCATTAGCCTATCACCACTATGGGTAGGAATGCAGACAGGGTCTTTGGATTCTTTCATGTGAGGAAGCTTACAACATGTCAATGGTTCTACTCAGGTGCCTGTTTGTGCCTGAAATAATGCACGGAAGGCCACCTGAGGTCTTCTTCCACCAATGAAGCTGGAAAGTCGCCATATTACCTATACTTTGTTGGTGTGACATGAAACAAAGAAAAAAACATGTATGCTCCACATGCAGACCTAATTTGCTTGAAATGATGAGCAATATTTAGGCATGATGAGACTCTTGTTGACTATTACAGGGGTGTAAAGAGTATGGCAGAGTGCAAGTTACAAGGCTGTGGTAAGGAGGCACATCTGAAGTTTAAATGTATTAGAGATGCCAAAAGAGCAATAAGAAAGTTACATAATCATTCATATAAAGGTAAGTTAATGTGTTACTTTCTTATTTCTGTCTAATTCTTGAATCCTGCCGATGTCAGTTATAATTTATAGAGATTTTGATGTCTTAGTACTTAATTTAAAGGCACATTATGCCTCGTAAACTAATACTTTATTCCTTCTTTATAAAGAGCAAACATACAAAGTAAGTAAGATTAGGGATGATGTTGCTGGCATTATGCCAATTACATGATGATTGAAAGGTTTGAAAGTGTTATTATAGAAGTATCTTGATCTATTATTATATTTGGCTCTAGAACTCCATGGATTTATGCTAGAACTCCATGGATTTATCTAGAATGCCACAGTAATGAGATCCTTGCATAGTAAAATACAAGTTCCAGACCCAGATACTCGTATAATAAGTAATAACCCTATTGTTTTAACACATTATCTATTGTATACTAACCCTATCGTTTAAACACATAAGCTAAGATAAGTTATTCAGATATCCTGTATAATATTTACAGACAGTATGTTACAAGCTGTTCAGATGTCTGAGGATTTTTCTAACAAACGGCAAAATGTTCCGAAAAAGTCACGGGTGATTGTTAGAAATCTCTCTTTTCAGGTAAGCAAAAGTTATATTATAATCATATTTATCAGTCTTAAGCATCTTGACTATTCTGTGTAATTTACTTTGGGCTTCTCTGTGATTGTTAGTCTCAGCAGTAGAAATGTTGAACTTGCTAACCGGTTTACACGAATGTAGGACAAAACCCCACACATCAAAATCCCACACCTCAAAATTTTTCTAAAAAATCAAAGGTGTGGGGTTTTGTCCACTCTATAAAATTCATGTGTGGGGTTTTGTCCACTCTGTAAAATTTTGAGGTGTGGGGTTTTGTCCGTCTTCTGGGTAACTTACACATTGCAAACGGCACTTACAATCCATGTTAATTACCAAAAAGAGGTTAAGATATGCAAAAGTAGCCTTTACTGTGTTAGTCACAGCATAGAAATATGGTGATTAATACTGAAAAGTCAGTTATGGTAAAGTCAGTTATGGTAATCACACACAACTTGTAAATTATAAATTGAATTTTTATACTTTTTCCTGAAAAATCTTACTAGATTTTTCTCAATTTTGATTTTCTCGAAATATTTTGGCTTATCTAGAGACATGCAGCTTTAACATTCCTTAATTAAGTATATAATAAATTTATATAACTTTTACTGATTTGTTATGCTGCTGTAATTGTTGAAAGTTAATTACACTTATCATACTATTTCTATTTACAGTGCAGTGAAGATCAGTTACAGAAGGCATTTATGAATTGTGGAGAAATTATAGAAGTAAAGATTCCATCCAATAAAGGTTTGTAAACAATTTGATTGAGTACTGTATAACTTACTTATACTATTCTTCCTCGATCATTGGCTGCTTTATGATAGTTAAGATGTCGGTCAACAGGGCTCGAATTTAACACTCGCAAACTCGCAAAATGCTAGTTGAAAAATGATTTTGCGAGTTAGATTTATGACTACTCGCAATTTTTTGCGAGTTGAAGTAAAAAGGAATACGCTCGTCAGCAAAATATAAATGGGGCGTAATATTCGCAGGTAGCCGAGTTATGAACTATGCGCGCACTTGCTGTCTGGTTTACATTTTCTATACCTTAACATCGCTTAAAAAAGTACACAAATTTAAACCAGTCCAAATGTCATTTTGTCCGTGTAAATCAAGAGTGATCAGAATAAAATGTCTAATCGAAAAATAACGAACTTCTTCCCACTTATTGAAGCAAATGTGTCTACCGATAACAATACTCGGAGTACATAAGATGATTCACAGTATATAAAAAGAAAGACAATCAGACCTTCAGTTAAACTTCTCACTTCCCCTCGGAGCGTGCACGTCGCTGAGAAGGCACAGGGCATCGGCAGAAGATTTACAACTTGGCTGGTAGACAACTTTAACGTAGCCTTCAACCGTGGGCGTTAACTACGGAATCCTACTTCGTCACTTCTGCGGACCAGCTGCCGATGTCCTGACTAATGCCGAGGGGAGTGGCCCTACAAAGTAGGCTGAGACGACGAGGATGGTGTACTAGGGTGCGTGAGCCCCTAGTACAGATAGACGGCTTGTAAGGCAGGCCTATAGCTGGCACCAACAGCCCTTTTCAGGGCTAAACACCTTTCCTATTGTCACAGGTTACTGTACATTTAGGTTCTCATTGACCGCCGTACAGTGACCTACTTTTGGCTCAAAATTCATATCTTTGGCTAATACTCCGTGGAAATTGCATGGAGGTAAATTATCACCATTTTGTGCTTCAAAATTAACTCTTTAAGGACATGACTGGTGACATGTCCGGGGTCCGTACTCGACAGCGCAAGCTGCATTTTGTGCCTGAAAGGGCGGATGGACCCTCATTAAGCTTTAACTACATACATACATACCTTCAGTTAAAACGGTTAAAAAATGGGAGAAAGAACTGCACGTCAGTCTTACGTACGAACTCAATGACGATGGAAATGTTGCCAAAATATTTTGTGCCGATTGTTGTGCGCATAATCCAGACCATACATCGCCGGTATGGCGACAATATTGCATTATTTTTTTTTACATGTATATTGACATTTGATTAGAATCCCTGTCCCCTATATCAAGTTTTGAGTAGAAAGTTACGTTGCTGATTTGTACCCCGGGCAGTTCGAACTCGTCCAAATAAATAACAATTTTAATTTTGTTATTCTCTATATCCAGCAACAACTTTGTCTTTCAGCACATCAAATAATTAAATTTCTTTTGGAATTAAAAAATCATTGTCGTAAAAAGTGCTAGTTGAATTCAGTTTTTGCTAGTTAAAAATTTGTCCACTAGCAAAAAATTGCTAGTGGCCAAAAAAGTTAAATTCGAGCCCTGGGTCAATTATGGGATAGAAATTGAATAGAACTGGTATAGAAAACTTTTAGGTTACAACTGGTTGCCGTATGGCAGAAACCAGAAATTATGTACCAAACAATATAGCTTACCAGAAATTAACAAACTTGAATAGTTTTAGTACTGTGTTAAAATACTTTTCTAATTTAAACATTAACATTAATATGCAATCATAATGCCACATTTTCCAAATACTGCAAACATTACAAATTTTATTCTATATTGAAACGTACTAAAAATTGCAGATGGGAAAAGAATAGGATTCGGGTTTGTGCAATTTTCTCAACTACAAGAAGCAAAAAAGGCTGTAGAAGAAATGAATTCAAAGAAAATACTAGGTATATATGCCTTTCGTATAAGTCTTTGTTAAAATTCATGTCTCTCTTGGTTTTTATCACTTTGGTGATTTATATGTATGTCTTTCCTGATATTTACATTTTTTCTGATATCTATGTCTTTCATGGTATTTATGTTTTATGGTATTAACATCATTATACCCCCAAAAACGAAGTTTGGGGGGGGGGGGGTATATAGGAGTCACCCGGTGGTCGGTCGGTTGGTCAAGCGGTCGGTCGGTCGGTCCAGACGTCCGTTGCATTTTCCTTGTCCGAAGCATAACATGAAGACTAATGGTTGGAATTCAATATAACTACATACAATGGTCAAGCACATTGAGAGGAAGTGCAGTGTACAAGAACCATAACTCTATCTTGACTAATTACAGAGTTATTGCCCTTTGTTACTTTTCCTTGTCCCTCACGCCCCCTAGCACCGGCTTGAGCTGTACTCAATTCTCAACACTTTATAGTGTTGGCGTCAATGATCCCGAAGGACCAGAAAATATAACAACACTGAAGTGAAGTACCGGGCAACTTTTTACGGCTGCCACACGGCACTTGACACCTGCTGTTGTGAAGTACAAAATTTTGGAAACAAAGTGATCCCTCGGAAGCATTAATCACAACAAAATATCATAAGAATTGCAGACTCGGTTTGATTGAGTCTGTACATGAGAGATAATGAATAAGTGCAACATCCCTCACGCCCCCTAGCACCGGCTTGAGCGGTACTCAATTCTCAACACTTTATAGTGTTGGCATCAATGATCCCGAAGGACCAGAAAATATAATAACACTGAAGTGACTCTATTTAAAGTAATTACAGAGTTATTGCCCTTTGTTGCTTTTCCATTGCTTTTTTTTTTGTCCGGACCATAACTTGAAGACTAATAGTTTGAATTCATTATAACTACATACAATGGTCAAGCACATTGAGAGGAAGTGCAGTGCACAAGAACCATAACTCTATCTTGACTAATTACAGAGTTATTGCCCTTTGTTCCTTTTCCTTGTCCGGGGCATAACTTGAAAACTACTGGTTGGAATTCAAAACAACTTCATACAATTGTCAAACACAATAAGGGGAAGTGCAGTGCACAAGAAACATAACTCTATCTAAAGTAATTACAGAGTTATTGCCCTTTGTTGCTTTTCAATTGCTTTTTTTTTGTCCGGTCAATATAACTACATACAATGGTCAAGCACATTGAGAGGAAGTGCAGTGCACAAGAACCATAACTCTATCTTGACTAATTACAGAGTTATTGCCCTTTGTTACTTTTCCTTGTCCGGGGCATAACTTGAAAACAACTGGTTGGAATTCAAAACAACTTCATATAATTGTCAAACACACTAAGGGGATTTGCAGTGCACAAGAACCATAACTCTATCTAAAGTAATTATAGAGTTATTGCCCTTTGTTACTTTTCCATTGATTTTTTTTGTCCGGACCATAACTTGAAGACTAATGTTTGGAATTCAATATAACTGCATACAATGATCAAGCACATTGAGAGAAAGTGCAATGCATAAGAACCATAACTCTTTCTTGACTAATTACAGAGTTATTGTCCTTTGTTACTTTTCCTTGTCCGGACATAACTTGAAAACTACTGGTTGGAATTCAAAACAACTTCATACAATTGTCAAACACAATAAGGGGAAGTGCAATGCGCAAGAACCATAACTCTATCTAAAGTAATTACAGAGTTATTGCCCTTTGTTGCTTTTCCATTGCCTTTTTTGTCCGGACCATAACTTGAAGACTAATGGTTGGAATTCAATATAACTTCATACAATGGTCAAGCACATTGAGAGAAAGTGCAGTGCACAAGAACCATAACTCCATCTTGACTAATTACAGAGTTTTTGCCCTTTGTTACTTTTCCTTGTCCAAAGCATAACTTGAAAACTACTGTTTGGAATTCAATACAACTTCATACAGTTGTCAAGGACATCAAAAGGAAGTGCAGTGCACAAGAGCCATTACTCCATTTTGACAAAATACAGAGTTACTGCCCTTTGATACTTTTCCTTGTCAGGAGCATAACTTAAAACGTACTGGTTGGAATTCAAAACAACTTCATACAATGGTCATGCACAATAAGAGGAAGTGCAGTGCACAAGAACTATAACTCTATATTCAGTATTTATAGAGTTATTGTCCTTTGTTCCTTTTCTTTGTCTTTCTGTACTTATTACAGAGTAATTCAATTAAACTTCATCAATGGCCAACCACATTGAAAGGAAATGCAACATATAAGAACCGCAACTATCTTTAATTGCCCACAACCATAACTCTATATTTCAATTCTTTTACAAGGTATTCTGTTACTAGTAACATCCTCATTTCCGAAGCAGTCTTGTGGGGGTATTAATCACATTTAGTGATAGTTCTAGTTATTAGTATTCCAGTCTTTCCCAGTCTTCATGTCTTTGCTGCAATTTACATCTTTCTGGATATTTGTCTCATAGTCATAAATGTGTATATCATTTTGATTTGGGGGAAGAGCTTGGATTGTTTAGCCTACACACTTTAAGTCAGAATTATATAGTATGAAACTAGGTTTCTACTCTATAAATGTAAAAATTGCCAACTGGTTTTGGGGACCTTAAGTGACTGACAGGTTAAGATCTATGGCTGTTAACCACTGACTTCTTAATTATGTGGGCTTCAAATTATTCTCTAGACTTAGATTTTTCTATGTGTGGAACAATCCAGATATGGTCAGTGGTTCTTCTCATTTTCCTCCACTAAGAAAACTGGAAACACAGTGTTTGTTGAAAACACAACAAAACACAGCTGGCAGACTTTGAATTTTTTTTTATGTTATAAAAAAACAAAGTGTTAGTGATTTATATCTAATATACCTGTTCTGGTCTGAAATAAGTCATGTACACCTAACATGAAAGAAGATCATCACAAAACCCTGATTTTGTTAAACCCTAACAAAACAATGAACTTAGAAGTTGGTTTTTACCCTAACGAAAAAACCAGGGATCTTAGTTTTGCATTAGTAATTTGGTTAAAGCATTCATTTTTAGCTCGACTTTTTTTGAAAAAAAAAAAAAGTAGAGGTATTTTTATAGTCCTGGCGGCGTTGCCATTACTGTCTGCAAACTTGTACTTGGATCATAACTTTTTTAGTTCTTGGTGTTTTGTCTTGTCTTCATACTTGGCCACAACAACCCTTGGGACAAGACCTTTCAGTCAACCACACTAACCTTGACCTACATCCATAAATGACCTTGACCTTCAAGGTCAAAAGTCCAAATTTTGCTTGTTCTTGCTATTATTGGCTGTAACTTTGTTATTTTTGAATGGATTGTCTTCAAACTTGAACATAATAATCTTTAAGGATATCCCTTAAAAATAACCAGACAGACCTTGACCTTCACTCATAAATGACCTTGACTTTGAAGGTCAAATTATTGAAATTGTCATTTTTTTGGCTATTATTGGCTGTAACTTTGTTATTTTTGAATGGATTGTCTTCAAACTTGAACATAATAATCTTCAAGGATAACCCTTAAAAATAACCAGACAGACCTTGACCTTCACTCATAAATGACCTTTACTTTGAAGGTCAAATTATTGAAATTTTCATTTTTAGCTCGACTATTCGAAGAATATGAGAGCTATTGTAGTCGCCCCGGCGTCGGCGTCGGCGTCAGCGTCCGCGTCGGCGTCTGCGTTGGTTAAAGTTTTTTGTAAAGTCAAATATCTCAATTATTACTTGAGATAATCAATTGAAACTTACAATACTTATTTATAGTAACAAGGTACATCAGATTGACAAGTTGGATAACTCTGCCTACAATATTGACAGAATTATGCCCCTTTTTAACTTAGAAATTTTGGTTAAAGTTTTTTGTAAAGTCAAATATCTCAATTATTGCTTGAGATATTCAATTGAAACTTACAATACTTATTTATAGTAACAAGGTACATCAGATTGACAAGTTGGATAACTCTGCCTACAATATTGACAGAATTATGCCCCTTTTTAACTTATAACTTTTGGTTAAAGTTTTTTGTAAAGTCAAATATCTCAATTATTGCTTGAGATATTCAATTGAAACTTACAATACTTATTTATAGTAACAAGGTACATCAGATTGACAAGTTGGATAACTCTGCCTACAATATTGACAGAATTATGCCCCTTTTTAACTTATAACTTTTGGTTAAAGTTTTTTGTAAAGTCAAATATCTCAATTATTGCTTGAGATATTCAATTGAAACTTACAATACTTATTTATAGTAACAAGGTACATCAGATTGACAAGTTGGATAACTATGCCTACAATATTGACAGAATTATGCCTCTTTGGAACTTAGAAATTTCGGTTAAAGTTTTTTTGTAAAGTCAAATATTTCAATAATTGCTTGAGATATTCAATTGAAATTTAAAATACTTTTTTATAGTAACAATGTACATCAGTTTGCAAAATTGTATAACTCTGCCTGCAATATTTGCAGAATTATTTGCCCCTTTGAAACTTAGAAATTTTGGTTAAAGGTTAAAGGTCTGCAAAGATATTTACTTGAAACTTTACACATGCACTTAGGGTCATAATTGGAGGGTCATACTATCAAGCGCTTAGAATAGTCGAGCGTGCTGTCCTACCGACAGCTCTTGTTTTTGGCTGTAATTGGCTGTAAGTTTGCTATTATTGAATGGATCGACTTCCCTTGATGGTTAAATTACTGAATATTCACAGATTTGTGCATTAAATAACCAATAAATATATATGGTCATTTAATGCACAAATATATATAATGCGTGTGTATATATATTTAGTCGAGAGTTGCCCCCGCCCGGCCGTTGCTCTTGTTAAAAATGACTGGTGGGTCATGTACTGGTTATCTTAAGGTAAATTCATGATTTTACTAATGTACAAACATATGCTGTATTTATCATGTTATACTATAAGTTTGTCGTTAAGAGTGAACAATTTCATTTTGTGATTATTGCAGGAAGACCTATAGCAGTAGACTGGGCGTTACCGAAAACCACATATGAAAATACACAGAATAACACAGGTAATTACATTGTATTAGACATATTCCAGGCATATAGAGCATTGTCATGCATGTTCCAGTCACACCAGTTACAATTTAACAATGCGTTCAGAGCTTTATGAAGTGCGCAATTTATACATAACCTAAAACACAAACTTTGTTTCTGGCTTTCTATTGTTAAATGTAAACAAACTGATTTTGAGAATTCTACCTTTCTATTACATTGGCAAATTATAATTTTGTACTCATCGTGCATCAATCTCTATTGGTAAATCGGAGCAGATGAGTGGAATTTTCAATCCCTGTGGTTATAACATGTGTAATCATGTGCAGCGTACAGAGAAAACATAGTACTTGCATAGGGATGTCTGTCTATCTGTCAGTACAAAGTTGGATTATTCCAGCTAGCTGGGTAAATTTGAATATAAAGCTGTACCAGAGGCACACTCATTTACTTATACAAAGTCCATCATTTTTGCAAGTTATACAACCGTATTATCCATTTTCTACTATATATAACAGTTATTTCTCTTTTATGTACAGGGAGTGATGATTCTGAATTTGATGAAGGGTCAGACAGTGATGATAGTTCAACACAAGATGTAAAACCATCAATTGTTGATAAAAAGACCCATGATGATGCTGATGATGATAATGATGACAGTGATGATGATGATTCATGCAGTGATGACGAGTCTGAAGATGGTATCGATGACAAAGAAAAAATCATTAAAACAGAAGACCCTGATGATATTGATGTTGATGATGATGACGATGATGATGATGAAGATGATGATGATGATGATAGTAATGATTTAGATAGTGACAATGAAGATAAAGAAACAAAAATGAAAAAAACCAAACAACCCCTAAAGAAAAGAGGTGAGTTTATAAATTTAGATACTGCAAGCTTTATTTGTTCTTAATTTATTACAAAGTGTTTTGCAACAGACTATTCCCTAATTTTAGGTATTTTGCAAACTATACACAATGGTTTTTGGTTCACTTAACATTGCAAAATATTTGCCCAATGTTGTTGGTTTTTTTGTTGTTTTTTCTAAGTCATAACAACAATGCAAATAGATTAATTATCTATGTTTAATATTGGTCCTTTTTTGATTGCCTTTTGTAAGTTAGTTGTTCTTAATAAAGTGTTTAATGTTTTTTAAGCTTGGCTATTCAAGAAATGGTAGGGCTATCCTACTAACTTTGGTTTATACAGAATTTATTTTTAGTTCTATTGTGTAGGTCGCTATAAGCTTATAGACACATTTTGAATCCATTCCTGGAACCAACTAGTACTGACCAATGAGTGTTAAGTTTCTTGCTCAAGGAAACAACGACTAGCCCCTGACAGGGTGTGAACCCATGCGGCTAGCAATCATTAGATTACTAGTCTGACGCGTTAACCGCTCGGCCATGTCGCACTAACCGCCTACTAACTTTGGTGTTTGTGTTTGGTAAAGTATGGCAAGCATGGTTTTGCCTCAATATTATAGTTGATAGAGAAAAACTCTATCGCGAAAACAATATGTACAATGGTTCATATTTTGAATGTTATAGAATAAGATAGAATTATTGAATATTGTGTTTGAGCACATCATAATCAAAGTTTTACTTTTACTATTACAGAACAGAAGAGTGATACAGACGATGGCTGCACTTTATTTATAAGGTTTGTTTTCTGGTTTAATTTATACAACATGCACAGTGACATCAGAAATTACTTCAAACATTTTTTTCCACCTGTGATTAAGATAAGTCTAAAAAAAATGTTTTACCAATGATTAAGCATGTTTTTATGGACACATACAAATTGAACTGTGACATCAGGTATTTACTTCAAACATTTTCTCCCCTGAGATTTAGCCATTTTCCTCTTAATTTTGTTTGAAGCAACATCTTTCTTGAGAGTCAATTCGGTAATCATTCTGACAAGTAATTTAGGTCCTTTGATAAAATCTTATGTTTGGAAACAAGCACAAACATTCCCATTTACCTTCCACAGCTAGCTTATGGAAAGTCAGTAGTTTTACTTGGGTGCTCGTGCATGCCTGAAATAATTCACGGAAGGCACCTGTGGTCTTCTTCCATTAGTAAATCTGGAACTTTGCCATATGACTTGTACTATGTTAGTGTGACTTAAAACCTAATCAAACAAACAAACCTTCCACAGAAGAAATATATTCAAATGAAATATTTTGTAGTATATCTACTATATAGACTAAAGAGATATCTTACTACAGAATGTTTGTCTTTTTTGTTCTTTACAGAAATTTATCATTTGATTCAACAGAAGAAGGGGTAGAGGAATATTTCAGTCAGTATGGTGATGTAAAATATGCCAAAATTGTGTATAATCATGAAACAGATCATTCAAAAGGTAACATGCTCGTACTGATTTAAAAATAAAACATTCTTATGTGATGAAATTAAGATGGATATATGCACTAAAGGTTATTTAGAGAATAATTGTTCATTTTGAGTGGATATAATGTGATATATGTGAATATGATGTGATTGTGTGAGTATGATGTGATATATGTGAATATGATGTGATATATGTGAATATGATGTGATTGTGTGAATATGATGTGATATATGTGAATATGATGTGATTGTGTGAATATGATGTTGGTAAATAATGGTCCTTATTCCCATAACACCCCTAAATTTTTATAATGAACTTGTCCTGCTTTGAATTTAGAATTGTCCATTGTTAAAATGAGGGAATGCAATTGGAAGAATAGGAAGAGCAGATGTCAGCTTCACTCTTTGGTTCAGTTTTTTGGGTGCAAAGCTGCTAGAGGGAATATTGGTTTAAAACTTCATACACTTATTTGATAGCATAATTGGAGTCACTGACCAAGGTCCATAAGTCTAACTTTGATTTTGACTGAATTATGGCCCTTTTTGAACATAATCGAGGCTTTTGTTTTACTATCAAGCACTGACATTAGTCGAGCATGCTGTACTTGAGACAACTCTTGTTATCAAAAACAATGAATGTATCACATTATTATTCAGGGATTGGGTTTGTGCGATATAGTAACAAGATGGCAGCCGATGAGTGTTTACAAGATGGGAAAGATGGCAAGATTTCATTGGATGGCAGAGAACTGATAGTAACTGTAGCAGTATCTAGAGAAAACGCAGCCAGTCTCACAGAAAACAATAAAAAAGAAAAGGAAAAGAAGGATAACAGAAATTTGTACTTGGCTAGAGAAGGATGTAAGTTTAAAACCTTACAACTGCATGTGTATAAATTGAGCTGCCTCATGACAAAGCCAACATAATGGGTTTGCGACCAGCATGGATCCAGACCAGCCTGCGCATCCGCGCAGTCTGATCAGGATCCATGCTGTTTGCTAGCAGTTTCTTTACTTGTTATAGGGTTTGTAAGCGAACAGCATGGATCCTGATCAGACTGCGCGGATGCGCAGGCTGGTCTGGATCCATGCTGGTCGCAAACCCATTATGTTGGTTTTGTCATGATGCGGCTCAATTCCTAGAATTGTAGTGCAATGATGTACTGGTTTAGTTTTATATTTGAATGTCCATGAGCATTTTCAGTTGACTTAGTGTCAAAATATTCATTTTGAGCTGGCTGAAGTATTACAGATGTACAGAAGTGTGACTTAGAATATAATTATTTACACAAGCATGAAGTATATTGAGTGCCTAAAGTTAGAAATTTGTACATTTATTTACAACAAGTAATACAAGTGGCCATCAGCAACTTGCATAATGAATATATACTAAAAGCAAATCGTTATTGTAGACAAGTTCATAAGAAAACTCAGTAACTTTTGACTATTAAAATATATAATAAGATGTTAATAAGGTGATGCCAGAAGTGTTTGCCAATTCTGCACTATCAATAGCAATTTAAATATAAAGTCATCATAACCGTGCTGCTTTTAACTACTTTTTTTAAGTGATGACATTTTAATCTAGAAATATGCCATAAACAACAAAAAAGAAATTTTATGTGCATAGAAAAACTGTCTACAGTATAGAGATACATTGTCAAATATGTGGTCTTCGGTTCTCCATGATATATACTGCATCCTATACAAAATTTTTTGTCAATTAAATTTTGAGAAATTAATTTGCATTATTATAATGTATAATACATTGTATAGCATACATTTGTTTTGTAAAAATTGTTCCATTGGTATAATTTTAAGTTCCCCACATTTTTAATATACATGTTTTTATGCAACAAAAACTACAGATGTTTTAGTCTGCTATAAAAAAGATTTTAGTCTGACATGATAGTACACTAGGAAAGACTTACCTTCACATACTTAAAATAAGTAATTTTTAGCTCGACTATTCGATAAGAATAAGTAGAGCTATTGTAGTCACCCGAGCTTCGGCGTCTGCGTCGGCGTAACCACTTATGTTAAAGTTTTTGTAATAGTTCAAATATTTTCAAAGTCCATTGACATATGGCTTTGAAACTTTGCACACTTGTTCACCATCATGACCCCAACCTGTAGACAGGAGGAGGTAACTCTATCAAGCATTTTGACAAAATCATGCCCCTTTTTCGACTTAGAATTTATGTTAAAGTTTTTGTAATAGTTCAAATATTTTCAAAGTCCATTGACATATGGCTTTGAAAGTTTGCACACTTGTTCACCATCATGACCCCAACCTGTAAACAGGAGGAGGTAACTGTATCAAGCATTTTTTTTTACTATCAAGCACTAAGAATAGTCGAGCGTTGCTGTCCTACCGACAGCTCTTGTTCACTCTTGAGTGTGGTACATGTATTTCTGTGACAAGTTTTTAGCCCACCTGTCACAAAGTGACAGGGTTAGCTTTTGTGATCGCTTTTCGTCCGGCGTCCGTCCGTCCGTAAACTTTTACTTTAAATGACATCTCCTCATAAACCACTAAGCCAATTTCATCCAAACTTCACAGGAATGTTCCTTTGGTGGTCACCTTTAAAAATTGTTCAAAGAATTTAATTTCATGCAGAACTCTGGTTGCCATGGCAACCGAAAGAAAAAACTTTAAATATCTTCTTTTAAAAAACCATAAGAGCTAGAGCTTAGATATTTGGCATGAAACATCTTCTAGTGAGTGTCTACCAAGTTTGTTCAAATAAAAGCCCTGGGGTCAAAATTGGCCCCGCCCCGGGGGGTCATTGATTTTCCCTATATGCATATAGTAAAAACTTAAAAAATCTTCTTTTAAAGAACTCAAAGAGCTATGGCTAAGATATTTAGCATCAAACATGTTCTAATAGGTGTCTACCAAGTTTGTTCAAATAAAAGCCCTGGGGTCAAAATTGGCACCGCCCCGGGGGTCATTGATTTTCCTTATATGTGTATAGCAAAAACTTAAAAAATCTTCTTTGAAAAAACCCAAAGAGCTAGAGTTAAGATATTAAGCATGAAACATCTTTTAGTGAGTGTCTACAAAGTTTGTTCAAATAAAAGACCTGGGGTCAAAATTGGCCCCGCCCCGGGGGTCATTGATTTTCTTTATATGTGTATAGCAAAAACTATAGGGGTGTCATTGTTTTTAACTATAATTTTTATGTGTATAGTAAAAACTTTAAGAAAATCTTCTTTTAAAAAGCCCAATGAGCTAGAGCTTAGATATTTAGCATGAAACATCTTCTTATGGGTGTCTACCAAGTTTGTGCAAATAAAAGCCCTTGGGTTAAATTGGCCCTGCAACGTTGGGGGGGGGGGGGGGGGCTATATACAGGTGAGCGACCTCAGGGCCATCATGGCCCTCTTGTTTTTGTTTGTTTTTTTATGACAACAATTTTTTGGAACATATACTTCCTTATCTATTATCATGATTTTTGTGAAGAAGTTGACATTTTTTTTGTTGAGGAAAAATGGATAGTTTTGTTATGATGATTTTATTGTGTTTCAGTGGTAAGGGCTGGTACACAGCAGGCAGAAGGACTGTCGAAGATAGATTTAGATAAACGACAAAAGGTAAACTAGCTTTTATCATCCTACTTATAGTATACTATAGTTACACACTGTTGTTATTTCTTTATTTGCAAATGAGTAGATTTAATGATAAATAAATAAAAATACAATTCATCATATATCTACAGAGTAATGATAAATCTCCTATAAAGTTCAAAACAGGTGCTGGCTGACATTTCTTGTTTGACCCAGCCGTAAGTTCCAACGCTATTTTGCAGAATTACAACACTGTTTTTTAGCTCACCTGTCACAAAGTGACAGGGTGAGCTTTTGTGATCGCTTTTCGTTCGTCCGTCCGGCGTCTGTAAACTTTTACTTTAAATGACATCTCCTCATAAACCACTAAGCCAATTTCATCCAAACTTCACAGGAATGTTCCTTTGGTGGTCACCTTTTAAAATTGTTCAAAGAATTTAATTCCATGCAGAACTCTGGTTGCCATGACAACCAAAAGAAAAAAACTTTAAAATATCTTCTTCTAAAAAAACCAAGGAGCTAGAGCTTAGATTTTTGGCATGAAACATCTTCTAGTGAGTGTCTACCAAGTTTGTTCAAATAAAAGCCCTTTGGTCAAAATTGGCCCCGCCCCAGGGGGTCATTGATTTTCCCTATATGCATATAGTAAAAACTTAAAAAATCTTCTTTAAAAGAACCTAAAGAGCTAGAGCTTAGATATTTAGCATGAAACATCTTCTAATAGGTGTCTACCAAGTTTGTTCAAATAAAAGCCCTGGGGTCAAAATTGGCCCCGCCCCAGGGGGTCATTGATTTTCCCTATATGCATATAGTAAAAACTTGAAAATCTTCTTTTAAAGAACCCAAAGAGCTATGGCTAAGATATTTTGCATAAAACATGTTCTAATGGATGTCTACCAAGATTGTTCAAATAAGAGCCCTGGGGTTAAAATTGGCCCCGCACTGGGGGTCATTGATTTTCCAAATTTCCTTACATGTGTATAGCAAAAACTTAAAAAATTTTCTTTGGAGAAAACCAAATAGCTAGAGTTTAGATACAAAGCATGAAACATCTTCTAGTGAGTGTCTACAAAGTTTGTTCAAATAAAAGCCTTGGGGTCAAAATTGGCCCCGCCCCGGAGGTCATTCATTTTCCCTATATGTGTATAGCAAAAATTTATAAAATCTTCTTTGAAAAAACTCAAATAGCTAGAGTTTAGATATTAAGCATGAAACATTTTCTAATAAGTTTCTACAAAGATTGTTCAAATAAAAGCCCTGGGGTCAAAACTGGCCCTGCCCCAGGGGTGTCATTGTTTTTAACTAGATGTGTAAAGAAAAAACATTTAAAAAACCCAACGAGCTAGACCTTAGATGTTTAGCATGAAACATCTTCTAATGGGTGTCTACCAAGTTTGTTCAAATAAAAGCCCCTGGGGTTTAAATTGGCCCCGCTCCGGGGCCTATGTACAGGTGAGCGAGTTCAGGGCCATCATGGCCCTCTTGTTATGATTTTTTATGACATGTCTGTTGTATTATTTTGTAGGTTGAGGAGTTGAAACGACAGAAATTAAAGAATTTGAATATATTTATTTCACCACTTCGTTTGTGTGTAAGAAATATACCTGTCAATGTAACAGACAAAGAACTTCGGGAAGTATTCAAGACTGCCGCAGGAAATAAACATGCCAAGATAAATGAGGTGAGTGATTTAGGGCCATTGTGGTCCTCCTGTTTTCAAATAAATTTCGTGTTCATGGGCAGTTAATAAGTCTACTGTGAAGTTACATTTTCATTTCTAGCTTGACTATAAAACTTAAATGTAGCTAAACATGAAACTTAGAATAATTGCTTATTATGATCAGGTGCAGTTATTAGGCAAGTGGCATAGTTTTTATTTTTGGAGAAATGCCCCTTTTTAGCTTAAAACAAGCATTAACACTGCATGGGTTGCTCATGTTGAGAGCATGTTGTGGCCACTTAGTGTACTTTGTGTTATAAGTGCTATGTACAAGTACAATTTGTCTCAAAAGACTCTTTTTCTATGATCAATCTGTTTGAAAATTATTTCATGGTTTCAGTGTCGGATCATGCGTGATAGAACTCGGACAAACGCTGAAGGATTAGGAAAGTCAAAAGGTTTTGCTTTCATCAGTTTTAGTGACCACCAGCACGCTCTTTCTGCTTTAAGACAAACAAATAATAACCCAGAAATATTTGGAGAGAATAAGGTAAATTTTTTACACTGGTTTTATGGTGTTTTCCACCTTATATTGGTAGTTTTTGCTATCTTATATTGGTAGAGTAGTGTATTATTGGCTTAATTTTGCTGTTAAACCCTTTAACTGTGGAGTTGAAAGGCTTTTGCAGCGGGAATCTAGAAATATACCATAAAGCACAAAATGCAACAATCATATTTTAATGTGCCAGGTAATTTACAGTCTATGATGTATGGTAATTGAATACGTGTCTAAATCTATTTTTAGTTTGGGAAAATCCAATTTAGTCAGTGAATATAATACTGCATCCAGTTTTTATAAAAAAAAATGTTGACTACTGTTAGGACCAGTGAGATTGCAGCTATATTTAGATCATATAATAAAATGTGATATTCTCTGGCAGAGTATCATAAACATGTCATTTTGTCAGTGAATATCTCATAATTACCAATAATTGTATAATAATTATTATAAAAGTTCTAACATTAACAATATAATAATATAAAAATTAAAAAGGCTAATAATTTTCTTTTGTACCTGGTTGCTGTATTTATAAATGAACCAAACTTCACTTTTAAGTGATAATTGAACAAAGTTCACTTTTAGCTGATAAATGAACCAAAGTTCACTTTTAAGTGTTAAATGACCTGAAGTTCACTTTACGCTGATAAATAAACTGAAGTTCACTTTTAAGTTATAAATGAGTTAAGTTCACTTTAAACTGAAATCTTTCTTACTGGCAATGGACAGTTTCAAATTCAAAGTAGGGTTGGTCCGTTATACTATATTTAGCAAGGAAGGAGATTTTTAGCTCACCTGTCACAAAGTGACAGGTTGAGCTTTTGTGATCGCTTTTCGTCCGGCGTCCGTCCGTCCGGCGTCCGTCCGTAAACTTTTGCTTCAAATGACATCTCCTCATAAACCACTAAGCCAATTTCATCCAAACTTCACAGGAATGTTCATTTGGTGGTCACCTTTAAAAATTGTTCAAAGAATTTAATTCCATGCAGAACTCTGGTTGCCATGGCAACCGAAAGAAAAAACTTTAAATATCTTCTTTAAAAGAACCCAAAGAGCTAGAGCTTAGATATTTGGCATGAAACATTTTCTAATGAGTGTCTACCAAGTTTCTTCAAATAAAAGCCCTGGGGTCAAAATTGGCCCTGCCCCAGGGGGTCATTGATTTTCCCTATATGCATATAGTAAAAACTTAAAAATCTTCTTTTAAAGAACCCAAAGAGCTAGAGCTTAGATATTTGGCATGAAACATCTTCTAATAAGTGTCTACCAAGTTTGTTCAAATAAAAGCCCTGGGGTCAAAATTGGCCCCGCCCCAGGGGGTCATTGATTTTCCCTTTATGCATATAGTAAAAACTTAAAAAATCTTCTTTTAAAGAACTCAAAGAGCTAGAGCTAAGATATTATGCATAAAACATCTTCTAGTGAGTGTCTACCAAGTTTGTTCAAATAAAAGCCCTGGGGTCAAAATTGGCCCTGCACAAGGGGGGTCATTGATTTTCCCTATAGCTCTAAGCATATTGTAAAAACTTAAAAAATCTCCTTTTAAAGAACTCAAAGAGCTTCAGCTAAGATATTTAGCATGAAACATGTTCTAATGGGTGTCTACTAAGTTTGTTCAAATAAAAACCCTGGGGTCAAAATTGGCCCTGCCCCGGGGGTCATTGATTTTCCTTATATGTGTATAGCAAAACTTAAAAAACCTCTTTGAAAAAAATCCCAAATAGCTAGAGTTTAGATATTAACCATGAAACATCTTCTAGTGAGTGTCTACAAAGTTCGTTGAAATTAAAGCCCTGTGGTCAAAATTGGCCCTGTCCCGGGGGTCATTGGTTTCCTTATATGTGTATAGCAAAAACTTAAAAAATCTTCTTTGAAAAAACCCAAATAGCTAGAGTTAGATATTAAGCATGAAACATCTTCTAATAAGTGTCTACAAAGTTTGTTGTTCAAATAAAAGCCCTTGGGTCAAAACTGGCCCCGCCCCAGGGGTGTCATTGTTTTTAACTTCATGTGTATAGTAAAAACTTAAAAAATCTTCTTTTAAAAAACCTAATGAGCTAGAGCTTAGATGTTTAGCATGAAACATCTTCTTATGGTTGTCTACAAAGTTTGTTCAAATAAAAGCCCTTGGGTTAAAATTAACTCTGCGGGGGGGGGGGGGGGAGAAGGTCATTGTTTTTCCTTATATGTGTATAGCAAAAAATTTACATCATGAAACATCTTCTAATGGGTGTCTTTATTCCAAGTTTGTTCAAATAAAAGCCCTGGGGTTTAAACTGGCCCCGCTTCGGGGGGCCTATATACAGGTGAGCGACCTCAGGGCCATCATGGCCCTCTTGTTTAAGAATGTTAGATGAAATCAAATTCCTAGTTATGATGACATTGTTCATATTTCTGCTTTCAGCGGCTTATTGTTGAGTTTTCTTTAGAGAACAGGAAGGCATTAGAAACAAAAGAAAAAAGGAAAGTAAGAACAAAGGTATGTAAACTGATATTGTAATTGGTAAAAAAGTGTCTTGTAAAGGTCATCAATATAATGTGTATTTAGAGCATTGACAAATATCTCTTAAAAAATATGGAATTTTGCAATACTTGTTTGTAAGCATTGCCGCTGAAACAGATAGACAAAAGAACAGAATTTGTTTTAAAAATGTTCTGAGCTGAATTTGGGAGTCATTTTGAATAAATTTGACCGGATGATTGTCCATGTTAGAAATTTATGATGCCTGTTTGCAATCTGTTCCGTATAGCATATTTGTTATCATCGTGTGCAGTCAGACTCAAACCCAAGAGGGCCCTTGCAAATTTGTTTGAGAGATTGGTAGTTCAAGCCAACCCAGGTTGAAGTATTATCATGTATAGTAAGATCATATTTTATGGAGGACATTGACAAGAACGTTCTCCATGATATATTGGTCAAATTAACTTGAAGGTCTTGTTAAAAGGATTTTATCCAAGTATGAAGACAATCCATGAAGAAACGATTATGGCCAATGTTCAAAGTTTTCGCACATCAAGGCAACAGATGACATTCCTGTATTTTTATAGAAAATTCAAGCTAAAAATGAATTTGGTCAGTATTTGTCATAAAAAAATGAATATGGTCAATACATGTACTTGGACATTAAATAATAAATTCTTCTCACAAGTGAATTAGGGCCTTTTAAGCTTTCTTTGCCCATTTATGCCTGAAGTGATGCACAGAGGGACACCCGAGGTCTTCCTCCATTAGTACAGCTGGAAAGTTGCCTTATGGCATCAGTTGCATAGGTGCAGCTTAAAGTGTAAAAAAACAACATTTTCTTGTTTTCTGAACCAGTATTTCTTTCATTATTTTAGGCTAAGTTAATAAAAAAGGATACATCTACTGATGGAAGGGTAAAAGTTAAGCCAAATGCAGTGATGCCACTTATTCATTTAAGTGAAAAAGACAAGAAATTGAAAGGAGAAAATGTTCAGAAAGGTTTGTTTAAATATATACAATTTATATCTAAACCTGCAGAAACGGAAAATGATAAGCATTTGCTGTTAAACCAGGCTTTAGACTGTTGGTAGCTTAATTGTTGCATTTTGATTTTGAAATCTCTTAAAGGGCACTGAGGTTTTAAGGCCTTGATGGGCTGGAAATATTTTCCTGAGATTTGTGCACCAACTGATTCAGGTCTTATACTGAACAATCTGTTCAGACTGCCCATTTGTAAATATTTATTTTTAGAAAATAGGTCTGTTTTAAATGACAACTCGTGTAAGATCTTATCTTTATGGAGAAAAATGACATTTGTTCATACATTATTTGTTAGCTGTTTGAAATGTTACCAAAAAGTATTTTTTTTAATCTTACTTTTTTTCCCATGCAGGTTTACCTTCACATTGGGGTCCAAAAATTCGCCATAAACCAAGACCAGGGCAGATAAATCAAGGTAAAAAGGGACAGAATAAGCAGCAGCAGCCTAGACATCAGAATGTTGCTGTAAAAAGAAAACAGCCTGCAGATGTTTTTGAGGTAAATACTTGAAACAAAACTCTTTCTCAATGATTAAATCAAAGTTTAGATGAAAATGAAAGTTTTTTGTTGTCCTCTCTTATATTACTGTAGCCATGTTGATTGCCATATATACATCATTCCCCACTATAAAACCATTTCACCACCCTATGATATTCCCTTGTGTGGGTTCTAAAAATAGAGTAATGTCTATAATAGAAAGTAAAGAAAAGAAGAAGTAAAGGTGTAGGCAAATAGATAGAAAATTGTATTCCCTCTAAACCTATATCATGTATAATGAAATATTGAGCAGTTTCAGTGATTTGGATGCCATAAAAAGGTACAAATTTCAGACACAAATAGTCTGACTGGTCACCATGGAAATGCACGTTGGCTTGACTGCCCTGGGGACAAAAGTTAGTTTTTTAACTCACACATAATAGTTGCATATTTGCTAACCTGTCGTAGAAAGAGTTAATACAGTTATGTAATTATTATCATATCTAGGACAATAAACAGAAGAAGCAGAAGAGAACGCGGCAGAAAGAGACGGTCGATGATTTTGACAAGATTGTGAACAGATACAAAAATAATCTGATTTCAAAGAAAAAAACTGATGGCAAATGGTTTGAGCGTAAATAGATTTCAACGGGGACAATTTTATATATAAAGAAATGTGACCATAGTATTTTTAATCCCTTAAAAAAAGCATGGATGCACATGAGGTGGTTTAAAAAATGTTTGAAAGCTAACCAAAAGAGTATTCATAAATGGCAATATAAATTTGATGCCATTGGATGAAAAGTAGACATCAATGTTCACTGCAAATATTTGGTTGTAAGACCACACTAATGCTGTATTCAGGGATCATATTGGTATCTTAGTTACCCTATTTATAACACAAATTCATGACTCATGGACCAGCTTCTGTCGAAAATAGTTCCAAGGAGGGGCACCCGGGGTCTTCTTCCACAAGTTAAACAAACAAGTCGCCATATGGCATTTAAAGCTTTGGTTTTGACTTAAATGCCAAACAAACAAAAAACAACATAAAAACCATGTTAATGATGTTTGTTATGGTTATGTATTGACGTTATGTTATCGGCACATATGAAGGTATATGTTATTGATTGAATATTTTGTTGTTGCTGTTAAAGTAACTAGGGACAATAATTACATGAACTCCTAACACATTGCTCATAAAATGTTAGGCATAAACTGAAAAAATGAATTTTATGAATGAAATAAATTTTAGCAAATATTAGCTAATGTTTTGTTATTTGTTAATTTTATACTTGCTTTATTGACAGAAAAATATAGTGTTTATTAGGTCATCATGAAAAGGGCCTGGAATAGAATTGTGGGAATATTCTGCAAACAAGCACCCTCATCTGACGAGAAATTTGTAGCACCAAGGAGAAAATGTTACGGTCTTGATATAAAGAAGTATTACCTTTTGTTAAAGCAACATGCTTCTAGATTCATGCTAATTTTCAGGAAAATTAAAATGTATCTAAGAGTACAATATTATCAAGTTAACATAAAAAGTGATTTACACATCTGTTTATATAAATGTATATTTTAATGCAAAACCAAAATAAGCTCAGAATATGCTAAAATAACCCTTGCTGCATTGGACATGCAGTAGAAATATGGTGATAAGTACTGCAAAATCAGTTATTAATTGCATATAACATGTAAATTATTTCTTGAATTGTGAATTTTTTTTACTTCTCTTAAAGTCTTGGTACATTTATCGAAAGGTTGATTTTCTTGAAATATTTTGGCTTATCTGTAGGCATGCAGCTTTAAAGACTGGTATTAAGAAGTAAAATAAGTCGCCTTGGAAAGGTATAAAGCTATATTTTCAAAAGGAAAATGTTAGTAAATTTCAAGTGGGTAGCATAATTATACATAAAGGCAATGCTCACCCTGCTCAGAATATCATTTAAACATTTCTAAAGTTAACATTTTATTCAATTATATATTTTGAACAAGTTGCTTTTTATACATGACCATAAGAATATGATAACTGTGTTTTTACAATTAATTTAGTATATTTTGCAAGTAATAGTCTTACACGTAATAATCGCACAACTGGGCTTCTCTCATCACAGATTACAGTTGTTTAAACAGGAAAATAAGTTTTAACAGCTAGGTAGAGCTGAATGTCTTGGGGTCTAATCTCACAAGTGGTGAGTTTTCTCTTTTGATTTCCACAATCAAGACTGATACATTTTCTGGTTATGTAAACGAGACCCACGCAGCAGTCATCTGGCCTAACTTACGGCACATGTCTAGGGTCACAGGTTTGGCACAACGAGAAAGTAAAGCAAGATTTTTACTTTCTTTTGATATGGACATTATCACTGGACGTACAGTGAAACAGAATTACTTTGTGGAATAATTTTCTACAGACACTGCATTTTTCATAACAAATTTTATTCTACAAACATTCACTTGATCATATACAAATAATAAAATATCATGTCTGTTTTAAAATGGAAATAAAATACAATATAATGAATTTAAACAACCTTTATAATACTACCTGTTTACTCTTTTTTCCTTCCATACATTTTGTTAATTTTACCCTTAACCTGCTGAATGTCTCAAATGGACTAATCCAGCTTCCATTTTTTGGAACAGTCCATTATCATAATTTATAGGGATATCAAGGATGAAAAATACATTTAAAGTTAACTTGGTCTACAATATAGGGCCTGGTCAGACTGCACAGATTTGAAGGCTGGCTTTGATCTATACTGGTGACCAAGGCTCAAATCACTTTTCCTTCCAGCAGGTTAAGATTGAATTTCCCTGGCATATATGAAACAATCGTTATCTAGAACAAGAGCACCGCTAGGCGGAGCATAATATGCCCAAAAGTAAATATTAAGGTCATTTGATATTGACCTTTGACCTTGTGACCCAAATATAGTTATGGATCTTTTATTCGATAAAGGCAATCATGGTATGAAGTTTGAACACTGTAAGCCAAATGGAACTTGTGTTATGCTCCAGGGGACGGACGCCAGGGGGTATAACATGATATGCCCGAAATTCTTTTGGGCATATAAATAACGAGTTTTCATCATAACATTGGTTTCTGTAAACACATTTTGATTTAAATTTTCAGCATCTTCACTGATACAATATATATATACATATATTTATATATATCATTATATTTTGAAATTGTAAATGTAAGAAAATGATCTGGTGATTATATTATAGTGCCAGTGTTAAAATTCTTATGAATGTTGTGTAAAAGTGATACAAAATTTTAGTTACAGAATTTCAATAAATATTTGAACTTGCTGAAATTTGTGTGATGGTTTGACCCTGCTTGGATTTTGGAACAGTTCATTCAAAGTTAAAGGTATTTTAATATCAAAATACAAAAACTGATCCCCTTGTGGCTGAGGGTTTGCCCTCAAGGGTTGAGGCATCAGAATTGCAGTCATCGTTTATCCCTGTGTTATCGTAAGAGGTGACTGAATTTTGTTCGAATTACTGGAGTATCTTTATCTCTTAGCTCCAGCAGGTGAGTGCTTTAAGTTTGTAACACCCTAAGGTTAGCCAAAATCATCTTTCCTGTTTTGGCGCCATATGACCTATTTTGTGTTGGTGTGCCATAAAACCAAACAAAACAAAAGTTGAGCTAGCATCAGTATAGAGCCTGGTCAGACAGTATGTACAGGCTGGCCTGACTCTACAATGATGATATTAAGGTTAATCATTTCAAGCAGATAGTTAAATGAACATACAAATGTACATCTGAACAAAAATGAGTAACTTGAAATACATAAGAAAGTTCATTTTAAAAAAAGTTCATTGTATAATTTCTTAATGTGTAGCAGATTGGCTTAAACCTCTAGACTGTTATTTGAGAGGATCCATGTTTTACAGCATGTAAACCAGGATATAATCAAATGTCCAAGTTCTTATTTAACTAAGAGAAAGATGGAAATAGAATACTTTTGATACAAAAGATGTCAAAATACTATATGAAGTCTCACATCCTGATGAAAATGTTGGTCTTAACAGTAATACTTTTACATCTCAATGATAATGTAAACCTAATAGTAATCATATGATATCTTTTACATCCCAGTGAAAACTCTCTCAAAACTGCTGAGTGAACTTCATGAACTCTTACATCCCAATGATAACATTTGTCTAACTTCATGAACTATTACATCTTAATAATAACATTTATCTAACAGTTACTTCATGAACTATTACACCACAATGATAACATTTGTCTAACAGTTACCTCATGAACTAGTGCATCCCAATGATAACATTTGTCTAACTTCATGAACTATTACATCTCAATAATAACATTTGTCTAACAGTTACTTCATGAACTATTACATTCCAATGATAACATTTATCTAACTTCATGAACTATAACATCTCAATAATAACATTTATCAAACAGTTACTACATGAACTATTACATCCCAATAATAACATTTGTCTTACTTCATGAACTATTACATCCCAATGATAACATTTATCTTACAGTTACTTCATGACTTATTACATCCCAATAATAACATTTGTCTAACTTAATGAACTATTACATCCCAATATTAACACTTGTCTAACTTCATGAACTATTACATCACAATGATGGCATTTGTCTAACAGTTACTCCATGAACTATTACATCCCAATGATAACATTTGTCTAATGGAATCAACATGAACTCTTACATCCAAATGATAACTCTTACATCCCAATAATAACCTTTGTCTGATGGAATCAACATGAACTCTTACATCCCAATAATAACATTTGTCTAACAACTACATGAACTATTACATTCCAATGATGACATTTGTCTAACAGTTATTTCATGAACCATTATATCCCAATGATGACATTTGTCTAACAGTTACTTCATGAACTCTTACCTTCAAATGATAACTCTTACATCCCAATTATAACATTTGTCTTATAAAATTAACATTAATTCTTACATCCCAATGATAACATTTGTCTAACAATAACAAAATAAACCTACATGATAACATTTGTCTAACAGTACATGAAATCTTACACCCAAATGATAACTCTTACATCCAAATGATAACTCTTACATACCAATGATAACATTTGTCTAACAATATCTACATGAACTATTACATCCCAATGATAAAATCTGTGAAACAATAACTACATGAACTTTAACATTCCCATGATAATGTTTCTCTAACAGTAATTACATGAACTCTTACATTTTTATGATAACTTTTTTCTAACAATTAATATTTCATTTTTTTTTTTATATTTGTAGCTTTTACTTTTTTATTTCTAACATTGAAAAGAAACAAATACAGAAAATCTAAAACTTCATGTATCAAATAACTAGATTTTTATACAACCAAAGCTTTTAATAAAAACGTAAGGCATGTTGAAATTAATAGTTCCGAATTTGGTTCAAGTTTTTTGTGTTGACATTTTCTTGAGGTAGTTCTAACAAAATGAATAAAATATAATAATATCTGATAACAAGGGGTTACAAGAATAAACTAAGAACAACAAGATCTATCACAAAATCACAACTTATCTCCACCAAGTATAGGATAACTACTTTCAGGATCAACTATTGACTTAATATTATCATCACCTTAGTGCAATAATGGGTCAATTTCTATTGACCTTTAATAGGAGTTAACCTGTTACTGCACTTATAGGTGAAGATATTCAACAAGAAAAATATGCAGTGTAATACAAACAATATATTTTTACAGAGAAATTACTTTTTTTTCATCTACCACAGTTTGGGAGACCTTACAAATTAACACATCAAATATAAATATATAATTATATACATGTATTTTAGCCTGTGTACATTTTACTGTAAATTTTTATTTTTAAATATATCAATATGAGGTATAAATATCATAAATGTTGCTCGAGGATATTTGGACTTGGTAAATTTTGACAACCACAGTATTTTCTCGCATATAAGACGGGCTGCTTTATAAGTCTAGGTCTAAATTAGGCAGTATTTTACAATGTCTCGTGTATAAGGCTAATCTGTATTATCTATGTCTAAAGTGGGTATTTTTAACAACTTCAACCCTAGACCTGCTGAATATGTGTTAAGAATCTGTCCTGATGAACAGTATATGCAGTAAGGAATTTCAGTATTAAAACTTGAACATCCAACAGTATAGAGCCTGGTCAGACTGCTGAGGCCAGATTTTATGCTTTTGACATAAGCGACTAAATTTCTGTACCAGCAGATAAAAGGGTTATCACATGAAACAATAGAAAAATACTTTTGCACAAAGTACTAAATACTATTAAACTTGTCTTTGTTATCAATTGTGATGACTTAACTTGGTGAAATTTGTGTATGGCTATTTGATTACAATCTATAATTTCAGATAAGAGTTGTACCTTACAAAAATACAAAGAAAGTGATCAATGAATAAAGAGAAGTGCTGAAAATACTCCCTGGTAATAAATAATTGATACTTTCATTCATGTACATCTATTATACTAATACTTGTTTATGTACGAATGACAAAAAATGACAATTTACTTAAATTAATAGATAGACCATTGCATAAGAAGGTACAAAAATCTTGAGGTGGGGTGGTATGAAACTATGTGAAAATGAAAATAAGTACAAAGTTTGTCTCAAATCAACTTAAGAGTTTTGTTCTCCCACAGTTAATCATTTAACCTTACATAAATCACAGAAATCAAAACAGAGAGAAGAGAATTTATATTTGCCGCCACAGCAAGGTAAAATGTACCATAATTATTGGAAATACAAAAATCATTTAAGGATACTAAAGACTATTGTACAGTGGTCTATTTATTCTAAATAAATTATCATTATTACTTAAAAATCTTAAATAACATATTTTAGTACTTTGATATCAAAAACCAAACATTTACAAATTCAGAATGGGCAAAAATCATTTTACAAGGGATAACATGTGACGACATAGTAGGTCTTCCAGCTGTTCCAGTATTTTACAACTCTACAGTATTTTTCAAATTTTCTTTTTGTAACAGCTACTTTGTGAACCGATATATTTGTAAAATCCAAGCTGTTTCAGTGAACACCAACACATACGCTCACATATCAGCATAAACACCAGCTTTTTTGACTGACTTTAACAGGCCTTTGTTAAGGTTGAAAATAATAGCATTGGTCCTATAGAGCTGTGTCACGTCACTGACACAAGGAGTCAGATCATAACTTGGGGGCTTACTACATTGCTGTTTGGAGATGAATCCTCACATTTGTGTCTTTAGCCAATTTATAATGTTGGTGCTAGGTGATGAATCATCATACTGATGCCGGGAGCCAAACATCTCCTTGGTGCTGGGAGCCGCCAAATCCTAGCCTCTAGTGGATCATTACATTGGTGCCGGGAGCCGAATCATAACATTGGTGCTGGGACACTCATCCTGCTCATTTTGGGAGCTTGAAATAGAAAATAAACATAATAAATGATACTGTTATTTCAACAATATTAACTATTTAGAGTTCAGCACATACTGTAAATTCATGGAATGACAAAGTCATGATTGGGGTCGTCCATGTCACAGTGAGTGGTTAAGGTTACACAACTTTGAATCATTTATCTGGTTTGAATTTTCCATGTGAGGATCGAATCTTATTAATTTTAAGCTTACAGATGGCTGTGGTTCTATTCAGGTGCCTGAAATAATGCAATGGGGCATTCAAAAAATTAGGTCTTCCTCTGCCAGTACAGCTGCAAAGTTGATATTTGGATTAAAATCAGAATGCTCTCAGATTTATGTTAATTTTCATGAAAATTTTGAAAATGACTTAATGAATTATAAAGTTAAATACTGTCAAAAGAACAAAGAAAGTTACGCATTGAAAATGGCACTTTCAGTATACCTTAATTACCAAATATGTAACAATAGCCCTTCTCACAGTACAAAATATGGCGATTAATACTGCAAAATCAGTCATTCATTGCGTAGAACATGTAAATCATAACTTGAATTCTGATGATTATGATTTTACTTTAATTGAAATGTTAGTACATTTTTCTCAAAGTTGATTTTCTTGAATTTTTTTTGGCTCATCTGGAAACATGCAGCTTAATTAACAGTTTTGGTGTGATTGACTTAAAACTAAAAAATCATGCATAAAACATTAAAGAAAACACACTCTCTTTTGAAATAGAGAAAATAAGAATCCCTAAAGATAAATCCCTGAACTCACCATATAAGACTTTTTTAATATGAATAGCTATTAAGTTTCAAAATGTAAGGTATCAAACTTTTTTAAATGAATGTAATGTGTCTTAAATTTATTGCGAATACTTATTTCATTTCCAAACAAGATGACTTTGATTATTGAGTACTAGATTGTCTATTATTTTACAAACTTATTTTACAAACTTCCCAGGAATAGACAATCACTTTCCATTCATTTGTAATGAAGCTTGAAATTACAGCCTATATACCAGATTTGTTGGGCATTACTGATGTGATCTCAAGCCTTAAGATTGAGTGTTCACAACTCAACAATGTGTGTGTTTGCCCAGATAGAAAATTAATAAAATACACTGAAGCTTTGGTTTAAAAATTTCCTTATGCATACTGGTAAATGACTGATTTCAACTTTTCAATAAGTTTATGAACTTTATCAATAATGTAAAAGAGGCAGAAATTAATTGAAAAAAAAAATATTTAATGAGAAATACAAAATTTATGACTATATTTCTGAAAAACCAACAGAACAATACAAAACCCAGTTAAACAAAAAATATCAACAACAAAAAAAAAAAACAATCAGAATCCATCCAATTGAAAGAGGTAAATTAGAAATATTGACAGAAACCATTTGCTATTAAATTTTGACAAAAAAAGAAAAAGAAAAAGAAAAAAAAAGCAAATTAAAGTAATGTCACACGTCCAATTAAATTATGTCATGATGCCATTAACCACTTCAACAAGATTTAATTATGTAGTTTTAACAGGATGCTTCTCTGATGCATTTTGATGGGGACTATGTCCCCCCCCCCAACAAGACAAATATTATGTTTGGCAATAGAGTCTGTGCTGTCCAATTCTAAATGGTGAATTTGTTCCAATTACCATTAAAATCCTTCCAGGAAAGAATTGGCCTTTTACCTCAGACTTTGAAAATGTCAAATGTTATTTGTATGGCATTAAAACATGTCAAATGATATTTTCCCCCGCCACTAAATTTCTTTATTTAGGTTTGTTTCAATACATAATCCAGAAAGTAATTTGTCTGATGGTATTGGGTTAAAACACAGTTAGAATTGGCTCTAAATACTTTAAAGGGACTCCACTTGGATTTTTTTTTACATGAATGAATCAAAAATATTTTTCAAAGATTTTTGTATAACTTGGTGTAGGCCTGGACCAATAACGCATAATCATTCACTCACTCTGTTTCCCCACCCCCACCAAAAAAAGCATAAAAATCAATTTAATTGTGAAAATTGACCCAAACATTGCATTGCTTTTAACTCAAATTGACCCAAAAAATGCATAAAAATCTAAAATACCAAGTATACTTTTATACTGGCGCAAAAAATACCTATTTTTGGTCCCAGTTTTATATTATCTATTGCATAGTGTACCAGTTGATTTATGAAAGATTTTCAAATTTCATGAATTGAGGCTATTGGACATCTGTGGAGTTCCTTTAAGGAAGCATTCACATATTTTTCTACAGTTAAATAAGGTTCATAATTTTGATTATATATTTAATTAAGTTCAGGAACACTGAATACAAAGCTCCTGAGGTATCTTCTAAGCAATAAAAATATGATTACAACATAAAAATTTCTGAATTTGAAAGGAAGATTATCTCATTTATAAAATCAAACAGGAGCTGAAGGTCAATCGATCTGTGCAGCAATTTTTTTATTAATCATTATTAATTCATTATTTATTATTTTTACCTATTAGTAAATCTATTAAATAAACTGTTACATATAAGTTAAGGGCCATAACTCTGATGTTTCAATCATTATATTCTGTTATAGTTCATTACCCTGACCTTTCTCTCAGCAGCCCATTTCCAAAGTCAAATATATGTAAAGTGAATTTGAGCCGCGTCATGACAAAACCAACATAATGGGTTTGCGACCTGCATGGATCCAGACCAGCCTGCTCATCCGCGCAGTCTGATCAGGATCCATGCTGTTCGCTTACCAACTCTATAACAAGTAGAGAAACTGATAGCGAACAGTATGGATCCTGATCAGACTGCGCGGATGAGCAGGCTGGTCTGGATCCATGCTGGTCGCAAACCCACTTATAATGTTGGTTTTGCCGTGACATGGCTCATTTACTCAATCTAAGATAAAAACATGGGAGAACTTTAAGACAAAATAGGTTATGAAATTGTATTATATCCCTAAAGTTATAACCTTTTTATTAGTTTATTTGTATTGCTAGGTAGTGGTACAACAACAGAATTGTATATCACTTAAGGCAGTATCATAAGTTAGGCAATACAATTTACCAAATGCTTTTTCAAATAAGTTTGAAATAGTTTGTTGAACATATGATCTATTTTGAAACATTGTGCATTCTTCAGCCATGATGTTCAATTTGACTGTACCAGAATGCAGGTTTCACCTTATCAATGCACCCCAGTTGCTGTACACAAGTTATTTTATCAAAAATACTGCAATTACTGGAAGCCAGCATGTATTATATTTATTAAAAGACATGCCCCATTTGTCAAATCTTATTGATAACTTCAATCAGACTAAAGTTAAGATCTACTAAAGTTATTTCTTGCATGTAGATCTGATTGCCACTGTATAATTTTTGTTCCACCTTCATTGTGCTAATGTGTAGGAGATGATTTTAATCAGATTGCTGATAATTTTTTATCCAAACTTGAATTATATTGATACTTTTTGTTTTCTTCTCATATACATTAGTCCTGCTACAAAAATAATTGTGGGATCTAGATTTCTATATATATACAGTGTCCAATGACTGATGGACAGACATAAAACCCACCTGCTTTTCAGTCTGGCAATCAAGGAGAGGTTATGTTTTATATTCTGTAATATTTCAGCCTATAACCTGCGGGAACCCAAAGTGATAAGCCATTGCCTCAAGTACAATGCCAGGTCAGTCAACACATCCATGCAGTCTGACCAGACTCTATACTGTTGCCGGTGACCGACTTAAAATTTT